CACATTGTGCATACATACAGAATCAATGCATGTATAACTTTTCCTACTTCAATTATCAATTAAAGTGTAACGTATGTATGTAAAGTTTAAAATGCATACTAAAGAGTCAAAAGTGTTGATAATAGCCGTATTGCTGATCGTAATACGGTCAAATTTGGGATCCTCAATTGCACCAAGCATTGAAATTCACTTCACTAATGACAATACGACTTTACGTAAGAACAAAATGATACAAATTCAATTGCATTATTATAATGTATTAACCTGGGTTTTGATCTCTTCAAAAACCGATTTATTTTCATGAGACATAATTTATGTATGTATGTATAACCATTTAACAACAATATTCTTTCGAAATATTTAGCCCTACTTTACCGCGTGGATCGTTGCATTCGCGTCATTCCAAAATCAGAATCTAGCGACATCCATATGATTAACACTAATGGGAATTGTATCAATATTTATTCTCGAGAGAACTGCGTTGGACAATTCATCCGGGTTCAGACAAGTCGTTTCTCCGAACATGTCCGCAACATGGCAGGGCATCGTTGGGAAGACGACATTTTGGTTGACCATGAAAAAATGATTGTTGGTTCAATCGGGCCTTGTTTAGAGAAATGCGACCCTCAAAACTGGGTCGGAATGAGGAAGGATATTCCAACCAACGTCACGCTGTATAGCAATGTGGGTTATAATGGTGAGGAAGATAATGATCAGGTCAATTTATTAAGACCAATTAAACTAATTGACCCATTTAATATTTCAGGAACGGAATACACCTACTCAATACCTGGGATGCAGTGCATCACAATTCCACTATTGATAGCGTCCATTAAAATTTCTGGAACTGCGACAACCACCTGTGTCGAATTACATGGAGACCCCTCGTGTGGGGGAAACTCAGTCCAATTACGGCCAGGGTATCCACAGCTCTATTTTCTATGGGGGTGGGGCTTCCATCGTGGGCAAGATGTCGCTACTTTGACCCAATCTATCTCACTTTGCGGATATTCTTGTCCAGCAGTAACGACCAAGCCTACTCATAAAACTATGACTCCGACAACGAAGACGACTGTATTGGAAGAACCGGTAACCAATCAGTCAAAATTTCATGTTCATGAAAACGTAAATGATTCGCAAGGAGAAGAACAAACATTACATTTACCGGTGTGGGCCATTCTGTTAATTATACTGGGAATTTTATCCATCATGGGTCTAGCCGGGTTTGCTGGGGTTTATTTTTTTCCGCGGTATCGAAATGAACACCTTCCGTCTTACGAAGTAGGTAGAGCTGTCATTTACAAGTCACAATCTGAAAACCTTTAAGTTGTCACATTCTAAATCATTTTCGAATTAAATCATAGTTCTTTAAATTTAATCTTATAACTTTATGTATCGATCGATGTACGATGTTGTAATATTAAGGATAATTCTTGGGTGTGTGGCTTATTGTTAATTTGATATACGATTCAAATTGTAAATACTTAATTCTTATCAAAAATTGTAAATTTATTATGAACACTGATTTCAAGTACTTAATGAACGCCTTTTCAAATCGTGCCATCAATTATGAATCAACCCTTATTTAGATTATGTACATACGGCGTATCTGAGGATGAGTGTGTAAAATTGTTAATCTCTACAGAGCATGGAACATACAGTAGCACTGTTAAAACCTACGCATTTGCAGATAAATGAATGCGCAAGGTATTTATTTACGAAGAAGTTTAGCCGTTAACGCATTTTGTACTTACTACGTGATTTGTATCTTGCAATTACGTATCAATTTCTTGGAAAATGATAAGCATGACGAGATTGAGTAAACCGTCGATGGTGAAATTGAACATACGAGATTATGCTTACCATTTTCCACTTCGCCTCTATGCGAAACTCGCCTACATCTGTGAATGCACAAATCTGGGCAAAATTTGTATACATAATCCTTCAGATTGGTACATATATTTTCACATTGTGCATACATACAGAATCAATGCATGTATAACTTTTCCTACTTCAATTATCAATTAAAGTGTAACGTATGTATGTAAAGTTTAAAATGCATACTAAAGAGTCAAAAGTGTTGATAATAGCCGTATTGCTGATCGTAATACGGTCAAATTTGGGATCCTCAATTGCACCAAGCATTGAAATTCACTTCACTAATGACAATACGACTTTACGTAAGAACAAAATGATACAAATTCAATTGCATTATTATAATGTATTAACCTGGGTTTTGATCTCTTCAAAAACCGATTTATTTTCATGAGACATAATTTATGTATGTATGTATAACCATTTAACAACAATATTCTTTCGAAATATTTAGCCCTACTTTACCGCGTGGATCGTTGCATTCGCGTCATTCCAAAATCAGAATCTAGCGACATCCATATGATTAACACTAATGGGAATTGTATCAATATTTATTCTCGAGAGAACTGCGTTGGACAATTCATCCGGGTTCAGACAAGTCGTTTCTCCGAACATGTCCGCAACATGGCAGGGCATCGTTGGGAAGACGACATTTTGGTTGACCATGAAAAAATGATTGTTGGTTCAATCGGGCCTTGTTTAGAGAAATGCGACCCTCAAAACTGGGTCGGAATGAGGAAGGATATTCCAACCAACGTCACGCTGTATAGCAATGTGGGTTATAATGGTGAGGAAGATAATGATCAGGTCAATTTATTAAGACCAATTAAACTAATTGACCCATTTAATATTTCAGGAACGGAATACACCTACTCAATACCTGGGATGCAGTGCATCACAATTCCACTATTGATAGCGTCCATTAAAATTTCTGGAACTGCGACAACCACCTGTGTCGAATTACATGGAGACCCCTCGTGTGGGGGAAACTCAGTCCAATTACGGCCAGGGTATCCACAGCTCTATTTTCTATGGGGGTGGGGCTTCCATCGTGGGCAAGATGTCGCTACTTTGACCCAATCTATCTCACTTTGCGGATATTCTTGTCCAGCAGTAACGACCAAGCCTACTCATAAAACTATGACTCCGACAACGAAGACGACTGTATTGGAAGAACCGGTAACCAATCAGTCAAAATTTCATGTTCATGAAAACGTAAATGATTCGCAAGGAGAAGAACAAACATTACATTTACCGGTGTGGGCCATTCTGTTAATTATACTGGGAATTTTATCCATCATGGGTCTAGCCGGGTTTGCTGGGGTTTATTTTTTTCCGCGGTATCGAAATGAACACCTTCCGTCTTACGAAGTAGGTAGAGCTGTCATTTACAAGTCACAATCTGAAAACCTTTAAGTTGTCACATTCTAAATCATTTTCGAATTAAATCATAGTTCTTTAAATTTAATCTTATAACTTTATGTATCGATCGATGTACGATGTTGTAATATTAAGGATAATTCTTGGGTGTGTGGCTTATTGTTAATTTGATATACGATTCAAATTGTAAATACTTAATTCTTATCAAAAATTGTAAATTTATTATGAACACTGATTTCAAGTACTTAATGAATAGTTTATGAATAGTTTATGAACATTTTACACATATTCGTATTTGGTGGTGGTGTAATATTTATTGCTGCAATCTCGGGCAGTAAAAATGCATTATTTCCCCTTCCATAATTAGATATTTGTGTTTCACGGTTGCGATGGTGGCGTTTGTAATTTTGGAGCAGCGCCAGGGAAGAGCGTTCGACGAGTAACGGTATCGTAGTCGCTGGGGTCAAAGTGGACATGGCAAACGTACTTGTTTGATCCGACAGGGACAAGCTCCAAAGGAATTTGAAGTTTCGAACACCACAGTTCACGAGCAGGATCGCCTTCTTTTGTGGGGAACTTGAAGAAGCTAATGGTCTTATTATGCTGGGTGCTCGAGCAGCCTAGTAGAACACAGGTTCTTGTCATCTTGGCAGTAAACTGAAAAGAAATGATAAGTATTCGGGTTAAATATTTGCTATTCCTATTTGTTAAATATTTAAAATTATCCATGTTGAATTAAAGCATGAATTGATAATTTCTTAATACAGGATGTCCGTAGATTATATGAACACTAGATTTACACGGGTAACATGCGAACGGATGATCCAATTGGCGCCAAATTTGGCAAGCACGGACTCGAAGGTCATGACAACACCTGTGCAAAGTTTCAAATTTCTATCTTCAAAGGTGGCCCCAAAAAGTGACCCCAAAGTGGGGGAATCGTAAAACCTGTTTCCGAAGCTAACTTGGCCGCGGAAAGTGCCCAAACGATTATTCAAAAATCTGAAACCCATCTTATCCTGTCCCCCATATATCCCTTCATCAAGTTTGCAAGAAAACGATGGTAATTAGTTAAATCCGACCAATGTATATCTAAAAATGGATACCCCTCAAAACGACGAATTCTCCCACCCTCAAGCAAAATGACCGCCTCCCTCTCAGTGAGAATCCTCTGACCAAGCAAAGGTCACAACACAATCCCAGATGCCTCCTGAACACGTTAATCGTATTATAAATCACAACTTTGAAAAAGCAGTCCTTAGGAAGGCGAAATTCAGAACACTAAAATTATCCAATGTTGTAAACAAAAAACTAACAGTCGGAGGCTGTTTGAAGGTCATGTTGGGAGTAAAAATTCCGAATTTGTCGTCACGTTGGAGGGGACACTCTGCTACATCCAAAACTGCAACTGGATAACAATAATTTAGTGCATAAAGGACCGGAAGCAGGTTTCAAGCTATGGGTCTGAGAAGAAGGAAAAGTTGTCTGACTGATTCCTCGTGGTTTGTGCAATGACGGTCCGTGGAGTGCTAGCATTGATACCTGTCTGGTATAATGTGAAAATAAAGTCGATGTACTTCATGGACAATGTTCTACACAAGTTTTTGGATTTCGCAATTCCATAAAAGTACCTTTGGGGAGCTCGACAAAGTTTGCAGTCGGCACAACACAACATTTTTATATATTGCGGAGTTTACCCATTATGACGCCCAAGATTTAAACAAAAAAATCGGAATTACCTCGACATCTTATTCCGAGGTCCATATTCAGTAATCTGGCACGGGTCAGATGGATTTTTTCGGGTTTGGATGCCTGAAACAAAGCATTTTCAAGAGGAAGTCATGAACTTTGGTTGGGCTTTGGAAAGTTCAAAATCAAGAATGGGATCTTGTCTCCCCTGAAACGTGTCGAAATGTGTTTGGAAGTTGGAAACCAAGACTCAGACTTGTTGCTAAGAAGAATGCAGAATACATTGAGGTCGCTAAAGTAATTCACAGTCATCGTGTTCAGAAGTTAATAGGTAATTCATACTGTTCATATAAACTGCGGACACCCTCTGTAGTAGCGTTGTATATGTACATGTTAAATTGATGTGTAGTTTATTTTGCATTACCTTGAATAACTTTAATCAGATTTTAATACGATAACTTGGCAGGGGTTACAATCAAGCATTGTGTGTATTCGACCACGATAATTAGTTATCTCTGCTTCATTAGCCTGCACAAGAAAATAAATATTTAAGAGCAATTAAAACCACGAGGAAGACGGGGAATATCTAAATAAATTCACCAAGGAACGACTCACCGTTTAAATTATTTCTAGATATCGCAGTTCATCCCCGATTTTGTGGGCGTTTTGGGGATTTATATTTCTCAAATTTGTTTACTGTGGAAGTTTTTTAGTTGAAATTGAGGAATTATTGTTGAGCGAGTTGTGATTCACAACTTGTGAAGAAGAGTGTTGATAACCACGTGGCTCAAAGTTACACACTTTCCAACGATGACTACATACAGTATACATAATACGCAAATACCTGAGATGGCTGTAAAATGTGTTATAAATAGACTCACGACGTACTGTCCTTGAGCAACTCATTGTCAGAATCAGAGAGGTAGCAAAAGAAAAATGGATCAGTTCGGTACCACGTAAAAATTTAAAACTTCAACAATTGTAAATTTTAAAACTTTAACATAATTTAGAAAACGATAATAAAACTATCTTTAATTCTATTCATGTTTTCTAAATTATGGGAAAGTTTCAATTCTTTTATGCTGTACTCCACACCGTGTGGAGTACAGAATTAAGCGTGTGGACCACACGCCCTTTTTATCTTTACCCCCTCTCTGTTTCTACCCGGCACAGAGTTGCTCAGGGACAGTACCCACTATATTACCGACTAGAAAAATGTAACCATCTACAGCATGACGTCCTTTTAATTCATGCAGGATTGAACTTTTACATAAATTGAGAATTTTGACAAAACTATACCCCTGCCCGTCAACAAGTGTACACAAGAAGTGTAAAGTTCCCCGTCAACATGATTTGGAGTAATGTGAGACTGACAGGGGTGTAGTTTCTCAGAATTCTCAATTTCTGTAGAAGTTCAATCCTGTGTGAGTTTAGACTCTAAATTTTAGAGTATGCACTAAATTTCTCCTTCAAAACTTGCGAACTAGGGTTTCGCCATGGTACGTATGTATATATTTGCGAGTGAGTTCTGGGAGAAATTGAAAAATATTACGTCTTATTAAGTGAAAAGTTATGATGTACTTTAAACAGTTTTAATGACTTAACCACTAATGATATTAATGCTTGTAAAGGTTCACTGCATGAAAACAAAAGCGGTAATCTTTTGGTTTTTCTACCATTTCCGACTAGTTTTGCTAGTTTTGGGAATTTTCTACTCGAAATTTCCTTAGGTAAATAGTGCATGCGTACATTATAACTTAAGGGTAAAATAAGTAATTGGACACGCTAAAAGTGTGCAATGTGCTAAAGAGTGTTGAGGGTATTAATCATTTTCTTTTTGTATTTTATATATTGGGCAAGGCATTAAATAATATTTACAAAAGTTTGGAAAACGAAACTCTGTAGTCACAATAAGTACCGTTATACATATCCCTTATTATACAATGCACGAACCTTTTTCTTTCCCTTTGTCCCCTTAATCTATACATGAAATAATGCAGTAGGACAGCTCAAATGAATCTGTTCACACGATAACATTATTACTCTTGTCTACCGTCAAAAAAAGGTGAAATGAAATATTATAAAATTTAGATACATACATATTTTCAATTTCACATAACTTTAGAATTTAAATCTAAAATGGAAATATCCCCCTTGAACAACGGATTGGTAAGCACGCAATTTTTTTTTACTCCTGGGTACAATATTATATTTTTAAACAGTGTAATTGCTTATATACACGGAAATCTGGAATAATTAGGCTGGTAGTTATTTCCCGGTATTAAAATTTCTACCTCTTGGTACTAAAATTTTACCGATTCATAAAAATTTGCTACCGATATGGCGAAACCTTAGTTATTAGTACTGAGCTATTACCACACGGTATTACTTATCAATACCACTTTGGTACAGTCATATCTGATTACCGCTTGGTATTATTTTAATACTAGATGTCTAAGAGTGCACTATTATTTCAGATCCTAAACAACATATTCAAATTTCTACCACCAACTACTCTACAAACTGCACGATTAGTTTGTAAATTATGGGACTACGAAGCAGCAAAGTGTTTCCCGATAACCATTTTGATAACACCATCCACCTTCAAGCAACCTACGGCCAGAAATCTAATCCAATTTGTCACCAAGTACCAAATTGAGTACACATTGCACTTATCATTTCTCCCAAAAAGTTGGTGGAATTATGATAAAAAGGCCAGGTTGTATATGGACACACGTTTTGTGGACGCGCTTTACAGTCAAATAATTAACGTCTCCACGGGTTCAGCGTCTTACATTATGGATTTCCTATCCGAAACGTTGCAGCTCGTTCGGGATCTCCGGCTTGAGATGATGGTTCGCAATGAAAGCGAAGGGAAATTATTGTCCAAACTTTTCCATGGAATGCCCGGTTTAAAAGCGTTGTCACTGGATCTTGTCGACTGGACGGAGGAAGGATTGCAGAAAAGTGCCATTTTCGCTTGATATTTTCGGACTACAATTTCATAATGTGAGTAAAATCATGAGTTTTGATTACCTGCTTATGAATAAGAAATCTCTAATTCATTATTATTTCAATGGGGGCATTCACGACGATATCTTCATTGCATCTCAACTAAAAAATTTATTTGCGAGAGATTCGTTGTTTTGAGTACCCTCAATGAATTAAAATTTGATTTTTTACTCTAAATAGAAGGACCGTGTTCACGATAGTAAAATCACATCCATCGGAACTGAAGCAGACTATTTACCACTTTTGAACAATTGGCTCTCAACCTTACTCCAATTATTTGATACCATAAAATTCCTGGATACGATAGGCTGCCAGATAACGAAAAACGAAAGAATTTGCTATAACTATGATGTTTACTGCCTTAAAATCGTTACCAAACTGATTTCCCAAAATCCTTCCAGTTTCCCAAATCTGGTCGGGTTGAGCTTTTTGATTGACTATGAGTACACAAATATTCGCCAAATTCAAGTCTTCCATAACTTAAAGCATTTATACCTCAACGTAAAGGAGTTTCGCCCCCAGGATGAGGTCGACGTTAGCATATCGTGCCACATTTTAAATTTCCTCCTTACAAATTCACATTCCTTGGAAACATTCGATTTTACTTGGGACCATCTTTCTAACGTTTCCGGTTATGATTTTAGTCTGCCATGCTTACCCAGGTTGAAGTATTTAGGTGTGACTAGCTACTCATGGGGAGAAAGGTACGATGGGTATGACTGGACACCCGCGTTGCCGGATGTGATAAACATGAGGAAACTTCTCCTGGTAAGTGAAGTTAAAGTCATATTTGAAAATGATTAGACGTACACGTACTCATGACAAAGTCGTAAAATTGAGCTTTGAAAACCTATTTTGCAAACATGTAAAGTTTGCACAGAAATATGTAAGCGTGGAGTGCAGAGATACGGAAAATTTGATTTTGTAATATTCCCAACACTTCGGTTCTTCTGATTTGATTCGGCTTCCATGAATTATCTTTGCCGGATTCAACATCAATTTTACAAACTGGTTCAGTTTTTAATCCCCTAATTACGTCTGTTTGCAATCACCGCTAATGTTGAGGATGAGTTTTCGAAATCATTTTGAGAAATAAAAATCTCATATTTGTTCATCAAAAATTTCGCAAAATGTTTTGCCATTAAGCCCACAGGTGAAATATGCTACGCTACCTATCCGTCTATACCGCCGCATGTTATTCAACGATACGTCATTGATTCACAAGAAAGTTTTGTGTGTCACCTCCACTGGTGCTACAGACTTGGTTTTGGTCTTTAAAAAAGCTCCAGAATGTTGTTCGTCTACTCCCGGCTATAAGTAAACACTTTGAATAGTTTCTGAAAATGTTTGAAATAAACCGTAGTAACGTTAGAAGTAGCTCACCCTGCCATGATGATTAGACAGAACTTTGCACCGAAGGTGCGGAATAAGCCGGCAAAATAGATCATAAATCGTATATATTCTTGCACCCATGGTGCAACAAAAACGGCTAGCCGTTGCACCATTACTGCAGCATTAGCGACCATCCGGGATACAAAATTTTGAAAACTTTGTCAAAATTGTATGACCATTTCTCCCGGATATTTTGCACTATTGGTGCGTTTTGCATCCCTTCTCCCAATTATTTCGCATCATTTTGTGTTACCGATTGTTAGATATCAACTGTGCTATTTATTTATTAAAAAATTCGATTCGGTTTGTTCAATACCAATGGTGCGCCTAACATATTCTATAATGGTCAAGGCGATGTTTAAATAGCATCAATTGATGCAAAAAACTCGTTAACAGACAGACAGACGGACAAGAGGAATTCAATAGCTCTCATGCTACGCAGGGTGAGCTAATAATGTATCAAAGTTCTCAAAAAAATTAATTTGCATTTCCAAAAACTTTAAAAAAAATGTTTATGGTCGGGATTAGAAGAAGAATATTCTGAAGCTTATTTTGAGACCAAAATCAAGTCTGTAGAGCCAGTGGGTGCGGCACTCAAAATTTTCCCAGACCCCACAAAGTATATATATTCTGAATCCTCTCATCATGATCTTTCCAATGATACCCCATTTATGGGGCTGTGAGCCTTGACCTTGTGACCTTTGTCCTTAGTACATTCAATTTTTTGACCTTAGAAAAAATTAAAAATTCTCAATGAATCTCAAAATACAACTCTACAGTATTTTTTGACAAAAACGTAGAATATTCATCCAAGATTGTTGAAATGCCAGTGATTTGAAAAATTGTTAACTTTGTAACTTTGCTCAGTCACCTGCCCTCTTGAGCTTAATTTTCGAGATGAATGAAAGCTTCCTGTCGTGAGTACCATTTGTTGACAAATGGTAACGAATTTTTTTTCTTGCGTGGTGGAAATGCAGCGTTCTCCGCAACCTTGCCAGTTTTGGAGCACCTACTTTTAGTCATGTTAGGAAGAAACGGTCATGACGTGTGGGAACACATATTTCCCTTCAATCTTATCCCCGTGGGAGAAACAATACCACAAATTAAATCATTACTGATCTCACTAATTAACGAGTGTGATGCTGCATTTATTTGCAGCCTTTTTACCTTGTTTCCAAACTTGGCAAGATTGCGACATTTCATAACTAAAAATATTGAGGGTAGAGAATGTCTGTGTTTATGTGAGCATGACGCAAAAATCGGGAAATTTATAAGTTCTAAAACTATAAACCTTGGATTCAAGGAGTATTACGATGTTGGTTTGTTCTGTTGGTTGTATGGATTACGACAGCATATGAATTTAAGACGGAAAGATTTCTGTTTTTGGGGTGAAACATGTAAACACCAGAAAGTTTCCGCAGTGGAGGACAATGTCAAGTACATAAATATTTTGAGTCCACTCTTGTAGATTGAATGAGTATGAGACGATTTATTGTGTTTTTACGTCATTTTCGAAATCGAGAAGACAATTTAGAAATGCCTAGGTAAGAAATCTTAGTATAAAATATTTACGTATTTTCGAACAATCAGGAATCTCCAACTTGGTTGAATTTTTTATTAAAATCTGGAAAAAGTGTTACATCGACATTTTGTTATCATGTGTTTATCGTTTTCTTTCTATTTTACACGACAAATTTAAATTACCTATTTATACATAAATAAGGAAAAATTAGCTAAACTCTAAATTTATATTGTTTGTTTTTGTAATACGATAAATAAGTATTTCATGTACAAATACAGGAATTGGAAAGCTTTTAAGAATGCAAAATTTTCTTGGTAGAAAAATTACTTAATTGTTCCAAATTGTTCCAAATTTTTTAAATATGCACATTTTTCTAAATACGACGTGTTTATTTTGTATTTAGTTACACATCACACAGAAATGTACATCTGAAATTTTAAGTGCAAATATTATTTCTCATAGGATTTTGAAGAAATAGATTTTTAATTTTTGCAGGTATGTATGTATCCAATTTGTTAAATATATTTCCAATTTATCAAATCATGTTCCTTAGCCTACAGTTGATTTTTTAGATGCTTGCGCATCTTATTTCTTTCAGTACGAGTTCAGAATTACATGGTGAATCCAATTACATATATATCCACCCAAAATATGAATATTTCTGACTGAAGATTTTCTCTTAGGAGGAGGAAACATGCGCAATTTTCCATGAGTATTTTTACGGGTAATAAATCTTACTTTTACACAAGTATTTAAAGTTGGGTTAAATAGTTTCAACGAAATTCATCCCATACCTATCGCCAAAGCAAAAAGCTCTATAAATTTGACCTCATTTACCCAGTCAATTTTCATGGAACATTTTGCATCTTCATAATCATTAACGAATTTCCAATTTAAATTTGTCGTCGTTTTAAATTCAAGGAATCTCTCATCATCCAATGGCACGTAAAATTCCCCTTTGAATTTCCATCCCTGGTCGAACTTCCCTGCGAACCAAAACGAAATTAACACACAGTTTTCAAATACTAACAAGTTTTCCCGCCAGAACATATTTACATACTTATTATCTACTTACCTATCCCATCAATTACATTATTGTTCTTCAACATGTAAATTACTACCAGGTGTGCAATAAGTATCATGAGGAAGTACACAAGTGTTCCTTCCAGGACCCAAATACGCTGGCGTTTTTGAATGTAGCGCTGAATAGTTTCTACGAAACGGTGAGTATATTCACTTGGGGGGTCGGGATTATCGAGCCGCGTGCGCATGTCGTTTGAGGCCCACGCGATGTCCCATGTTACACGCCATTGGAAATGCCCAAACAAAAGTGTCGTCATTGCGCCGAGTATGAGGAAGAATGGGGGCGCATAGTTGTAGAAAAATTGGTCCAATATGCTAAATTCTGTGAAATAGGATAAAATCTAAATGTGTTTGGCAGCTTTGCATAATCTTGCTTGCATAAGGACAGCATTGAATAACTACATACATATATTGAACATAATTCTCATAGTAAATAAGTGTACACTATTTAGATATGCGTACACATATTTATGTATCTATGTAACAGGTGTTTATGCAAATTGCCACTATGCAAACATTTATTATGCAAGTTGACAAAGTTTGATTACTAATTACCATACTCCGGATAAATATTTTTTTATAAAGCCCGAAATATTTATTTTATATTTTTGAAAAAGCGCCAAAATATTTATAAAAAAATATTTTTTTTCAACATCTAAAGACTCATAAATTCGAGTTTCAACTATAATTCATCACCCCATACATAAATTAGGCAGAGATAATTAGATTTTAAATAAGTATCAAAATCATCATTCGAAAGTTCAAAGTGAAAAATACATAAGTTCCATTAAGACATGCTGGCGTTAATCCACGGCGTCTGAGGAGGAAAGACCCTCTACCTGTCATTCTCAGATCTTGAATCAAGATCTGATCAAGATTCTTGATCAGATCTTGCTAAATTTAGGACATTCCACTTCTCACGAATTATTTAAAAACGTTCAAAATTTCAAAAAAGTTAAGACATTTACTGGATACGATTATACAAGTATCTAGGATTACAAAAATATAAATTTTATCAAAATTCGAGCAAAATTGGATTTTTGTTGACAGTTGAAGAACATAAAAACAAGCTTTTTCGTCAGTGTTGCAAATAAGTCCAGGTTCATTTGACACTTCGAATTTCGTCCTAAGTCTTGTTTTTTGATCATTTTGGGAATATTCCCACCCATAAGCTAACATGTGTCAGTAAAATCACAATAACTTCTTTCCCCCACTCATGTTTCGCGTAAAATTTTTTTATTGTTAACTATTTCGATATTAGATCATAATTTCAAAAAATTGAGAAAAACATGAATGGTGGCAAGAAGTTTAACGCTTCAAAATTGTCATTCAAAATTTTGAAAATTGAAAATTTTCAACTTTTGAAAATTTTATCAAGTAGATTACGGCAAATAAAATAAAGTTTTAGTTGGAGTAAACTGTTTCAACGATCTGTTGCACGTGATATTTCAAATGCAACGCATTTTTAAAATTTCACAAAAAATAATAGCTCGGCCAATATTTGAAATTTAATTTTTTAATTTTTTGACGTTAAGTTCTCTTACATACATACTGGTGACTATTAATAAAATAGGGGACAAAATCTGAGACCTATGCCGCAATGGGAAACAGGCCTTCAAAAAAACTGAGTCTATTGTGTTGTCATTCTTGTCTTTATTTAATGTGTACATTAAATAAAGACAAGTGTATATACAATGTGTATACACATTAGGAATTAGTGTAATAAAATATCATGAAAATAAGAAATTACGCTAAAGTAAAAAAAATCCAAAAATGCCAACAAATACATCAAAAACCTGAAAAAATTCAGCAAAAAATTAAAATATCACGAAAAAAATATATTTTGCTAAAATTTAGAGAAATATTGACGAAAATATTTATATTTGCGAAAAGTCCATAATATTTTTTAAAATTGAAAATATTTTTGAATTTTTGATAACCACAAGTGTTGATAAACAACCCCACAAATTATGGGGGTCGACGTGCTTGAAATGAAAAAATCATAAATAAAAAAATACCCGGGGTATGCTAATTACCTTGCGTTCCACTTGTTTCATTAACGAATTGTGTCCAATTGTCCGTCACGAGAGGGAATCGTGCCGTGATATTTGAATGCGAAGGTTGGTCTGAATTTTGCGTTTTATCTGTATCAATCGACCCTTTGCATAGTATTATCTTAACGTCCTCATCAACCGATAGTGTCGAATTTCTCATTGGTGCAGGGGAAAGGGGAGCATGGTGAAATGTCTGCATTATGCAAAAATACTCATGTTAATTTTTACTCAACAATTACGCAATCACGGAGTGAGAGCTCCCTCCAAGCAATCACAGTCTTGGGGATTAATCACTAATTAAAGAAATTTCATGTTATTTCATTATAGCATGTATTTTTTGTATGCCAAGCATCTTAGGTACATAAAATAATCTAAATTGAGTGACAATAAACCGTTACAACGCATGTAACCAAGGGGTGAAAGGAGTGTCATACGTCAATGTGAATATCAAATTGTTCGAAAATTTGTTAAGATTGACACTTCTGACGTGTTTTCGACTTTTGTGTCTTATTTGTGTCAAATTTAACAGTTGATAACCCTTATGTGACCTTTATATGACCTCTGAGGTCAAAATGGAGGTCACCATTGAATTCGGGGTTAAATTTCAGTTGAAATAGAAATAGATATGTCCTATGACCTTTACATGACCTCTGAGGTCAAAATGGAGGTCACCATTGAATTCGGGGTTAAATTTCAGTTGAAATAGAAATAGATATGTCCTATGACCTTTACATGACCTCTGAGGTCAAAATGGAGGTCACCATTGAATTCGACATTGAAAAATAGTTAAAAATGACGTGTCACATGTCAAAACTGACAAGTGACACTTTTTCGTCACTTTTCGTCACCGTGACGATGTCATCGTCACAGGTGACGTCCAAACACAAAATGACCTGAATTTTCGAATTCCTCGTTGAAAATTAGTTAAAAATGATGTGTCACATGCCAAAACTGATACGTGACACTTTTTCGTCACTTTTCGTCACTGTGACGACGTCATCGTCACAGGTGACGATGTCACAGTGTCCATCTTCGAACTCGTCCTGTCCATTGACGTTAGGAGTTTACGTTCAAAATTTCAAGCGTCTATGTCTTTTCGTTCAAAAGTTATCGGAGCTACGGACAGACAGACGGACGGACGGACGGACGGACGGACGGACAGACAGACGGACATAACGATCTTATAAAGGGCTTTCACCCCTTAATAATGAAAAACGGAATCAATTCACACATCCAAAATTTTTATTTGGACAAGATTCTCAGGGTTTGTAGAGCTAATTTTTCTGAGTTCAACGGTCGAAGTCCGGTGTTCCTACCCCTCCCCTTTGCAGAGTGGGAGGAGCTTAAAGTTGCGAAAATAGCCTCCGTCTGCGATTTTTAGCTCAACGGTGGGTAAATATTTTTTAAAACAGTTTTCGCCAAAAGTTTCCTAATTTTGTTCTCTACAATTGTTTTCGAGCGTTTTTCGAAATTCGCAAAAGTAATTTCACGATTTCAAGCATCCATAACCTAACACAGCAGTAGATTGGGAGCTAACATAGCAATAGATTGGAAAGAACTCAAAAATATTCTTCTGTGTCTGTAGCATCCACAGAATATAGATTCTACCAGAAGAATCGATCTTATGTATTCGAGTGACGCTTATGGAAGAACGGGGAGAGCCAACCAAATAACTCGGTGTACATTTGGCCCACCTGGGGGATGGCACCTCCGCATCATCATCATCACCACATCTCCTGGCATCAAAAAATGATGATGAAAGCACATAGGTGGCGGTGGCACCCCCATTTGTGCACCAGAACACACCATTCTGACTCAGCTCAGAATTTCTGAGCTGCGTCTCCACAAATTTGATGCTCTACGAGGGTGTGTTCTGGTGCACAAATGGGGGTGCCACCGCCACCTATGTGCTTGCATCATCATTTTTTGATGCCAGGAGGTGTGGTGATGATGATGATGCGGAGGTGCCATCCCCCAGGTGGGCCAAATGTACACCGCGTTATTTGGTTGGCTCTCCCCGTTCTTCCATAAGCGTCACTAGAATACATAAGATCGATTCTTCTGGTAGAATCTATATTCTGTGTGTAGCATCAAGGAGTTGTTATACACCAGACAAAGTATATATATTCTGAACCCTCCCGCCGAGATCTTTCCAACGATACCCCACTTATGGGGTAATGTGAGACTTGACCTTTCTATAGGTTTATTATGAAATCGTGAAATTCGTTTCGTGAATTTCGAAAAACGCTCGAAGACGGTTGTAGAGAACAAAATTAGGAAACTTTTGGCGAAAACCTTTTTAAAAAATATTGACCCGCCGTTGAGCTAAAAATCGCAGACGGAGGCTATTTTCGCAACTTTAAGCTCCTCCCACTCTGCAAAGGGGAGGGGTAGGAACACCGGACTTCGACCGTTAAACTCTGAAAAATTAGCTCTACAAACCTTGACAATCTTGTCCAAATAAAAATTTTGGATGTGTGAATTGATTCCGTTTTTCATTATTGTCACTCAATTACAAGTCTGAAAAAATCAAAACAATAAAGTTTTCTTACCCGATTTCGAATTGTATTCAGGTTCGTGTCCATCGATTTAATAATTGATTTTATAAATTGGCGAAATTCTTCGCCACGTTGAATCCCATCATGATCTGAAAGCTTCCTCCACTCCGTTCTTGTTGTCGTGTTTAAAAGAAGAGTGGACGATTTGCTCGAGATGACAAATTCTCTCGTGAAGTTTAACGACTGTTTTTCTGCAAGAGAAATATTTATATCTGAAAAACGTGAACTAATTCCAATTACACGTTTGTTGTGATGGAATTATTTGCATATACGATTATCTAACTTTCGAATTTGCCCATCTCCACCTCTTTTACATATTTGATTAGCAAGCTATTTTTCAAAACTCCTTTGCCAGATGCACACGCGAGCTCGGAATGCATACCCTCCATACCAACCTTGGAGATGTGCAAGTTTTCGCAAATAAATTTGCTACCGAAATTGCATATTTATTTAGCGAACTTTTTTGTGCGAATCTTGCAAACTTGTCGTGAATACCTTTAAATTAAGTATTTTTACCTTTAATTCGTTCAAGTTCATTGCGCCACGTCTTATTCATATTGACCCTTTCACTCAAACTCATGCCCATCAGAAACGAGACATAAAACACTAGTACAAGTGCGTCCCTGTTACGTTTTCGGTGTCTGGCAATCTGAGCGTCGCCATTCCCCGAGTTATTATTGTCACCCGGAGGTATCATCACTCCACTTAAAGCATTATTTAAATCCCTCCACGTTATAAAGTATGGGACATAACCCAAACTAAAAATTGTCGTGGCGATAAGAGCTGTCACCAATTGGTTGTAGTATACAAACTTTGGTAGAGTTAGGTCGTCATGGTTGGTGAGGACGTTGCAGTGTAAAGGTGGTGAAACGGACTGATATTTTTGTGCGAAATGTGTACTTATTCTGTTAAATAGTGTACTTATTTACTCCCAAAATCGAAGGTTCAAACGTAGCAGGGAATATGACCAGCTGGAATGAAATGATAAACGAGATCATGAATGAGATTTGTGGGACGGGGTTGTTTTTACTCCTTTTTCGGAGGGTAGAATCGGGTATTAGGGGTTCGTCATGGACTGTTTGTAAGTGGTTTTAATAATGTGGGCATAATGTAAAAACGACAAAAATATTATGTGATGTTAGGCAAAAAATCGAACCTTCAGTGGTTTTCACTAGTCTGACTGGAAATGAGGTGGGAAAAATTGGCATAAATAGAGCAGCATAAGAATTGGCGTGTGTCTGACCATGAGACCTGATTTAATCGTAATAGTAATAAAATTTAAAAATTTTTTGGTTTCCGGCTAAAGCGAACCAGTGTTTCCTAAGTCGGATTGGGAGGACCCAGTTTTTTTTCAAACGAGGTTATCCCTGATCCCGGAACCCTGTGCAACAGTATAAACTAATGAATAAAATGGTTCATGTTTCTACTATGGTTAATTTGTTCACTGATTTAATTTGTATTTGCAAGATTGCAAACACAAAAAGCATTTAAAATATGCATCTGTTATATTTAAATCTTTATGAAATTTAGTTTTCAAGCGTTTTAAGATACTAAAGTTCCCAGCAAAAATAACGTCCCTCTTTCTACATACGGGGAAAAAATAAAAATAAAATCGGAGAAAGGGAACCCTATTTGCCAAATATAATATTCCACAAGAATTATTTTAAGCTTTTTATCAAAATTTCAACCATGAGTTTTGCTTGCTAAATACATACATACATATGCATTTCTTCCAAATATGTAAGTTTGTAATACTCATTAAGCGTTTTCTCCATAGCTTAACCATTGCAACAGACAGAAACAAAACAAACATATCCCGAAAATAACTAACGAGTCACCCTCTCTCCCAATTTCAGCCCCAATATTGACTCACACATCCACGAGCGAGAGGAAACGACCCTTCTTCTTAAAACTCACACAAATCCTACCTTTGTTCCTCGGTTCTAGAGGGGGGAGAGCTTTGCATGTGTGTGCATATTCACATGAACCCTTAGCAACAGCCGGCATCACAAAACAAACCTTCATTCAAAAGTCACCACCATGAAAAAGATATGTGTCTTATAAATATACCCGTCAAACTTGCTCCCTTTAAGTGCATATGTACTTGCATTGCGTAAAAGGGTCCCCTTCCGAAATCTAGCTTTCATTCATTCGTTCATGCAGTTACAAAACACATACATCCGTTTGCCCATCTTCCCTCCATTTCCGTTTTGACGACACATTAAAGAAATATTTTCAAGTTTTGTATCCAAATTTTTGTTGCCATGGATACTAAAAGTGTGATTTTGATATTAATTTTTACCCTGGGTTTAATCAGTACAAGTGAAAGTAAGTAAATATTTACATTTGCATGCAAAATTCATGAGGCAGATTAAAATGTTACTGTATTTTCTTGTTGAAATCGAAATTCGAGCAAAATTTTGTACCATTAAACCTTTCTGAAACTTTTGTAAAAAAGTGAAATGCAAAGTATTTAATCTCATTATTTAAAGCTGTTATAATTGGCAGGTCGTTGGTCCACCACGTCGTGTTATGTGTGTCGATCTAATGAACACTGTGGCGACCCATTTCGCAATTCTCCCACAAACGAAGACAGAATTTCCTTATTGGACCCCGTGACCGTTTCGTATTGTCCGTCTGGCTGGTGTAGCAAGCAAATTGAGGGGATTCGTGGAAAATTTGAGGACGATGATGGTACATATGTAAAAGTTGTGCAAAAAATCCTGAGGATATGTGTTTATGTACATACGAATATAATGCAAATTTGTGAAATTTTGTATTCTTTTCTTTTGCAGAACCTGATCCCGTAACGGATCGATTCTGTCTGGGGAAAGCTCCCCCACACGATAAGGAGGGTTGCGTAGAGATGGAAATTAGCAGAAAAATATGGCTCTTATGCCATTGTAAGGGGAATTTGTGTAATAAGGCGACATTTTCAAGTGAGATTAATTTAAGGGTAGTGTTATTCAGTCTTTTCAGTAGTTATGTTATTATGCGTCATTTCTTAACTTTCGTGTAAATATGTTATTTATTTAAAGAATTTTTCATGAATCACGCATCACATTACGTACCCAAGTGTGGCATACTCGTAGTGTACGGAAATTCTAAGCGATAAATCAGGATTTTCATAGTATGTATGTGGATTACACAATTTATGAACCGTCCAATAATATTGGTAAATATGTGTATATTACGTCTGTAAGTTTATTTATAGGAAATGACAAATATAAAAAACTAGTCTTTTTTGACGAACATTCTTCATTTGTACGTACATATAAACATTTGGTTTTGCCCATACAAATTATTTACACGTCGTATGTATGCACATATGTATTATTGGTTACATATGTATGTACAGCACTAATTGTTTATTTTATAAAATTTTTATCGACGTGAAATAAATTATCGATGCTCACGCTAATATTTTTTAAACATAAAGTCTGCATAAAGTACCATAACACCAAAGTATTTTACAATCGTAGCACAGGACATATGTAAAATATGAAATGTTAATATGCATATATTGAACTTGCATTTCGTTTTTTGTAAAATGAGAAACCTAAGTAGATTTTCATGAGTGGTAAAAATGGAGTAAACATTCAGTGGAAAATGTGTAAATTCATGAGTCCCAGGGATAAAAACTCATCAAAACTCATGTCTGAACTCATGTGATCATAACTTCCAGAGGCCACACAAACAATTTTAGTCATGTATTGGTAGGTTACACGTTCTGCTTAACAATTACTGTTCGGATATCCCGGCTATTTATCTTTTTACTTCATATTGCATCATTCTTTAATACCAACATACATATATTTGCATATATGGGTAGTTTTAGCCTTGTTAATCAATAATCATCTTTTCCTGTTTATTGCATACAAAACATTTTGCGTCGGACCGAGGTACATCTGCCTTAATCTTGTCCCTATATAAATTGTGATGGCTTTGGCACATTGAGTTACAGTCTGACAGGGACACTAAACACCATAGCATCTCAAACCCATCATTGATTTTAGTTTCCAATTAAGGGTAAGCGTTTTAAATACATACATTTCTACATAATACCGGCAAAATCAAAGTGCAATGCATCCCTCAAAATTACACTTTGCCATGCATATAAACAAATTTTGTTAATTAATTTTAGCCTCCAATTTACGATGGGAATTCCACCCGGCCCCGCATTCTATTCGGCCCTCGCCCAACGGGAATCTGGTAATGATCCAACAATCGTGAATTCATGGGGATTCATGGGTCTCTATCAGATGGGGCCATCCGCCCTGCAGGACATCGGATACATGGACGGTAATGGAAGATGGCTCGGTGGAAATGGAAGACCTTCCTCGCAGGCAGAATTTCTAAATAGTCGAGCCATCCAGGATCAAGCGATTCGACAATATCACATCCTCCTTTGGAGTCGAATCCCGCAAGATGTGAAAAATGCGGTAGGAAGTCGTGTCGGTCGCGTGAATAAAGTAACAGAATCAGGTCTGTTGGCTGGGGCACACCTTCGCGGACCCGGCGGTGTGATTGACTACATACGAAGTGGGGGACAGATTGATGATAAGGATGAAATTGGGACACCTTGCAGTGATTATATTATTCAATTTGGGGGATATGATTAAATTTGGCGAATATCAAGTCAACCTTTTACTGTTTAATATCTTTTATGTATGGGTCGATCAAAGATTTTGTAATTGGCCTAATAAGTAAAATATACATAATTACCAATTTTTAATCGAGGTAATAATAAATGCATAGGCAAATGTATGCAAACAGGTGGAATTCATTATTTTTTGGGAGATTGTTTTTTATTTATTTTATTAATCGCACTTGTTTTAATAGTTTGTTTTTATCGGTTTATTTTAAATTTCAATGGCTAGGTATGTATATATTATGGACACCGTTTTAATTTTATTGAAACTAAGAAAGTAGTATTACTGTCGTATGTTTTCTTGGATCAAATCAGTGAACAAATGAGGGGACAGGTGGTGAACATAGTAAATCCATATGCATATATATATATGTGCATACATACATATGAACATTAAGTAGGCCGGATTGACAAATTTTCAATTTTTATTAATGTAAAAGCATAATTCTTCCCAAGGAAGTATGGGATTACATTGGTCATATATGTACGCACAAACTTTATTAACTACGAGTTTTAAAAATTGTTTATACACACATGTACATAAATACATAATATGTATGTATGTACATGTGTATACGCATTTAGAAAATTCATATGGACATTGGTACCTTGTAGAATCCGTGAGTTTGACAAAATAATTTTACAAGCTTGTAAAAAATAAAAAAATCTCCTTGATCTGAGCAATTTTGTAAAAATTTGTAAGCTAATTTCCCTTATAAATATCGGTTAAATTTTGTAAAAGTTTATGCCTAACTTTACATCTATAAATCCATAAATTCACATGCTTCAATAAATGTGTAAGAGCATTAAAAACTTAGGTTACATACACTACATACATATCTATTTATGTTGTAAGTTCATATCCTACATAAATTAAATCCCCACATTTACTTAGTCAGTCATAACGGTATAATTTTCATAATTCGAACAATTGAATTGCTGTTGTCAAGTATTGTTGGAGTATACAAAAATCCTGTCACTCACGTCCCTACTATCTTTTCAAGGTACAATAAAATGAATAAAGGACTCCTAAAAATTGTATTAAAAATAATATCCATATATGCACACGTGCGGAAAATTTTCGCATAAACTCTTCAGTTGACTGAATTGGAAACCTATTTTTCACCCTAAGTTCTCTTAACTTTCTTTGTCTTCGATCCTTCCCCTCCGTGAATATCAACCCCGTTCCGTTTTTCTGCACGTCTAAGTTTTAGTTCCACAAATTTTGCAGGTATTTCGATTAAATTTCCCAGTGGAATTTCGCTAATTTTAAAATCCTCCCTCTGAATCCCAACAACCTTAAATAAATTATCGGTTGCCCGTATAAGCTCCAATTTTGCACCGAACGAGTTAAAATCAGTTTTGTAACGGTTCAAAAATCTTTTCATAACGACGGACGATTCTCCCGTTTTAAATTTTGGAATAAGTTCTTTAATTTCCTTATCTCTTGCATACATAAGTTTGCACGTGGGCATATACTCATCTGTACGAACTTGAGTTACAAACTCATGAATAATTAAACTCTGTAGAATTTCGTCTGTCAGTTCACTATCGCTAGCTAACTTGTACCCGGAAAGATTCTGGCCAAATGATTTTGCAAATTTTTTAAAATTTCCGTTTTTCATGAGTATGTCCTCTACGTGTTTTCGAGTGATGATATCCAATTTCTCTTTCTCTCCTTAAAGGGACCTCCTGTCTTCTTCCTCTGAAGATCTGCCTGGCTTCGAAGTAAGGATTCCGTACACAAAAACGACTCGTTTACCAAGGAATAATTTTCTCGTAGTGTCGCAATTCTTCATGTCAATTTTCTGCTTTAGATAAGTCTCTGTCTTAGAAATGTTGGCAGTAAGTGCGTTATGCGTTCTGCGCTCGGAATTTATCAATCTAGCGGAATTAACAATTTGGGAACATGCGTCTCTGACCACGTGGTCAAACCCATTTTTAACGTGGTACAAATAATAGGTTTCCTTATCCCGTCGATAAATAATATCTGCTAGCTCAATACTTTCAAAGTACGTGAGTTTTTTATCCCCCACGTAATAATTTGGGAATTCTTTATACTGTTCGTTGTAATACCCTTCGTCAAGTTTGATAGCTTTGCTATCTTCCCAATAATCCCACGGAACACGTAACCCCACCGGGTCATCCGAAGGCAATAAATGGTTTCGCAATATTTGGCGAAATTTATCATCAATTTTCTTTATGTAATCGTCCAACACGTAATACCAGCATTTAGCAATTCTCCAATACAGCTTCCCTTCATGAACCATTTCACCTTCCAAGTAGTTCATAACGGCTTCATCAATTTTCTCGGAGCCTTTCATAAAAGAGATGGTGTAAAGGTAAGGAAAATTGTCTGGGTCTTTTAATATGGCGGGATTTTTACTTTCGTTAATGCTTGCTTGATGAGCCCTAATATTCTCTAGAATTTCGTTAATGCCCGGATTTCTATTAAGGTGAAACACTTCTCTGGTCTTACTATACCCACGAAAATGCAGCTTTTTCTCGTCAGCTTGGACATACTCATTGACAAACTTGTGACAAATATCAATCCCGGATAGGCTACTGGAATCCATAACCCAGCTTTTAAACTGTTTAATTAGTTCAGCATTTAGTTCCTTGGTTTTAGCCAGAGGTGTACGTCGCATGTAGCGTCGGAAGGAATCTATCCCTTCCTGTAATGGTTCAGAGGTCTGGTACATGGCTTCCATGGTTTTTATTAGGAGTATTGTTTTATCCAGCGTGAGTTTTGCATGAAATTTGATGCGACACTCGCCAACGTCAACGGTGGGCATGTTTCCGCCTTGAAATAAGTTTCCGACCGGTGTGTCAGGTTTTAAGGGGGCGGAAAATGTTAGGCAGATGTCGCCCTCGTCCAGATCGGCTAGTGGAACGGGCTTTTTTGCTTGAATCTCTTTCAACCTGAACTTATCGCCGATAACGCATCTAGCCTTGTGACAAAGGGGACCATCCCCGCATAAAATTAGTTCGGGAATTTTGAACAAAAAGTCGGAATCGGAGTACGGCGTGAGTACTTGCCATCCGTTGCCGGCTGTGATGGCGTAATACGTGTCGCCCTCTAGTTTTATGAAGGCGACGTGATGCTTCATATTTGAAACGTGTTCTGTCAGGTTGTGCAATCCGAGCGTGAATTGGTCCACGCGACTGGTTTGTCTTTGCTCGTAGTGGAAAACGTTCTTACTCTGAAGACTTACGCTGGGTACGTGCACGTACAAATTTTGCTGTTTACCGTCGGGAAATTTGGTGTTTTTAATTTGTACCTGTTCGTTATAATCTTCAATTATGGTGGCGAAATTTGTTGTGGTGTCGTCTCGTAGGCGGATAATGCTGACCAGCAGGACTGGAATTATGTAGAGAAGAATTAGTTGTTCGTAGATTTGACATAAAATTATATAAGGGGAAGTTTATAAATTATACAATGTAAAAATCGTAATTTTCTAGACCCCTTCCCTCTGTAATATGAATCACGTATGTTGGCACGATATCATTGGAGTTTTAGACCCTCCTCCCTCTCGCGTTACATAATTTATGAACTGCCCCAAAGTATCATTTTGGCCTACCTGGGTCTCCTTTATCTGCGTCGCTTTCAATATTATCGTCATCAGGTACAAGTTCGCTTTCATCCAAGGGTTGAGATAACTCGTAGGCATCATCCTCAAAGTCATAGTTTCGCTCCTCAGCATCAGTTTCTCCATTAATCGGAGCTATTTACATAATTTAATATTTTAAACACAAATTGAAATGTATGTATTTGCCATTTGCATCACGACGAATTTAAATAAAATTTACCACTTTCTCTTGTTGTCGGCAAGGTGGACGGCTCACTTAATCCGTGTTCCTCTGGGTGAGGGGAAGTAGGGTCATCAATCCTAATTTAATATGCATTCCTTAAGTTGATTAATTTATTTATAGGAATACAAATTAAGATCAGCTTATTCAGATGCATAAGTGTGCACATATTTGAATACTTGAATGTGCATGCATATTTGCATATATGTACATACATACATAAATATCTTACTTTACTTTTATAACTACCCTATAATAAATATTAATATGTACATACTTTGTAAATAATTCAAAGGGAAAAGGTTAGGTGTATCTAAAACTTTACCAAACGTCAGAATCCTCAAACGATGTAGAAATGTCTGGAGTTCTTATATCTGCCATTTGTGCATATAACTGACTATGGGGTGATTGGTCAATTCTTCTTCTCTGGCGAAAATTATATGCTTGTAGAAATTGTTGTTGTTTAGTTTACTTCGAATATTCACCTTTAAAAATGCTACGTAGGTTAGTGGGAGTTACAGGAAACACTCATTGAACTGTAATTAAATGCATAAAAATAAATATGTTCGACTTAAGATGAAATGAGAGATCGAACTCGTTAAATTTCATTTTGTAATTAAACTCTGTCATCTCTAATACTGGTACACTCACAAAATTAAGAATTTACACTGACACACGCTTGCGTCAAAGGATAAATAATATGTTCATGTTTGCAGAATCGGGTAAAATAAGTATATGTTTTCCTGTATTTAAGTGTGCACAAAGTTGTTACGGATTAATAATTTTTATAATTATTCAGTCCGGTTTGGAAATTTTATAAAATAGTTTACAGTCTCCATACAATCTTTAAGATTTTTGTCAAAAATGCACGCTACGGTTAGTTTGAATGTTTCCGTACCGAAGAGTGAACTAGGAATGAGAACATATATATTTCTGAAAATACATTAAAAGCCTTTTACTGAATTTGGTATTGGGTATAAAAGGTGGTTTATTTTGTGTTAATTGTTTTAAGCATCTCTTCGTTTAAGGAAATACATGTATGTACATACATATGTATGAAAAAGGGTATGTATGCGAAAGGGTTATGGAGAAGTGTATGTAGTGGCATCCCGAAGAGTTCCTGGAATTGAGTAAATAGATCCCTTTAGGACTCAAACACGTACGAAAATGTAAATCGTATTCTTAAAATATGTAAACCTTTCTAAAACGAAAACTACTCTATTTTTGCCATTTCGAAGAAATTTAAATGCATGTGAAATTACTTAATATGCACGTGCTACATAAATACACGCTTAATAAATAAGCACTTGAGCAACAAATAATAATAATAATAAGCATTTATTATCCTCATTTGCTAATACTAGTGATTACAAAATTCAGGGTTAATAGTAAAAAACATATTATCCAATTGATTTTGCAAAACAAACTAGAACTATTTTCATGAGCTTACAATAACAAAATTATATAATTAATCTTATCTACAGTTTAATATAGCCTAATTAATTATTCAACAAGTGGGGGATTTCTAAGGTTTACAATTGTTTCTAGTTTATAACCATAAATTGTTTGAGATTTTTTATACTCCTCATTAATTTTATTGATAATTGCATTAATAGTTGAGTTTTGATACACCGAATTTTTAATATAAGGTTGAACAATAATATCCTTTTGTGACCTCAATGACCTCAAATTTTGGTTGTCAGTAAATAATGGTAGAAAATAATTGTATCTTCCAATTAATAACTTGAAACCGAATTTTTCAAGTGCAGTATTCCTCCTACTTTCCAATGATTCTATTTTATGTAATTCTAAAACTTCCTCATAATTGAACCTATCGACCCTTTTACGGTTAATAATTGACAGTGCTCTTTTTTGCACCCTTTCCAACTTATTAATTAATTTAATACTTAATCCGGGACCCCAAACTACTGAGCAATATTCGAGATTAGACCGCAAATAAACACAATAAGCTCTTACCAGCTCGTTAATACTAAAGCCTGCTGTAAAAAGTTTACGCAATTGAAATCATTTTGAGTTGGCTTTACCAACAATATTTTGAATATGGGCGTCCCATTTAAAACTACCAGTAATTGTTACTCCTAATATTTTAATTTTGTGGACAACAGGGACCATTACATTATGAATGAAAAATTTGGATTCGTATTTAATCCTGCGTCCCCCAAAGTTAACCAACAATATTTCACATTTTTGAGGATTGGGCCTAATCTTGACTTCCGTACAACTACTAGCTAAACAATCCAATGCTTCCTGTATTTTGGGCGATTGTTAATAACTCGCTCAACTAGTACAATATCATCGACAAATCCAGCACAGCAAAAATTTGGATTGTTGATAAAAAAAGGCCTGTAATTTCTGTAATACAAAATCAATCACTAAAATAAATAATAAGGCAGCTAATTTTGTGCCTGCTGCTGTTCCACAAGAGAGGAACTCCTCATCGGATAAAACCTTTCCATTTTTTACAATCTGGGTTCTCATTCTCAAAAAAGAAACTATCCACAGAACATCAATTTCATTTACACCGAAATAATTAATTAACAGATCAACTAATATTTTATGATCGACTAAATCAAACGCTTTAAAATTATCAATACCTGCTACTATTACCGTCGTTCCTGGAATTTCAGCAGATTTTAATATAAAATGATTAATCTGCACTAAATAATGAGAAGTAGATGAATTTTTAAGACTCCCAAATTGGTTCAAATTTATCTTCCCTTCTACCTGCTTATACAAATTATCAAACATAAATGATTCAGCTAATTTAGAAAACACATCCGTCTGTGTAATTGCCCTAATATCATTCAACGAATTACATGTCACTTTCTTTAGTAAAGGAGTGACATATCCTTTTTCCAAGTTTCAGGAAATTTGAAATTTTGGAATGATTGATTTATTATGTTAGCTAATAATGGGCTAATGAAGTAATTTGCACTTTTAATTAATGCGCTGGGAATCAAATTGGGACTGTTACTCTTTTTACTACTTAATTTACGAATTGCTTGACTAACTTGGAGATCAGTAACTTTGATTGGTCGTGAATCGCGGGGGAGCGGACACAAGTTTATAAAATCACACCCTTCATACGTTGTACATATTTTTGAAAAGTGGGAGTTTACTAAATTGGCTAATTCTTTCTCATTACTGTTCGAAAATGTACTATTAATTGATTTAATTTTGGTAAACGCTGAAACAATTTCCAAACCACTAACTTTACGGACTAATTGGTACCAGTCGGATGAGTTCATACCAGGTACTTCCTCACTAAATTTTTGCCTAATTCTGGTTTGTGAAATTTTAATCTGATCTTTAATCTTACTCCTTATGTCTTTCAATTTACCTATACATTTTTGTTTCTTTGCCTTTCGCTGTTGTTTAAATAACTTCCTAATTCTTGATGTCATCCAAATCGGATCTACTTCACAAATAGTTTTCTCATATAGAGGTGAAACACAATCATACGTATGACTTAATAAATTATTTAGCTGCACAACTTTCTGATCTAGACTAAAGTTATTAAATTCGTTTACATCTACCTGAATATTGTCAAGTTGCGCTATAAACTGCTCAGAAATCTGATTAACACTAGGTCTACATATTATTGTTTTACGAGGTTTCCCACACTCAAAACATGATAGCGGACTCAAAGATAAGCATCCATGAACCCGATTTTTTAAAGTTGATTTGACTGGCGGAAGCAGTTCAGGCTCCTCATAAAATAAGTTTAAGTCTGTAAAAATAAGATCCAAATTAGAACTAGTTGATTTAGTTGAGTTAAAAAATGTTGGAAATGAAACAATTTGCTTTAACTTAGACGATTTAACAAATAACTTGTAATCCCACTTATTGAAATCACCTAAAATTAATATACCCGGACTTTTATATTTACCTCTTAATTTCGTAACCAATTCAATCAAATAATTATCCAATTCTCTGCTTAAAGTATTCACAAATTGAGGAGGTAAGTATATAGCTACCACAATAATACAACTTAATGAATAGGGTAGAAATTGGGGTTTTAGCAAAATAACTAACGATTCAATTTTTGAGTCACCTTTCAGATTAATATTACAAATTTTTGCCGAGATTGTTTTCCTAACAAAAATGGCTAGCCCGCCACCCTTTTTTATCGATTTCTTATTTGGCCCTACATAATTTCTATTTTTTGAAAACGTTTCAAAACCATGAAGATAACTAACATGATCATTTTTCCACCAAGTCTCCACAAATACACCAATATCATACTCAACTAAACTACCCTCAAGAGAATTTAATTTGTCAGGAGACAAAGAAGTTGGATTAGTATAGAATACTCTAGGAACACATATTGGTAATTTTGATAACTTACTACTACAGTCTATCTTGGCCAGATTTAATAGATTTGCGCCAATGTGTTTTGACTCGACAATTTTATTTTCCCGACGTTGGTGACGTTGTCGTGCTTTCCTTTCCAAACATTTGCCCCTTTTCTTGTGGTTCTTCTGTCGTCTTTTCCATTCATCCCCTGGTGCTCCTATGTACAAATATGTACAAATATGTAATAACAAATAACAAATATGTACAAATATGTAATAACAACCTATGTACAAATATCTGAAACGCGATTTTCTCGTACATACATAAATAACACACTATGCATATGCATATTGCCATCCATCCATAATACGACTCGGCTCAATTAATTACTTATTTGATATATAAGGAATATATACCAAAAAATTATATTGCCCGATGTAATTTAAGAAACAAACAATTTGTATACTAACTTATTTCAAAAATGTAGTACTTCATTTAATCAATATTAAAAAATAAATTGGCTAAAACTGATTGGTTGGTCACCAAAGTACAAAAATAAATTCTTTAGCCAGCTAAACCCTTTCGAAAAGCTTGGACAGACTATACTTCGAACATTAACTGTAATTATAATGTACGTACATCATCTTTGGTAGGCTATGCAAATAAAAATCCTTCACAAATTATTAACTTAAATTAAATGACAGTTGTGCAGGTCATTTCATCCAAAGGACGGAACCGACGTTTAACAAAAATATGTATGTATTTAAATTTCATCCCGACCACACGTCAATCAGGTTACCATGTGTGTAAATATGTACACTTGAATTCTCCATGAACCGTGGACAAAAATCAGAGCAAACTCTTCTTAATCACTGCTCTGATTTTTAATCATAATTACAATCTATAATTCCAGCAATGACATTTTTAACTGACTGATCACTTGTCCCTATTTGTCTACACATTCCGTATTGTGTGTATTCAGAACAATTAAGCAAATTTCACCGAAATGAATCCCAATGACGCTAATGAATTGACGTTAACAAATACTTGATGACTTTGTAATCTTGTTTTCATACATGATTTATTTATCAAATGGAACTTTTCACCGGTATTATGTTATAATCTCAAGTTAATTAGCATGCATACGTCAATCATGCAAATTCGGACTCGTATAAAAGTTAAGCGCAAAGTCGAGAATATAGCATTCATCTCAATATTATTTAACTTTGCATCTCATTAACAAATTCAAAATCATACATAATGAATTATTTCGCCAAATTTGTCGTCATCTGCGCCATAATTGGGACCGCGGCGGCGGGGGCAACATCTTCAATCAGTCTCAGTTCACCTATCGCCCTTGAGGAACAATCGACCAACGGCGTTGTCACAAATATTACGCGATGTGGTGACTGAAAAGTCTGCAAATTTTTGGTGCAAAAAATTGTAACGTTTTAAATTTTGCAAAAATGTAATCGTTTTTCATTTATAATTACAAAGGTGGGAACGGAACACCAATCCAACTCAGAGTTTCGGAATGCGAAGGAAGATGCTCTCTCGTACCCGGTCGCGTTTACAATATCGAGTATGACTTCATCCCGAGTAAGTTTCTGGGGCAAATTAATTTTTTAATTTGCACGCAAATTTCAAAATTCGTTTATTTTTCGCAGGCTCCGCCGCCCCCGGGCTTAGTTTGGCTTGTGACCTCGTCTTTCTGGGCACCCCGCACCGACTTTTCGACACCGCACTTCCCAACTCTGGCGTTCTACCGGGTCAAATGTACACCGTCCGCTTTTCCGTCGTACCCAATGATATCTTATCCGGTCGAACGGTTAACCTTCGTGCCATAATTTATCATACGGATAATCGATTATTGGAAATTTGTGTAGAGTCGGAAGTTGATATTTTGCCACTTCCGTTTTAAGTTTGTTAAATTCAAGTAAATTTGTAAGAACAAATACATTTTGTAATTCTAATTTTCAAATTATTCATGATCGGAAAATATAAATTATTGCAAAACTTGTAAAGTAATTAGACAATTAAGTTACATACTAAAGTAATACGCACACATAACTATTTTTACTGCCCAATCTAAATATATGTCTAAAAACGTTCTTTAGTAAATTTTGATGTTTAATCGTCAATCATTTTTTAAATTTTAATCTTTTAACCAAGTGAATTTTTTGTACACTTTTTGAGCGCTTTTATGTGTCATAAATTTACATGCATTAAAGTTTATTCAGAAATTTTATATGCATACCAACCACATTCCAGTAAAGGATTTTGAGTTGTACGTACATGCACAAATTTTATTTTTAATTATTAATTTTGCATAAATATTTTTTAAATTTTCAAAAATATATCCCCCCTTTAATTCCCCCATTTCGCATTTTTCTTCCCACTGCAGGCATAACTCTGGGTGCTGTGCTTCTTACAACAGTTGCACCAGTAACCATGACAACCACTTTGTCTCGAATCTCTCGAAATGGGCCCGTTCGATTTTGATAAGGAAGACAGAGCAGTTTGCAGACTCCACATTCCCATGAATAGACTGCCAGCTTTGGAGCTTTCAGATTTTGCAGACGAATTCATACCGATGTGCTAAAATTTATTTAAACATATATTTTTAGAACAGTATTTTTTAAAGGTGTATTTTTTGCTTTTAAATATTACGTGAAAATAATTTATTAAAATTTGTTCGATCGGATTTCATACCTTTTATTTAAAAAATAGAGTAATTTGTAATTTAATTAATCAAAGTAATGAAGAAGGCAAATATTTCGCTAAAGTATGCTAAAAGAAGATACGAATTTGGGTACGCAACTTATTGAAACGACGTACTGGTCAAGATTAAAACGTGACGGTAAGTTAACTTCAACTGCACAAAAGCCTTCTCCGTATTGTTGACCAAGTTTGCTTCCTTGTTTACAATTCTGGAGAAATTTGGACGGGAACAACTTGCTTCTAGTTAAGTAAATGTGTTAGAAAGAAATTCGCAACCATTTCTACTTCAACTCTAAAGTACAATTTGAATCAGAGTGCCTATTTAAATACATATAAAATACGACATGTTTTGTTTGCTTAATGGTTTTATTAATTAAATTCTTCTACACGGAATTTTGGAGATTGAATGAGGCGAGTGTGAGAGTCAAATTACAAATGCTACATATTCAACTTTGCTTATTTTGTGAATGATACATACATAAATTACATATGTAACATAATTAAATAATACGTTGTACATTTACGTGTATACATATTTTAATTAGGATGAAAATTTTAATTTTAATCCTTAAACCCAACCTGGATAAATTTAAGGTTATGTTTAAATTTGACATCAAACATACATAACTCAACTCATATATGTACAGTAAATATGCTTTTCTATCATTACGAGTCATACAAATTAAGTGTGAGTACATACATATTTGTTATGAGTAATACTATTTCCAGAATTTCCATGAGCAGTTATAAAATATTTAATATGGCCAAAACTTTCCATGCATATAAAAATTCGAAGCTCTAATTTTACATGGAAAATAACTCCGGCCTAATAATTAGTTTTCGCGTGCATACATAAGTACTTATTAATAAGCATTTAAGTGTGGTTACTATATAAATTTGCCAATTCAAGTTTTCACAGCAAATAAAAGAATTCTTGCGGAGAAAACGATTTAAATAATCGATATCCAATTTTACACCGTTCCATCGCTTTCACCAGCTTTCACCTCCTTCCAGAAACACCAAACGACAAAGGTACAGTACGCGTCGAATACGATGCCCACCGAAGCCCCGATCAGATGCTTGACACCATCGCCCCTCACGTGGATACAGTCGTAGATGAATTTTGAAAACATCAACGCCATCACGATGCATCGAATGAAGAACCAGGTGAATAATTTTCCCCGTTCTTTCTGAAAATATGGAATAATTTGAGTATGAAATCCTACCATCATCGCGTCATTAGCAAATTAGTTTGCAAACACAAAAAATTCGCAAAAATTAAATGGAATTCATTACGAGTTCACATATTCTTAAAAAAAACTTGCGAACTCTTGAAGCAAGTTTCCATATGAATTTCCAGACCATTTTTTTGCGAACGTTGCTAGCGATGGAACTCGTAATGAATACCCTCAATTTGTCCGCGACATTATTAATTTTTGTATATTACCTTTCGTGCCCCTTGGAATAGGATTATGGCCAAAATGAGCCCTATGACCCCGATGACGAGCACAATAGACCAAAGGACGGTTAGCACAGTAGCTGAAATTATATTTATAATCAAAAGAATGCCTTTAATTAAGAAATTAATTAAATATAGTAATTAACGGTCTAATGGGTCCGTCTCGAACCACGGCTTGTCTGGGTCTTGTTTCAATTCCACCACCCGAGTCAGACCTAGTATTCCCGTCACCAAGGTGAATGTACAACTGAGCTGTGATTGTGAAAAGAAAGTCAGAAATATTATTTTTTTATACGCCATAAATTTTGCGAAATATTTATGTATAACTCACAATTTGTAAGAATGCAATAATTTTTGTCCCCGTCTGCAACGAGATTTCACAACAACACCAACACGGATTAAGAACCATGTCGACGAATGGCGAAGTTATATCCAACACTAGGCGTCATCTCAGTTTCAGCTTAGCCAGGTGTGCTAAAAAAATTGGCATGGACAAACTTTTTTGTCAAATGTACATATGTGCATGATTACCCATTCTGGGAAATTGCTATGTGCCCAGGTAAGAAACCTATTAAGTTTGATACATTTTTTGCTCATTTGCATATTTAAGAGGAACAAAGATATCGACCTTTCTCAATTTTAGTCCAAATATTGATCAGACATCTGGCAGACGGGAAAATAATTGAAGTGTCTCCTATCATCGCTTGTAGTGATGAAATCGAGTTAAAGATATTGGGATTTCGGGAATAAATAAGTGGTGAGAATATAATGTGACAAGTCCGTCGGTTAGTTGAACATCCGCAAAATCATGTCTTAATTTATCAGAAACTATGTCAAATTTATTTCCGAAAATGAAGACGAAAAATGACTAACAATTCTAATCCTAAGTTTAAAAAATAAAAAAAGCAAACAACATTTTATGAAACTTTAGGAAAATATAAAGTTATATTTTACTCAAAAATCTAAACTTTTCTGAAAATTGAGCCTTCATAGTATTTATATTTCAACGTATTTAAATTGATTCATGTACAGCTCAGTCTAGAGAATGCGTAGCGTATTGTCTACAAAAATCTGTTATTGACCATTTAACAGTACTACTAATAAATACCTAAATAATAATTAAAAAGTTATTACATATTTAGTTTGTAATTTCCATAAAGTTCTGGCCTACACCATCGTCTCCCATTTCTGGAGGAAATTCATCCTTTTTCCTCCTTGGCAACCTATCCTTACACTTCTTCTCCATCACGAGGCCATGATGTCCCCTTAAATGGAGATACAGCGACGTATTCTTAGCAAAGGCCTTATAACAGCCAGCCTGGTCGCAGGTAAAGGGCCGCTCCCCTGTATGAACTTGACGGATGTGCGCCTGCAAGTGATGATTGAACTGGTAGCCTTTGACACAGTGGGGACACGGGTATCGGATCGGAGCAACGTAGCCAGGCGTGTGGATTCGTTTGATGTGCGTATTCATATGTTTTCTTTGTTTGAAGGCTTGGTCGCAGTGGGGGCAGGGATAAGGTCGCTCGCCAGTATGCTTTCTCATGTGCAGAGTTAGCAATGGTTTGCAGGAAAAGGCAGCGTCGCAAACCTGTATTTCAGATCGGATTTATGTAGGTAAAAATAGCAATTAAAAACTGAAATTAACGAGGTCGAAATAACTCCAAGACAAATCGTCACCTGGGGAGGTACAAATGTAAAATAGTGCTCTATTTCTGGGCAATGATTAAGTTTTGTCGGAAAGTAAGTCAAAGACGCATTTACCAAACAGACGTTGCGTCGTTATTTAAAACTTCATTACTTTCATATACTTATCTTACATACAAAAAACAAAAATGTTCAATTTTTTTAATTAAGAAAGAAAGTCAAGTGCATGAGTTTTTCAAATTTAATTTCGGTTGTTGAAACAAACGTCTATCTAATCATTGCTTAATCGTTGTCCCAAAATAGAGCACTAATTTACGGTACATCCACTGGGGACGATTTGTCTCTAACTGCCCAGGTTATATAAACAACTGGCAATGTCCCCACGGCTTCCGCGGTCACTTATTTAGAGTGTGGCTTTCGGTCATATTTACGTACATCACATTTGTGCGGTTTTACTCCCGTGTGGATCCTCTTATGTTGCTTTAGTGAACCCATCGAGGTAAATTTTGCACCGCTAAAAAAATTGGAAATTGACAATTTTAGATTTAATACCTATGATGACAAACTATGCGTGATAAGTAAGTACCACTCATCGCAGACAAAGGGATCAGCACCATGCTCCTTGACGAGGTGTGCCTTAACACGATAACGGTCCCTAAACTTTTCTCCGCAAATTTCACATACAGGTTTCTTGGATTCGTCATGTCTTTGTAAGTGCCGTTGGAGATCGTACACGAGACGGAAACCGAGGCCGCAAATGTCGCAAACGTGGTCTCTCGTCTGATCATGGACGCGAGCCACGTGCCGACGAAGCCCAATCTGGTCGATGAAAGATTCTTCACACTGGTCGCATTTCTCAGGTTTTTCTCCAGTGTGGATGCGTATGTGTCTGTGATAGGAAAATATTTAATTGTTTAAATTGTTTAGTTGAAAATATTAAAACTGACAAAAAAATAATTAGTTTTCTTAGTTATCTAGCAACAGAAAAAGAGTAACAATTGAGGTCTTCCTCCGTATGGTCTCCGTTTTGACCAAATTAGTGTTTGTTAATTGATTACAAATTAATTAATATGTAATTTAAAGAGAAAACGATCCCTTAATGGTCACGTTTTTCGGAGATATTTGCATCCAAAGAGTAGAAATTGCAAGTCGGCAAATTTTACACGTTCTAAATTTACTGCGTTTGTTTTCGCCTATTCGGACGCAAATATCTCCGCAAAACGTGACCATTGGGAGATCGTTTCTTCTGCAAATTGCATACTAATTAAATTTGTGATTAATTAGGACACGCAGTTGACCCCCAGCATGTGGTAATCTCGCCTAATTTTAACAGTTTCTACGTACCTAATCAACCCATCCTTATTAGAATGCGCTAGTCCACAGTGGTCACACTTGAAGCGTTTTGTATTATGCGTCTCCATGTGGCTCTGTAGGCGCTCGTCATCCTCAAATCGAGAGTCACACATGTCACACACGAAAGGTTTGATATCCTCTATTTCATGCAGGTTCAAATGACGCTCTAAATTTTCGAGAAGCACGAAACTCTTTGCGCATTTGACGCATGGAAATTTCTTCTCCCCTTTTTCATGACGGATGACCATGTGCGCTTGGAGGGCGTTTTCGCGATTGAACTTTTTCTTGCAGAGGGCACACTGGTAGAGAGAGACGCATGGGTGGGCCCGCTTCATGTGCGCCTTTCTAGCAAGCTTGGTGCCAAATGAGGAGGAACATGTCGGTACTGGACAAGGGATTGAATGGTCACGTGCGATATGGCGGGTTCGCCCGATTTCAGAAAGGAACGATCTGGCGCAAGAGGTACATTTGTAGGGACAAATTTTCTTTGTCCGTTCGTCCAATATATTTTGAGAAGAGGTACAGTATGTCACGAAATTGTAGATGCAACGACATATTTTTTATTTCGATATGATCCCACAATTTCTAAAATTCCGAACTTCGGGATCAAATGTCAAAAGTATCTACGGATAATTTCCGCGTCGTCGATTTGTAAAGTCACACACAGGTCAAAGGTCAGCATTTTTCTAAAGATTCAAAATGAGAGGCCAAAAATAAAACTCCATGGATAATTTTTTTTCGACTTTCCAATATTTTTTATTGAACGCGGCAAGGCCTCACGAAAAAAATGAGCTATCGTACGACCGTGTACGATTTTTTTGACGCCCACAGGAATTTTTCGCCATGGACAGTTTTGAGGTCTAAAATCGTGACCGTGGCGAAATTCAAACAATTGAAATATAAAAAGGCATGTATTCGATGTTAATATGGTTTTGTATATTTCAATTGTTTGAATTTCGCCACGGTCACGATTTTAGACCTCAAAACTGTCCATGGCGAAAAATTCCTGTGGGCGTCAAAAAAATCGTACACGGTCGTACGATAGCTCATTTTTTTCGTGAGGCCTTGCCGCGTTCAATAAAAAATATTGGAAAGTCGAAAAAAAATTATCCATGGAGTTTTATTTTTGGCCTCTCATTTTGAATCTTTAGAAAAATGCTGACCTTTGACCTGTGTGTGACTTTACAAATCGACGACGCGGAAATTATCCGTAGATACTTTTGACATTTGATCCCGAATTTGGTTCGGAATTTTAGAAATTGTGGGATCATATCGAAATAAAAAATATGTCGTTGCATCTACAATTTCGTGACATACTGTAACATCAGTAGTTGCTAGTAAATCGTTCTCAACAAATTCAGGTTTTGTATCGTCAATGGATAATGATTCAGAAATCCTTTTCAGAGACAGTTTTAGAGTTTTGACATCATTTGCAGGAGGAAGAGTAGTCTTTTTAATTCTTGGAGAGCATCGTGTCTCGTACATGCTGGGTCGAATATTTTCTTCCTTTATCCTTTTTGGCTTTAGTTTAGATGGTGATGAGTTTTCCCTTTTTGGTTTGAGTCTAGAAATTAATTAAGATGGGGTAAATCACCAGGAAATACTAATAATTTTTGTTAACTTTAAATAAAGCAACCAAATTATGTAATGTTTAATAAAATCCGTAGGCCATTAGGTTTACAAATTTTGCTAACATTTCTTTTTTTAGTGCATGAAAGAACTCGTTACGTTCAGTTTATCAATGACTTTGCTCAATTTTGTGGGCTAAATTCATACCGTGGAGTGTTAGTTCTGATAGATTTACGAGGTCGCCCTCTCCCCCTCTTTTGGGGATGTGGAATGATACAGAATGCGGACTCGAAGTCATCCTCGCCATCATTTTTGAAGGGATCCATCTCCTCCTCCTCCTCCTCCTCTTCTTTACCTCCTTCCATATCTGCTGTTGGAGAGAAGGAATTAATATAATCGTCAAAGAATTGGTCATCCGCATTTCCGACTAGGCCAATATCCTCTTCTACTTTAACTTGTATTTCATCCAGACCCAACACAACGCTGTCATCTGTATTAATGTCTGATTCTAGATTGGAAATAAAATTTACACGGTTAAATGTAATCTAAAAAAAACAGTATTATGCACTCAACCCGTAATTTGAAGTATAATAGTCCTTAATTTTCTGATTTTGACTCTTCCCCCATCGTCCCCATTTTCTAGTAAGGATGACGAAGATTCCAACATCATTTCCCGAATTTTCGTAATTTTTCTCCCAATTTGCTCCTCCAAGAGGGACATTTGGTACCGGATTTGCTCCATCTCGCTTATCACGGGGGCACAAACTGGGCAAAATTCACAGGTCGCATCCTCTTCAAATTGTGGAGTACCTTTCCTGCGAGTATCATTTGACGATAAGAAGAGCAGTTCACACAGGGACGAGATTCGTATTTTTCTAGTTTCCTTATCATCGAACGACGGAATGGTGGTGTCGATGACTTGAACACAGAGAAAGCAGACTCGGCTGGACATGATTACCCTGAAATATTATAGTTTAATTATTCCGTCGGATTTTCATTAAATTAATCATCTTTTAAATATTTCCTCAAAAAGTATACATATTTTTAAATAAATAATTACCTCACTACAGTTGTATGATTCCAAATAAATAGTAGAGCATTAGCTGAGCATTACCTAATGTCTTTAATTGAAATAATTGAAATTGTAACAGTTTAATAATTACGTGAATTTAAATTAGAAATACTTAAAAAGTATGCTTTTTGTTGACTTGTGTTTTGTTGACCAGATGAAATTTAACTCGTGCCAATGCAAAAATGGGACGAGTGAGACTCGATTTGCTCTGCAAAACAGACATTTTCATGAAAATGAATATAATGCGAGGGTTACAAATGAAAGTTTGAGAAGATGCGAGGTGCTGCAACCAAATTAGCAACTTTATTGATTGATCAATTAATTAATTTATGTTCATTCATCCGTATCCAGTTTCGATGATCGTTCATCTTGAAAAACTACTTTGCCGTCCTTGTTTTTTGTACGAATTTGTCTTTTCATACTTAAATTCATCTAATTAAACATTTCTCAAATTAATTTCAAGCAAAACATATTCAACAAAGGAAAAAATAATGCCTGAATTGCTACTTATTCCCAGAAATAATTATTTTAAGAGATGATTCAATAGAAAAAATTCAAAAACTTTGTGTGTATACCTATTAATAGATATGTATTTATGCAGCAGATATTTTACTACTTTATCCCTGCATTTAATCACCATATTCGTCCAGAATTGTTCAGGTGTGCTATTATTATAAGCATTTGATACCATCAGACGCCCATAATTTTGGCTGCGTACATACATAATAAAATAAAATAAATACCTTAATAATCGGCCAGAACTTGATAAGTATGTATATAAAGTACACTTCGTTCATACGTTTATGAAACGTGGGTTAAAAATTTGTCCTTGACTGAATACACATTCATCATCCAAAATTTGCATTATTCTACGCTCCGATTATACAACATATCCTTCCAACGCAACAGCCACGATAATCGACAATCTCTATTTCATCCTCCATATGCGTTCAATATAAACGTTTTTTACTGCAAATACAGCCTTTTTATTTAAGCATGTAACTGGCCTGTAAAAAATCCTGCAGTCATATACATACATACATATGTTGTATGTGCATATTCCTACATAGCTGGTATTGATTTGGTAATAAATTCATACAGCATTGGTAGTAGTTTATTTCTGAGTGGTGCCTTTTTCATTACTACAATATTACTAAACGGTAATGCTCGTTCTTACCGTGCCAATAGTGTCATAAATACAAATCGTGAGTTTTCACTTTCACTTGGTAAATTATCAAATTTTCTGTTTCCAATAAAATACATGCATTTACTCCGATTCAATACTCTGTTTCGAAACCTTTAGTCTCGTCCACTTCATTCAAATACACGTCAATATGTAGCTAGATACTTCATCGCTATGTATTGTAGGAATGAGAAATAACGGTATAGTGCAAAAATTTGGTGACCCCGGTCTCCATCGAAGGAAACATTTCCCGGTATAGCCCCAGACGTACTCCTTTGTACTACGCGACCACCATATCAATGCACCCGTCAAATCTCACTCATACTTTTCTTCCCCACAGTATGAATCACTGACAAGTTGTAATTTATAATTTCTGGGGGAGCTTTACAGGAGCTGTATGTCACGGAATTACAATGCAGGCCGAAATCAACCAAACGGTGAAACACTTCGAAAATCTTGACTTTGTCGGTGATATCGACAAAGTGCGGGGAAAGGCTTTGGCTAACCCAGTCGTAAGTGAATCAGTACTTCTATTAATATTTTGCATGTATGTAAATACAAATAGATCGATCACCCAATCAGGCAAATTGGTAATGAGGATATTTATAAATTTTATCAGTTTATGTACAATCTGTCCAAATTTTATTTCAGATTTTGGACAAAATATTTTACTCCTTGGACGCATCAACTTTAAAATCTGCTCGACTCGTGTGCCCCATTTGGGCCGACGTGGCCGCCTCGTTTCTCGGGAACCTGTGTCGCCTGACCTTTTCAACAACGCCAAATTCTGAACAATTGACCTCATTCAACCCCAAACTCGCCAAGCATGTAAAATTAGCCATGAAGTGTGACTGCTCCTCGGCCTGCACCTGTGAACCCCATGGGTCGTGTTACTGCTGCTGGACCTGTACCTGTTCGCCCAATGAAGTTGACTCCAATCGCAATCTGCCACCTAATTTCGCTCTACATTTGCCTGCGATTTCTGCCACTCTGGAAACAATCGAGATCAACGTGGCCAGTCCGTATCAACCGAATTTGCACCCCATGTGGACCACGAACCTCCCAAACCTCGCCGTCATCTCGATCACCACCGAAAAAGATTGGCATCTTGGTAATAATCATGCCGAAACTGCAGATGAAGAGATGCGTCAGGAATTTCGACCCCTTCCAAATCTAAGAGTACTTTCGATAACAAGAATCGGAGATGGCCCAACCTTTGTGGACGTGCCGTGCAGGTACCAGGGCCTCCTGAACGCTGCCCCAAACCTGGAAGAATTAAATCTTTCCGCGAATTCCTACCCAGATTTGACCCGATGTCCAAAACTGCAAAATTTAACGTACGAGTATCAAGGGACCGTTTTACATGAGAAGGAACTCGTGCAATTCAATATTTCCGAGATAAACAGAATGTTAGAAAATTGTCGGGACTCCTTGAAAAAGTTGACTTTGAAGTACGACGGTCATCATGATGTTAAGGTTAGTTAATCACATCATTGGCGGCGGAAGCAGGTGGACGGTGGGATATTGTCCCCTAGTCATGTAGCAAAATCCTTACGGTTAATAAGTCCCTCCTCTTCCAATCGTGCTTTTGTCCCCACGTGGCCCCCCAATTTCCGCTGGCACTGAATCGCAGACTTTGTTAAATTTATTGGAGTATATTTATTTATCTACCAATTTCTGTGAGTAACTAATATTTTACTTTGCAATTTACAAGCTGGATTTTCACTTTCCAAATCTCACCCACCTCGAAATCCAGGATGACGACAAGTTCAAAATTGGGGATTTGTTAAACACCACCAACCTTCCGAGCCTGACGCATTTATCCATTTGTACTCAGCACGACATTTCTGCCCTGATTGAAACTTTGCATACACGCCACGTGGGAATAACATCGCTCCGCATGCGTGCCTATCACTGCTCGAACGGTTGGAGCCAGGATGGACAAGCAGCTATCAAACTGGTCAACCTCTTCCCTGCCGTGACAGAATTAAAATTGTCATTGTCGGTTCATTTTGTCCGAAATGGTGACGAAACAGTAGATTTTCGTCCTTTAAAAGAAGTGATGCAAACTTTAGGCGAGTGGGGGTTAACTCAGGGGAAAGTCGTCGTTGGAAGTCTTCCCGTACGTTCAGATGAGAATGATTATTATTACTCGGGTCACCTATTTGATCCGGCTTTAAATATTGATTCGGACGTTGTGGTGACCGTGTTGGAAGGAATGAAGGAATGGAGAGGTTTGTCTTGACGATAATCTTTTCATGCTTTTCTGTTAAGTTTAGTACTCAGGGAGATTTTTCACCTGAAAAAGTTTGAGAACACGAAACTTAAATAATTTGTCAATTGATTTGAAGAAGTACAAGTAATTCCAGTGACGGAATAATTTGATTGATTGATTTACTAGCAGCCTTTGTGCAGGCCTTAAGGCCCATAAAGGTACATGAATAACTTTAACAACAGTAACGTATAACGGGTTACATATGAAACTTCAGTTTTTCAAAACGACATATACATATTACCAATTCGACGGAATAATTTAACACAAAGCGAAGATCATATCGAAAAATCCGTCCTGAGTACTAGGCTTTATCCTGTAAATTTAAACTACACCGCTAAATTTGTATATTCAGGTTTGGCGAACACATCACTTAAATGTTGCGCAAATTGCTACGGCGCGCGTTTGGAACCGTCCGACCGGATGCGAGAGGCCTTCTTGTCATGCAGTAGAATTAGAACTGTTACTTTGGAAGAATTAGAGGTACATTTTGTTACTGTCGTGTGGCAAAATATATAAAAGTGTAATTTTCTAAATAAGCAAATAACACAGGTTTTGGGACAAACGGAAAGCAAGGATTTTCATGAATTTATCCGAGAAAATGATTTGCCAGTTAGTTTTACGGATCGCGAGTAGCGAAATTTTATTTCAAATTTGATTTCAGATTTTGGACAAAATATTTTACTCCTTGGACTTTAAAATCCGCCCGACTCATGTGCCCATAAATATTTAAGTTGCAGTGCAACTGTTTCACTTTTTTCATGTAGATATGTACATATGCATTCAACGTGTATTAAACGTTTGAACTGATGAATTATTTATATAAAATACACATTCACCATGCAAACTTGCAGTATTACAGGCTTCTCATTCATATCCTTTCATGCTAATAATGTACATAAATAATATTATATAAGAGGAGAGGTCCCCAGGTGAGAATGACGGATTGGCTTAAAATTTTCGAACTTGATTAATCATGTCCTATGCTTAAAAGATTGGGATTTAATTAGATACACCAAGCGTCACCCACTGACAATTGTGAGTTGCAAGACGAGTAACTTAGCAAAAATGTTAGTTCTTATTTTTTTAACTTGCCCACCGTTTTACTAATTTTAAATTAATTTTCGCCATATTTGACACAAAATTTTCCGAATAACTTGGATTCTGGGACCAATTAAAAATATATGTTCTTTGAAATTTTGCGAGGTTTCGTTCTGGTGGTCGAAGGCTTACGTAGCCCAATAAACGGGGTATCATTGGAAAGCACGAGAAATGTGGAGTCATAATTTTTGGGGTCTAGTGTCCCACCGTACGTGTAATAAAACATCACACCTTTCATTATATGACATATAATATGACATACATATCTAATTAGTCAAACTAAAAGGTGTCAAGCCAATCCTTCATTCTCACCTGGGAATCTCTCCTCTTGAGGATATCAATTATACCAAAAAGTGTGATCGTATGTAAATACGTATGCATCTGTAAGCGTAGAACTTTGCCAAAGTGATATAATACAAATGATTTATTAACGTTTATAACGTTTGTTACAGCTGAGATCATCAGTTCGTCAGAAATACGTATTGCACATTCAATAATATTACAATTTGCACAAATTGTATTATTTAAACGTAGTTTCTAGTTCGATCTTCATATTTGGATATTAATAAAAACCTGAATGTAATAGGTAATTTTTTGTTGGAATTACTTACAATTAAAGCAAAATTAAAAACGATTAATCCCCCGAGAAATGGACAACTCCTTAAAACTAATCACATTTGACGTTACCGGAACCCTGATCCAATTCAAGGGCGATCTGGCGCAAGACCTTGTCGAAATTGGGGAGAAATATGGCATCGCCACGGTGACCCTTGACCAAGTGGGGGAAGCGACTAAAATCCAGTGGAAATTGCAAAGCGAGTCAGACCCACATTTTGGAACGTGCTGGAAATCTTGGTGGACAGAATTTGTAATTGGAACGTTTGAGGTTAGTGAAAATTTTGTCTATTGTAATTCCTTGATCGAATTTAGCCAAAAGTACAGTATTTATTTATGAGCAAAATACAAAGCGAAGTTTTGCAAATTAAAAAATAATTCCATGTATTACACACAAAATAAATCAAATTTGATTGAAGATTTTGTGTGTAGTGCTTGTAAATTCATGAAACTTGGAGCGATTATGCAGAATTTAAAGAATCATGTATTAAAATTGAGGACATAAAAGCTTCATACACTCTGATTTATTTTATAGCGAATTTTATCAGACAATGAACCAGCAAAAATAAATTTGCATAAAATAGCGGAGGACTTTATGACAAGATTTTGTGTCGGAGAAAGATGCACCCTACTTCCACACGTTGTGGAAACGTTACATGAAATCAAGGTATGAGTACAACTTTTTGTTAAATTAATGCTTTCAAAAATGTCATATATTTTTTTTCTAACATCAGGAGATGCTGAATTTTCATGAAAATTTTGATATGTATTATCATGATCATTTTTAAATTAATCATAATTTCGCAAAAAAATAATGCAAACTTCTAAGATTTCTGATTTAATGAATTTCCAGACCCACTTTCCAACCATTGTACTCGGCGTGATTACGAACTTTGACTCCCGTTCTCACCGAATTCTTCACGACACCGGAATCCGACCTTATTTTGATTTTGTGCTGGTCTCGCACGAGGCACAAATTTCGAAACCCGACCCAAGCATATTTTCACTCGCTTTGACATCTGCATCCCAGCTTGGCAAAAATGGAGAGATTCTCCCTCAGAACGCGGTACATATTGGTGACAATTATCGGCTGGATTGCCTCAGTGCAGCAGATTCGGGGTGGAGGTCGATTTACGTTGGAGGACATAAAACCAGCAGCGATTTAGAAGAAAGAGATGGAATTTATTGTACTGAAGGAATGCAAAATGTCACAATTATGTTAAAAGAACAGTTCAAAACTATAAATATAAGTTCCTGAAAGTTTAATAGTTTGTTAAATAGCAGGATTTGCAATTATTTCGAAATGCATGCATGTCTCGAACTTTAGAAATTTTTTTGAAATATAGAAAGTTGTAACGAAATAGATAAGGTGATAACTAAATAAGATATACTTCAAATAAATTTTAAATTGTGTGTTAAATAAATTTGCTTTCGGTTAAAAAATATTAAATATAATTAATTGAATATGTCCATAAATTATGTCACGGCTGAGGGTGGACAGGCTCACGTTCTGCGAGACAGGCCAATTTGCGCCATATGTTAAAAGGGGGGTGTAACGCGTGAAAAGGGGAGAGAGGGTCTGAAAAACTGGCATTTTACATGACATAATTTATGGACGTTCATTAAAAACTAGGTATTTATGAACTTAATTTGATACCAAATCTTGTCTACATACAATTCAAGTAAAACTACTAACTTAAAGTTGCAGTAATTTTTGAGAGCGAATACATAAATAAATATGCATGTTCTTGGATATTAAAATATGAGCAAATCTATGCAGACCTTAAAAATGAGTTCAAGATTTATTACAAATTATTAATGCGTTATTAACTTATGTAACTAGTAAACTATATAACATCAGTACACAAAATTCAGAACCACTGCCAGAATGCCACTGTTTAAACTGGCTATGGACGATCCGTGAAACTAACGGGCAACTTATTTTGTTGGAAAAATTCATTAAAATCCTCCTTCGTCATCTGGTCGGCAGGCTGTGTTAATTTGATAATGTTACACATTTGCATACTATTTCATTTCGCCACAGTAACAAAATTGTACGCATTTATGTACGTATTTAAATAAAATACCTTTAATTCTTCCAAAGTAATACTTTGAATTCTGCTGCATGACAAGAAGGCCTCCCGCAACCGGTCGGATGGTTCCAAACTTGCACCGTTGCAATTTGCATAAAATTCAAGTGACGAGTTCTCCAAACCTATACAAATATACATTAATTTACCTGTTCAATTTACCGAGTAACAAAAACCTGATGCAAAATAAATTAGTGTAAACCTTTCCATTCACTCATTCCTTCCAACACGGTCAACACGACGTCGGAATCAATGTTCAAACTTGGATCCCACAAGTCATCCGAATAATAATGAAATTCATTCTCATCTACAGATACGGGAAGACTTCCCACGACGACTTTCCCCCTGGTCAACTCCCACTCACCGAAGGATTGCATCGTTTCTTTCAAAGGGCGAAAATCTGCCATTTCGTCACCATTTCGGACGAACTCGACGGACAACCACAATTTTAATTCCTGCACGGCCGGGAAAAGGTTGACCAGTTTGACAGCCGCTTGACCATCCTGGCTCCAACTGTTCGAGCAGTGACGGGCACGCACGTGGAGCGATGTTATCCCAACGTGGCGTGTATGCAAAGTTTTAGTCATGGCCGAAATTGGGTAACTCTGTTAATTACCCTTAATCGAGAAATGCGTCAGTCTAGGGAGGTTGGTCATGTTCAGCGAATCCTCAATGTTGAACATAACGGGATCGTTGATTGAGAGGCGGGTGAGATTCAGGAAGTCGAAATTCAGCTTACAAAATACAAACCAAATTATTGGTAGGAAATAAGTATACGTAAAGAAATTTATTTAACCTGCCATCCGATTTATGTAACTGACCTTAATAGGCGACAGGTCACGATAACCTTGATAATCCAAAGTAAACTCTTCCAAAGAATTTCGGCAATTTTCCAGCATTCTAGTCAGTTCGGAAATGTCGGATTGCAATTGTCCCTCTCCCGCGAAACGACGTCGCTGGTACCCGTACCTCAACTTTTTAAGTTTTAGACACTGGGTCAAATCTGGGTAGGAATTCGCGGACAGATTTAATTCTTCCAGGTTTGGAGCAGAGCTCAACAGCCCTTGGTAACTGGATGGCGCGTCCGTTGAGGCTTTATCAAATGGCTCATGCTTTATCGAAAGTACTTTTAGATTTGGAAGGGGTCGAAATTCCTGAGGCATCTCATCTTCATGTGCAGTCACGTCATGATTGGTATCCACTTTCTTGATGGTAAATGAGATGAGGGTGAGGTTAGGGAAAGTAATAGTGCTCCACATTTTGTGCAGATTCGGTTTAAAAGGACTTTCCACGTTGATATCGATTGTTTCCAGTACGGCAGAAATTTCAGGCAAACGTAGAGCAAAATTAGGTGGCAGGTTGCGATTGAGAATTTGGATGAAAATTCTTGTGTACACACTTTGAGTTACTCCACTTCGATGGGAGAACAGCGACAACTGCAGGAGCATTTACACATCATGTACAATTTTACATTCTTGGCGAGTTTGTGGTTGAATATGGTCAAATCTTCGCATTTTGTGCGATAATGGTTATGCGTTGTTGAAAAAGGCAGGCAAGTCAGGTTCCCAAGAAACGAGGCGGCCACCTCAGCCCAAACAGTGCACACGAGTCGGGCAGATTTTAAAGCTGGTGCATCCAAGGTGCTAAATATTTTGTCCAAAATCTGAAATAAAATTTGAACAAAAACCTCATAGAATTTAGAAATATGAAATCATGTTCAATGTGTTTAGTATTAATCAGGTAAATTATTTTAGCATGTAAAATATTGGTTGATATACAACTGCTTAATTTAATTAATTCACTTACGACTGGATTCATCAACGCCTTCATCCGCACTTTGTCGATGTCGGCGACAAAGTCAAAATTTTCCAAGTGTTTCACCGCTTCCTCAATTTCGGCCTGCATTGTAATTAATACGTGACTTATTTATAGCTCCTGTCAAGTTTCCAAGAAACTATAAATTACAGCCTGTCAATTATTTACATACAGGAATGAAATAGTTTTTAAACAGTTGCATATTTTATAACGTCAATGACAACGAATATTTTAATTATCACTGCATTCATACTTACCTACTTGCAGTTCCCCACCCAATTTTTTTGTGAAATAATTATTATGTAAAAATCAAACTGGTGCTTGGAAAACATGGAATTGCAGAGTGCTAGCTACGATGACAGTGATGACACATCGTCTCAGCTGGTTGGGAAAAGTGCATAAGTAAATAAACATCACACGACGAGGCATGTGAGTAAGCACTTTGTTAGACCTGATCGTTTGAATAAGCATGCATAACGACGCGTTGTTTTTCATGAAAATTATTGCGTATTTATTAAACATTTATAAATTCAATCATTTTGTTTTAAACATGGTATAAAACTAAAAATTTGCACTTATTAATAAGAATGCACAACAAATCAATTCTATGACAAGTATATGGAAAATGTGAACGGCCAATTCATGCTACTCTGGCTGGATCATAGTAAATAATAACTATTTTGTACGGATATACTTTTTTTACTCATATTATGAGTCTCATAATAAATTATTTCGTTTTTCATGAGTGGTACTCCTTGAGTACTCGATTTTGACAAAAGTTCTACAGACGGTGATTCAGCATATACATAAAACTCACTCTTATTTTTCAACGTGTTAGAGACACCTGGGATAATTGAAATTTGGGATGTGTTGTACCCAGATAGACAAGGAACAGTTTCAAAACCAGCTTCCAAACTTCAGGGCGCTTCGCCGAGGATTTTCTTTGTTCAAGGTGTTTTTAAAGGTACTTGGGCTACTTTGTTTTCCAAATATTGTAGTGACTTCAGCAGCCAGCGTAGAAGCTGACAATTTTCAATTTATTTTCATCTGTCTTACCAAATGATAATTATTTATTTCTAACCACCTGAAGAAGGAAACGGTTGTTTTCCGAAAGCTTGTGTTTCAATAAACCACTACACAATGTCATCCATGCGATCTGTCTATTCACCTCTTAATATTTATCTACTTAAGTCAATATGTACATATTTTATTATTGATGTTCTATCGATGTAACAATTTATGGTGATCCCAAACATACATGAAGGTATTTACTCAACATACAGCAGGCTTAAATATCTGTGTACTTTGTATATTTAAGAACACATAAATTATAATGCAGGGTTTACTCAAGAACTCGCTGACCATTCCGTCTGCATCATGTAACTTAATTGTATCTTAATAAGATTATGCGAAAGGTTTCATACATATTTTGTATATGCATATATATAAATACATACGTACATATACGTTTGTACACATGCTTCGTCCCATGCCTGCATGCAAAAATAAAACGCACAGTTTCCCGATTTATCATCTGTTTTTATTCATTCTTAAAGGAAAACATATTAATATTTAATAAATGTTTGCTCGCCTCGGTCTCATTTTAAAATGCCTTACTTAAAAATTGTACTTCTTTTTATCTCGTTAGCAAGATTAAGGTATTGTTTCTCACAACAAATAAATTCCACCAGCCAGAATTGTACCGTTGTCGAACCAGTGTACCAGTGGGTGTGGCGACCCGACCGGATAACTGGATCGTATCGGTGGGAAATTGTGTGTGTAAATTGCACCACCAGTGGGCAGGATGATGGAACAAACAATTGTAAGAAATATATACTTTTTATCCAGAAATATTTAATGTACTTGACAATTTTTAAAATTGTGTTTGTAAAATTCGGGTTTTTAACAAAAAGTCCACCCTCCAAATAGGACAATTCCCATAAATTCGTACATTTCCGACCCCGTCAGGGATTCTAGATTAATTGTGAGATCGTCCAAGCCATTCAATGGGGAAACACCGGTTGAACTTCTTTCAAAAAGCTATTACACACCAAAGTGAGAAAATATTTAATTCTTGTTCATTCTTTTATTCAGTCGTCAGTGAATATCGTACATGCAAATCTAAATGCCTGGAAAAATTTGCATATCTTTCCGAAAGAATTTTAGAAAACATTCTAACGAACATGAAGTGATTCACAATTCAAATTAATTTGAACAGTGAAATATTCTACGTTCGAAACAATCACCCCGTTCCGGTCGTCGACGTGGAAGATTATCATCTCTGCATTACCGGGATTGGCGTCACCCCCACAAATCTGACCCTGTCCCAACTGAAGGCATCTTTTGCACGCAAGACCATTACTTCCGTTTTACAATGTGCGGGTAGCAGGAGAGCAGAGATGGACGATTTAAGACCCGTGGCTGGCACCAAGTGGGGCGGTGGCGCGGTTGGGAATGCGTTCTGGACGGGAGCCGACTTCAAATCTGTCCTCGCGTATGCCAGCTTTGACCTAAGGAATTACCCGAACCTGGCAAATATCCATGTTCAAGTATGTTTAATTCAAGAATTATGTACTTATTTAATGTTAGGGGTATTCTTTTTTGTGAGTTCGCATTTCCGCATTTTAAAATAATTGGCTTGTAAAGGGGAAAATTCGTAAATGAATTTGCACTTCAAATGTTTCTGCGTACGTTGCTACCGATGCTAACTCGTAATGAATATCCCATTAATTCAAAAATTTTGAAATATTGGGACAATTCAGTCTAATGTTTACAAACTAAATATATGAGGCGGAAATTTTCTAAAAATTTTCTATATTGCGTTGTTTCCCCAGTTCGAAGGCCTTGACCACGACCCTGTAACACTTAAGCGATATGGCGCCTCCATCCCAGTGAAGTATCTACTTGATGGGAATTTTGAGCCGTTGTTAGCTTACGAAATGAACGGTTCGCCCCTTCCGAGAGATCATGGGTTTCCCCTGCGCATAATTTTACCTGGAATTGTGGGCGTGCGAAGTGTCAAATGGCTGTGGAAGGTCACCATCTCAGACCACGAGTCGGACACACCCTACCAGAAGGAAAAGTACAAGGCATTTTCGCCTTCCATATTAAGCACGACCGTCACGAAGACTAATTACGAAAGGACGCTGCCCATTTACGACCTTCCGGTTACATCCTACATCACCTCGCACAAAGATGGCGGCAGTGTTCAGAGAGGACTCGGACTTGTGACAGGTCCGTACACTCTTAGAAATCCAGTAATAAAATATACCAAGCCGTATTAATGTATATACATACGACTCTAGTGATAAGTAATACGGTGTAGTCATAGCTCGGTACTAAAGTTATGCCATATCGGTAGCAAAATTTTACTATCCGGTATCACTTTTAGGAGCTTTAACACCGAAAAATCAATACCAAATATCTTACAGTTGACTTCCCCAAAAAAGGCCATTGTTCCGAACACCGTGATAAATATTTGAGTCAAAAGCGATGCATATTTTGTCTTCAGACCTGCAAAAGTGTATGTATTGAACTTTTATCCTTCCCGTTAAGGTTACGCATATTCTGGAGGGGGGCGTTTCATTCAAAGGGTTGAAGTATCTACGGACCGAGGTGACACGTGGATCGAGGCGGAAATTGGTCCTGATTTAACCAAGGTGAAATGTTAATCTTTTTCAATAGATATGTCGTAACTCTGGGTTGTTTATTAAATACTTAATATTGTTTGATCTTAGAAATGGTTAAAAAGCTGGACCTGGGTTTTGTGGCATGCTACCATGGCATTTGTTCCTGGATGGCAGGAGGTGTGGGTCAAAGCCGTCGATGATGGGAATAATCAGCAACCACAAGAAATCAAAAGCGTCTGGAATTTTGAAGGATATTTGACAAACACATATCACAAAATCGTTCTGTATGGAAATTAATGGAATTAATTATTCCTTGTTTGTGTCACACACTTACTATAATAAATACATGCACTTGCATATGTATAATATATGTACCTACTTCATCTCAATTTAATTTACACTTACCAAATATTCTTCTAAATAAGTAGGTGCGAAACTTTGAAGGGCTTAACCAGATAAGCATAATAGTACGTAGTTGTGTGTGTATATATTTAATAATATATACAAGTATTAATAATATATTTAGTATATCAAGTCCTCATACCGTAAATTCACACTAAAATAACAATGAGAGGATGGAAAGAAGTCAAATTGTATATATATTTAATGTTTTTAATACCTATGCACATGCATAAGTAAGTATCTATATACATATATGTCTAAATATCTTATATGTACATATAACTACATATCTTACATTTTACACATATGTATGTATCTACATACGTAAATATGTAGTTACATATTTACTTGATTACGTCATCAATAAAAGTGACACCGTAAGACTCAAACAGTGATCAAGCACAACAAGTGAGGTCAAATGATCGATGAAATTACTACCAAATCGTATCTTCAGAGGCTGAAACGACCTCGAAATCCTCTTCGCTTCCGACTTTATTCCAAATCCTTCCATATTTTTCCACTTTTCCGTCAACTGTGACGACTTCAGGTTGACCAAGCCCATCGTGGCGAGATCGACTGCCACCGTGAGGACAAAATCGATTAGGAGCATGACGAAGAAGGACAATCCAGCGATCGAGAATGTGCTGTGCATCCGGATGCAGACGTACAACGAGAAAACGATCCCGTTCGATGCGACGGCGTAAAGTCCGGGGATAAAGAGATCTGCTTGACGAGAATTTGACATTGGGAATAAATCCGGAATGATTGTAGAACTAAGTCTTCTTTGATCCGGGTAGCAGATGGTTTAATTCGAATTCGGGTAGTTTGGCTAAATTATACAAAAAAAAATAAAAACGCACGTTAGGTTTAAACGAAACAAGCAAAAAAACATTAATGCGTAAACACACGATTCCAAAATTATATTTGCGTTCTTAAAAGTTCTAGTTTTATGGAACGTCGGCATAAATAACAAGGTTTAAAATTTGAATAAGTTCGTTTAAATATCTAAGATTTTAGTACCTATATAATAAAATCGAAAATTCCTACAAGGGATAACATGCGCTGGTTTAAGTCAACATTCACTCTAATCCTAAGAAATCCCGTATGAAAATAATACCAAGCAATATTCATATAAATATGTCTTTGCTAAAGAGGTATTGATTAGTGTAATAAAGAAAGTCCTATCATATCGGTAGCTAATTTTTACGGACCGGCAAAAGTTTAATACCAAGCGGTAATACCGAGACATCAATACGTGCGTGACTATACCAGAACAGTTGCATAAATTTTTGTGTCGTCCAGTCGAAACCAGAATCAAGATAAAGGGTTACCTTCCAAGTAGTGCCATATATTCCTGCAGGGAGCATCCAAACCCCAGCATGAAATTTACAATGATCAGAGCCGCCGGTTGGGCCACGTGGAAATACATGAACCCATCGAACAGAATCCCAATCACTGCGATAGCATCTAATCCATTATGTTGATCCTGAGACGTAGGAAGGAGACAGATCGCTCTCATGGATCCGACGTACGGCGGTGTACACGGGTTAAGGAATAATTGACAGGGCACAATTATACCAAATGACGCACAGGAGAGGGTACTTATTAAGAAAACTAGTTTCGCGTAGGTAGCACCCTTCCGGATTTTGGCATCAATGAAGGGAATTTCTGCAAGTTTTGTAAGTTTGGGTATACATATCAAAATTTTGTACAATTTTACAGGGTGGTTTAAACGTTTAACGCTATAATGGCAAATTTTTCAATGGGAACATACATCAATTTCCATTTGTTATCTAAGGAAAGTTATCTCCTAAGTTTTGCATTTGAAATTTTAACAAATTAGCAAAGAAATTTTCTAAAATTTCTCACCTTTCAACAATTTTTGTTCAAACTGTATAAATCCGTTCACCAAAAGCAAGCCGTCCATCTCCCAAAAGTAATACGTGATCCGACCCATTAAACAGATACTGTACGTAAGAATGACCACGAGGCCTTTTAAAATTTGAGGGAGCGACATTTTGTCCCGATTAAGAACTAAATGCACACACATGGCGAGAAGATAAACCACGTGGAGGAAAATGGTCACTCTGTAAATCCTTTTAGATTGGGGATCAACAAATTTTAAAGTATCTGACACATCGTCATATTTATAGGGAATCGCGTAACACCAATTGTTCAATTTAATGGCGATCCACATAAATCCAAAGTAGGATTGACCCTTGGAAAACATTTTTTACAATTCTAAAACACTTTTTTACAATTCTATTTTACAATTTTAAAGTAAACTAGAGTTAAATTTATAAGTAAGCTCGTCTTTTAATACAAGAACTATTTATGATTTGCTTTTACAATATGATACCAATTTACGGTACAAACAAGAAATACAAACCAGCATCGTTTTAAATAAACTTAAAATCCGGAGATAAAATAAGTCCGTCGAGATGGGTATAGAATTTAGTACTTTACGATTAATAATATGTACGGTTCGCTCAAATCTGTAAATAATAAAGACAATAATTTAAATTATGCCTTGTATTTAACGATGTTCTCGATCAGGAAGTATTTTTCATGTCAAAAATAGGTACTGAACAAGTTGTAAAAGGTAATTTTTATGTTGGCTCAATATCTGGCAATTTTATAGCGACATGCTATAATTAATGAACGTGCAGATATTAATAATTCTTAAGATTTATTTTCGTAAACCAACCGGCTTTACCTATGTTATTTCTGGGCTGCTAATTAACTTCTACGCTGCAAGACCTCACAAAATGATGGTTTTAGAGTCGTACGTATGTTCGTATCTGACGGAAATTATTCAAACTCTTAATTGTTCTGTTTATCTTAATTTGAGTGGACTTTGCTAATTGTAACCAACTCAATCAACTAATCAAAGACTCTTTGACAGAGTAGGATCAATTTTGTGAAATTGCGTAATCATAATGATTAGGTAGCAATTATTTGTTACAAAATTTTCAAATGTGCAAAGACATACGTATGTGTGAAAGATAATTGTACACCCGATACATTTTCAAGGACAAGCTTGCACAATTTTCTAGCAAATAATACACTACATACAATACAATTATCTCTAATTGGATAAGTCAAGTCAAAGTTTAATATCAACTCAAAAATCCACGGTTCCTCAAAAACGATCGTTCATACATACTAGTCAAGCCAATAAATCAAGTCAACTTAAAATTTTAAGTTCAAACTTGTTAATCAATTGTTAGGCATGTTTTTTATTGATTAATAAAAAACTAAAATTTAGTCCCGAATCTTTACTTATTTATATTAAAAAGAAGTATTAATTGAGGTCCTTTTAAAGCTAACACAAATTTTTGTAATTTGTTTTTAGTCGCTGATTTCGAACTATGTAGAGTATGTAGGTAGGTACCCTAATTTTGTATCTCATAATCATGCGTATTAATGCAAATTATGTATGTGTTATCTCTTATGTATTATCTCTTCTGGTTCCCAATTTATAATGTGTAATGGACTCACCTATCGACCAATGTAATTGGTTATCTCCTCTTTATAATGTAACGCGAAATTGTATCTGCTAAATATAATAAATTAACATAACAAACCTGCCTAAATAAAAATTTGGAACTAAATACTTTGGTTAGTTAGTAATTTATTTATGAAAAATTACCTACGTACTCACGTGAGATACTTCTAAAGAAATAGTTAAACCGGAATTGTTCATAGACTGTTGACACTGACGGCTATGTCAATTTTGAGATAATGAGATCGATGATGTCTTCCCTTGTTAAATGTTATTGAAATTTGTCTTCCCTGTATAATATGTCGGTCGTTCGTACCCCGTAACAAATTTTATTGCAGACAAAACGATTAGTTTAATGATACCTTCTTAAGACTAATGTCAATCAATTTCAGCCATTATATCGTATATAAACTTTTCAAGGGCAAGCAATAACGTTAAAATATATGGAGGGGATATTTTGATCTCGAAATATCGATGTAACATGTCTTAATGTACAAATGTCTTCTAGACATGCATGAAGCTGGGTAATTATGCATGCTATGCTGTTGTTTAATTGGTTTAAATTTATACAGCTGTACTACTTAGCGTAGTCTAATGATGTAATAACCTTGCTGAACTGATGCCACAAAACTTCCTCAAATTACGCAAGTGTCCAAACTTTTTAAACAGCTCGATTCTAACCTCTGAGTTTTCAGCGGTTCCGATACGTTGTCAACGGAAATTGGAAGATAGGAATTACTGAGGGTCTTCGTATCCGTAGTATCGTAAAATAGTTTACGAAGAAAAAACAAGGGATCAGGTTTCGTAAAAATCGTAAGCGTAGTAACGCGATTTTCGATGACAAAATCTTACGACGCTTACAAAATCTCGTAAGCGTCGCAAGTTATTTTACGATACGAAGGATACTAAGGATACGAAGAAATAATGAATACCCTCACTGTTTCACCTACTTTCCATCGAATTCGTATTCAATGCCATTTGGGTGTGGGTGAAATTATAAATTCCGTTTATTACTACAAATTATTATGAAAACATGCCTTTCTTTAGTACTCATTCCTTACATATGTATGACCAATATTCAAGTATGCTTAATTCTTCTTCAACCTTTGTGTCACCTCAAATTTGAGTAAGTTTACTAAAATTGCTTACTGTATTTATACATACGTTAAACAGGTTTTACACAAATTTATTTCATACCAGCATAATTTGTCCCTAAATTATTCAGATTCAACTAAAACCATTTCCTCCTCTCACCTTAATCGACAACAGTGCCGTCACCGTGTATGAAGCAATATACCAAAATAGTGTCGATTTTGTAGATTTTTGCAACCTAAAAAAATTGAAACCAGCCAAGCCTGCATACAATTGCAAGCTTTTTACTGCCTGTATCCTCCTCGTGAGATATTTCTTGTCCAAACTTATAATTGCCAACCTCTCCCAACGACTCCTGATCATGACAGAAGCCTCGTAGATATTGATCCCTTGGGGGAGCAGGGTCCAAATTATGACTGGAATTAGGATGGACACCATTGGAAAGAAAAGATACAAGGGCATTGGGACAAATCGATACATTTTCAATGTTACAAAGTTAAAAACTACGCTAATTAAGATTCCAAATCCTAACACGACAGCTAAGCATACATCTGATAATTCGCTAAGCAGTGTAAGTATTATTTCCACGTGAAGATAGAGCATAGTCACACTTTTAGCCTGGTCCCTTCCCATAGAAATTCGGTGCGATAACTCTCCAATTTTTGCAAGCACGTGTGCAAACAGTATTCCTAGTATGGACACCAAAATGGTGAACATAGATCCAATCCGGCAAGTTTGTATGAGGGCAAATAATTCGCAAAATTTTAAAATTGGGAGAATATAAGTCCTAAAAATGGTACAAGATATGAAATGTTCAGATATTTGGTGGAGTGGATCCAGACGGAAGATCGTTAACAGAATCCAGAATAAGTATGGGTAGATGGTGAAAATTCGGACAATAATGGTCAGCGTGGTTCCGGTGAAGTCGAAGACGGCGAAATTTTTTGACTCTGGTTTACCTGCATAAATATGTATCAACGGATGTTATGTATGTATATTAGTAATTAATATTGTACACCTTGAGAGTTGTAATTGCTGTTTTTAAATTTTTGGAGCATTATGATGCAAGATACGTATGTATCACTAGCATAGTGTAATTTGCGTGACGCACTTGACCACTTCTGTATTTAAATTATGTATATTCGTCTAAGGAAACTAGAGTTATGGGAAAAAATTAAGAAATTGTATGTAACAAGTCTTCCATAGTATTCCATACATAATTGAAGTTTCGAAAATTTAATCCTTTGGCAACTTAAAACGGCAAAACCTCTAAAAAATTTCTCAAAACGACCCCAGTTTCTATAAACTCTTGACAAAGGTATCATTTTAATAGATTTTTAAGCTAAATTTTACCTTTCCGTTTAGGTAACCCATTCCCCATCTGTATCAGATAGTTGCAGCCAACCACGCCTGGCTCAAAGTACAGAAACATCGCGACATCTATGAAGAACGTGCAAATGCAGACCAATCCGAGCATGAGCACAATCACGAGATTCGTTACAGGTAGAGAAATCAAGCCAAAGTTGATTGCCAGGAGCAGAAATGACGTCGAAACTATAATTATGCCGAACACACTTCCAAATATGACAACCCCCCACGGAATTAGTTTGCTGGATGGCTTGTTGTAAATTATGCATCGTTTAGAACCAGACCATTCTATGGGACAAGTCCACAAGTACTTGTGTGACGCAGCGACATCATTCAAAGCTGTCCACATCAGATGTGTCACCATTTTGCAAGTTGAAAGTTTTACGAGATTTTCTAAAATTTTGCAAATTTCGTTCAATTCAATTACTATGTAGGCACACGAGCAAACTGATTTTGTATGTACATATTTGTGCCTACCATCCGTTCTACTGGTTGTAATGATCGATATTTAATAAGAAAATTTAAATATTTAGAAATTAATTGGCAAGTAATCGAAAAAGCTTGATTAAAGTCACCAATCGTATAAGACTATCAATTTGGGCTTAACTTTGATCGAATTGAAATGATACACGCCAAAGTAAGGTACGCTATAGAAAAATTTGGGGGGCTAATACGTAATCGATCAGTCCCGATAAGTGGTTCTGATAGCCAATATAAGTAAACTAAAATCTGCAGCACAAAGCCAGCATTGACGACGTCGATGGGACACGCCTCTGACTGTCAATTGTTTGCATAAGTAATTTTCAACACCTGCACATACACGTTTTGCTAACTTATTCGCATCCCAAGACATACTTTTGCATAACATGTATTTACTGTGCTCTTTACCTTAGCTTGTGACCTCATTTGCATAAATCTCACTATGCCCATTTTCGGTGATAGGGGCTTCCCATGTTGAATAAACTCTATAAATAAACTATATACGCCTGAAAATATGCAAATGAGTAACTAATACACACAATTCTACTATAATCAATGTAACATTCTGCCCCATTTACGGTTGACGGTGACCAAATGGCCACTTCGAATAAAAGAGTTGCTGCCGTAACGCTGGCCGGTAGGGCAAAACCCTGTCTCAGTTTTGCCAAGACAAGCGCCTTTCTGTTTGAGCAGTCGAATCGTCCACGCCGTTGGTTCATTTTTTTGTGCTCTTGATAAAATTTTTTTGGAATTTTAGAAATTTTTGTTGCAATGGCGCACAGAAAAGATACTGTCATGGAGGAAAAAATAGGTGAAGATGCCGAGCCGATCGTGGCGGTGAGTAAGCCCGTGGCTGTTATCAAAGACAACGTGGGGGGTGGGGACGAAGAAAGCGATGGCGCCGTAGCTGGGCCCAGTTCGCAAGGTATTTTAATTCCCTGTTCACTTTTGTATTAATTAACTTGCTATCGCGAAGAAAGGGTTGATTTTACTATTGATGGTTGAAAATTTGAAAACCAGAAGTATATTTTTTTTTAATCTTTCACTCTTAGAAATCCAGTATTAAATTAGTACCAAGCGGTGTTCATACATATATGACTCAACTACATTAAGTGGAATTTATAAGTACTACGCTATAATAGTAACAGCTTGGTTTACCTACATAAATCGGTGGGAAATTTTTAGGGGCCGGTATAATTTTAATACCAGATGGTAACAGGTTATCGAAAACTCAATAGTTTCTTGACTATATATCAGATTTCTAACAAATTTGTATTTGGGGACAGAAATAAAGTGGCTTAACTCGTGTACTAGATGGTCATTTAGCCACAAATAATTATATTTGACCATTTGAGCACTAATAATTGTACATTTGTTTACAGTCCAAATGCACCTCACCACTCCGCCAAGGATGACCACAGCGATTGGTGTCTCGAGCGGGTTTGGCGTTGGCCCCCAAATTCCAGCTGCAAGCTCTTCTACTACTGCAAAAAAAGTCGTAAAAGAAACCCGTGTTGATAAGGTAACAGTAGGACACAAGTTATTTAATTTTGTTGCCGAGTAGATTGTGATTTTATCTTCTGCCTATTTAGATACTGAAACATTTGGACACCCTGCAGACCAGGGAGGAAGCCCTTGCCTGGATTAGAGTGAACTGCCCTTCACAAGAATTAAGTGCACGTGTCCAGTTGTGGATAAGAAAGCGCTTTTGGCAGCCTGAGCGTCACCGACCCGTTACGGATTTCCGACCTGAGTGGCAGGCACCTCCGAAGGAATGGTTGGAGGCGATGAAAACAAAGCTTCTCTTTGTCACGGGACCAACCGCAATCGGGAAAACCGAACTTATTTTGGTCAGTCTCCACTTGTGGGTATTCATTACGAGTTCACATGTTCGAATTGCAATATCAGTTTGAAAAAAATGCAAACTAAATACAAGACTAGGAGATAGATGTATGTACAAGTTCTCAAATTAATTTTCAAGCCAATTATTTGTGAATTTACGAACCATGTTTTTTGTTAACGATACGAACTCGTAATGAATAGTGGTGTCGAACGCTGACGAACAGGGGGACATTGCCCTCTAGAAATTCAGAAAATCCGATCTACCCCATGTTACCTCATAACCCCCCTCGTCCTCACAATGCTAATGTCCCCATGTTCCCCCACCTTTACCCAATTGGTCAAAATTATTATTTTTTCATTCCTAGGCTTGGTTCGGAAAGACGTTTTTCTTCTTCAATTGTAAACGACAATTGAAACAACTTTCAGACCGCCACGAAGGGTTGATTTACGATAACGGCTTCATTAAAGATTATACTCTCAAGGAACTCATGGGCTTGGCTGACCTCAAGAACGACATAGTGGTTTACCCAAGATATGGAGGGGTCATTCCTGCAGGGATGCCTCGAATTTTTGTAACTGTAAAAACATTGCACGAATACTTCCGGAAGGATGCGTATTTTAGAAAATACCCGAAAGGACAGGCAGAGTGGGATGCTTTCGAGTCAAACGTTTACGTGATTTCGTTTCCTGAAACTATTCGACGCTCCTCCAGGTGCCAGGATTCGAGGGAAAGAGCAGCTTCATTTGTCGATGCCAGCTAAAATTCGAAGGGTGAGTTACATACTATTTAATTAATTGGGTACACTCTTAGAAAACTGTTATTATGTAAATTATTACTGTCTCTTGTACATATTTAATATGTATATGACTCCAATCGCACGGTAAGGTAATACATAACGATCATAACAGTTCGGGAGTGTTGTGGTTATGAAAAATTTACCGCATTGAACGAAACCACTACCGATTCGGTAGGAAGTTATTACCAAATGAATACCCGTATGTTTAGAGTATATGTATATGTGGCTCAACTAGATTTTTAATAGCGTACGATATTATGTAAATATTTACATATTTCCTTTGTTTTAGATCGATCAAGAAAAGGATGATGCAGTTGCCCTGGCGAATGAGCAGATTTAAAAGGTTTGTGACCAAATGGCCATTGCTTACAGATGTAGATATCCAATGGATGGGACACTAAACATGTAATCTTTTTGGCAGGTTGAACAAGAATATGGAAACATCGAGAAAAAAACTGACAGTAAATTCATGGAAGCGATGTATATAAATGGCGAGTTAATACTAGCAAAACAGTGTTTTGAAACATATAGTTTATGTAGAAAACCAATTTTTCTCAAATAATCTTATGTCCAATTTAATAATATGTGTCCATTTGGACACTGTCAAGTTTGTGAGTTTGAACAAAATAAAATTACATTTTCACACTTACAAAGAATTTAGTTGTATTAAAAATTTTATGAGTTAGGACCGACATAAAAATATTAATAACAAATGATCGGTACAAATTTGTTCCTTGTTTTTTTTCTACTCATAAAAATGGTTAAAATCCTAATGATAATGCAAGGTTAACATCGAAAGCTTGAAATCCAAACACGTTATCCTCCGTCAAAGGCTCTTATTTTTACAAAATATATTATTTTTCTATTGAGAACAATGAGAACAAGATATTTAAACATTTATTAAAATTTACAATTTCTAGATATTTGAAATTCCTATTTGTTTTGTTAGGAATAAAAATAAAAAATATCACATTCTTGAAGACTATTGCTGAACAAGAACATGACCTACTTTCCGGAGTAAATTTTCCACAAGAATAGTTGATAGTACAGTTTTGCATATGAGATTTTTGCAAGGTTTTCAAAAATTGATAAATTATGATAAATTTCCAGGCTAATCGAATACTATTGTAAGTACCCGGACTCTAATTTCTTGGGGTGGAAATTTATGTATTAATTAAATACTCTTTTGTCTCTCATTGAAGCTTTCCATTGGTTTAAATATGTACATATATATGTAACTGAAATACTTCTTAAATAAGTATTTATAAATATATTCTTATATTAAGTTACTTACAGCATAAGCTGTACAAGAATTTGCTTATCGACTAGTAATTTAAAACGTTCGCGAAATCCGTATCCTTAAATTATTAGGCTTCATGAAACTTCATGAAGACCAGTCCATATGGAAGTATTTAGTTAGTAACTTGATCCTCTTCTGGAAAAAAGTGTCGCGATAAATACTGAATGAATTGTACTATACGTAAATACATGCATACTACATATACGCGTATATACAATGTAACATATTTAGCATACATTCTTCATATTTAAGGTACATACACACGGATATACATTTTAAGTGAAATCATGAACTTTACTACACAGTTCAAATAACTAAATATTATTCAGGGTTTGACTAATCCTAAGCTAAATTTCACGTGTGATCATGAACGAGATGTCCCAAGCCCTTTCGCATCTACAATATATTTTACTATTGCTCATTCATATGTATATTATTTTATAATTTATAAGTTCACTTGTCGAAGAACAGATCTAGTCTCCACATCTCAGAATTCTTCTCAGATTATTTTAAGTAACTAAAGAGGACCCCAAATTTATCCACATAATAATAAATACATCAGTATGGCTTATCAAGCTGCAGGGCCGTCCACGCAACCAGACCATAATCTTGACGCCGATGCCCAATATTTCACCTGCACGGAAACCCCCCTGGATAAAGAAACCTTGCGGTGGTGCAAATTAAGTAAAATTATTGACGGGATCGAGCCGAAATTGTTGAGGGATGACTACCCCGAAGCAAGTTATATTTCGCTGGTAAAGTTATAGGAATTTGACTTTCAAAAAATAGAGAATTATGGCTACATAATTAACTTATGAAAATAAATAAATAGTCTAATTAACTTTGCTAAAACCTAAATTCAAGTAAATTTATAGCTAAGTAAAAGTAATAAGTTTTTGAGTACCGATAACTTTACACTCAAATCATCTAAAAAGTTTGAAAGACATCAAAATTATGAAATTGTTTGATAAAATTGTTCCAAAATTTTTCAGACCATTCATACCAGCGAGACTTCTCGGAGTCACGCTTTTTGCAAGAAAACGTGGCAAGATTCAGAAGAACTGTATATGAACAAGGGGCCTGTTCACATGGGGCGACAAATTTTGAAAGCCATCTTCGAAGTAGAAGAGCTTTGCAAAGCGACCCCCAGTGGACGCGTAATGCGGGGGCAGAATCCCGAACACGCGAAACAATTGGATGAAGATAGACAGTGGCAAATTTTGGGTATGGGTTTCCTCAGTAGTTTTTCCAAATTCAAATTGTACGCATTATTCTAAAATTATTACTTCGGGTCACCTCATTTACATACATAAATCTGAATATGCTCATTTTTGATTGACGACACGTGCTGGGCTTTTCAGACTAGGTAAACTCTCGTAAATTCGTCAAAATATGCGAATAATGTGACACGCCTGAATAATTCTAGAAAGCATAAACATGTCCATGCTTTCACTTTGTGCAAAATTATCAAAAGCATATTGGCATACCCTTAAATATACATTTTAGCAATTTACATAAGCTTTTTATAAAATTTGTACATTTCTATATACATAAATACATGCTTAATTATTTTCTGGCAGATATGATTCGCTACTTTGTGTCCCGTGGGAAGGGAGGCGTTTCTGAGGAGAAGCTGTACATAGGCCCGTGGTCGCCCATGGTAGAGAAAAACATTCGAACCGAGGTCATCAACTTCGGGACGAACAAGATTAGGGGAGACATTCGAAGAGCACAAGTCGCACATTCCAGCAAAGACAATTTGTGGTGGTAACAAATACGCTCTTAAAAATCTAGTACTTATAGTCTGGCAGGTATTTATTTTCCGGTATTAAAGTTGCTACCGCTTGGTATTAAAAGTATTTCAGCCTGTAAATACATACTTGCTATAGCATTTAAATTATGAAGAGAGGATGTATATAAATATGTATGTAATAGGATAAAAATCGCTCACTTTTGTGAGCCCTTCTCCAAATAAATTGTCGAAATTTTAAAGCTTTGCTAGCAATAAAATTTTTAAATATATTATGATTTTTATTTCTAGTTCATTCCTTTATTTTGCATATGCATATTTAATAAAATTGCAGTTCATGAGGCTTTCATACGATGTATTCATGATTATGTATGTACATCTGTATTATCCATTTTAGCCATGAATATGTATTACACAGGATTGGCCAACTTATATATCAGCCAAGAGGTTCACGAGAGACAGACTGTGCATCTGCTTCCATCTAGCACACTAAAGGAGATTACAAAGGCTCTAACTTTGAATTGCCTTAAAAAGTCATCCAACAAATCAAAATATTGTACCTGTTTGCATTTATTTAAAAACGTATAAAATTAATTAAAACTGCACAATTTGTGGAAAACCGGTTAACCAGAAGGAAACCAGATATGGTAAGTTCCGTTTTAGAAAATTTTAAAGTATTTGATTTGGGTTTTGCAACGGTAGAAGTGAAAGAGTAGAACAGGAACATTTATTTTTGAGGAGGCTTCGTCGGAATACATGGGTGTGGTTTATAAAAGCAGTTTATTCGAGTTTTCGATGCTAAACTCGCATCATCATCAGGAAAATGAGGAATTTTAACAATTTTTGGAATTGAAATACAGTGCAGTTCTAAATTGTCAAGAAATGATAATTTGTTGAATTATACAAATGTAGTTATGGAATTTAAATAAGTGGCAACATTAATGATGACCAGATGGGGTTGAGGTTCATCCCATTGTCTTGGTTTATGGCGTTGGTGGTTTTTCTTATGTGCAAACTTTCAAGAAATTTTCTGTGAAAATTTCTTCTTTCGGCAATAAGGAGACTTGCTGAGTCTTCTGTTATCCGATGACTTGGATTTTCTAAAATGTGTAATGCTACCGCTGATTTGACATTTTTCTTTTTGATATCGTTCAGGTGTTCTTTGATGCGTTTGACGAGGGGTCGGCTGGTTTCTCCTATGTATTTGTCATTACATGAGCATAAAATTTGATAAATTCCTACCAGGTCTGGAGGTGGGTTTTCCTTGTAATCACAAATAAATTGTTTCATCTTTTTTCCCGTGAGGTATCCAAATTCGCATTGAAGTTTTCTCCGGAGGTAACCAGTTAATCGGTGGGTAAGCGGTCCCATATATGGAAGAATGATCCTTGGCTTTTTTTTCTTCGTCACCGTTTGGTTGGAGTGTCGTATTTGAGAATTTTTTCTTCATTCTTGATATTCGTTGGTTGATGAGACTTTTTGGGTAGCCATTGTTTTTTAGTGAGGTGGCCACAAAGGTAAGTTCATCCTTTAAGAATTGGTCATCAGAAATTGCTAATGCTCTGTAAACTAAAGCATCAATTACAGCAATCTTTTGGGAAGGGTGGTGGTAAGATGAGTAATTTAGGTATCTCCCTGTGTGAGTGGGTTTTCGATAAACTTGTCGTTGTATTTGTCCATCATTATTGTATGTAATTATGATGTCGAGAAAGGCAATTTTCTTGTCTATTTCTGATTCACAGGTGAATTGTAAGTTTGGATGGAATGAGTTGAGGTCATGTAAGATTCTGTCTTTTGTTCCTGATTTTATGCACGAGAAACAGTCATCCACGAATCGTTTATGTAACATGTCCATGAAATACGTAACTATGAAATCGTGAACACTTTGACAAACATTTATATGGGTTTAATTTATTTTATAAATTGATTTATGAATTGTAATGTTTTTGAACTCATTAATAACGATAATATGAAAATGTATGCATTTTTGTGTCGCGTTGTGGCTGGATGAGTCATCATCCAGCACCAAGACGGGGCTGTCATAAACTTTTGCAGAGTTAGCGCTTTGTGCTGCATGACTTGGTGCCTGGACCCCTGTTTTTGAGAATTGAGCTTAGTTTCAAATATATCACTTGTAGTTACACCTACATAGGCTCAGTGTGTCCGCTACTGAACGAATTAAGGACAGTATTGATTTTATGTGTACGAATATAGTGTTCGTCAACTTTTTCTCAAATTACCGTTACAAAACTTAACTAAATACTACAAATACCACAATATCATTCGTTTAAATTTAACATTTGCTGAAATAATATTTTTTGTAGAACTCCAATTGTCACACAACTTGTGTCGTGCCTGGGTGCAAATCACGGTACGGGTTACCTCAGGGAATATCAATGTTCAGGTATTTTAATTCGTTTCATCGTTGTAATATGATGAATTTCTGTAAGTAAATTTTTGTTTACTAAATTTGTAGATTTCCAAAAGAACCCGATCGACTTCAGAAATGGTTGGATTTCATAAGAAGTTTGGTGAATGACGAAAACTGGGTAAACAGCAATACCTCCACGGTATGTTCATTGCATTTCGAGGTGGGATCTCGTAGTGTTGGAGGTAGAAGTCGTTTATTTCCTAACGCTTTTCCCACCTATTGTGTGCAATCGAATCCCAACCCGGATTCTCAGAATACGGAACTCTCGGTTCAAACTCGTAAGATTAATGAACTTCATTTTTAGTTTGGAAGCTATTGATCTTCGGAATTAACCTAAGGATTTTTTTAACAGCGCCACACATTCGAGAACGTAGATTTGTTTCCGAACACCTGATGGTTTGCTGCCCCAACTGTCATCATCAATTTGACGGCTACCATCACGAAGTAAAGAATAATTTGCCTAGTCCATCAACAAGCCAAGCTTCCAAATCCACCGTGACATACAGTACGTAAATTTTAACACCCTGAAAGGCTAACAATAAGACTAAAGATAAATTTTAATATTCTAGAAAGGAAATCAGAACCTCTCACGTCCCCACCAAGCACACCAAAACGGCAAGCAAGACCAACAGTTGCAAGAGAATTATTTGGTTCCACCGTCCCACAGCCAAGTAAGATTTACTCGAAATCAGCGTCCCCTAAAGCCATTGCCACAATCAAAAAGGAACACTCCTACTGTAAGTCGCCCACCAGACCAATAGCCAAACTCAATCGTATGCTGCCAATCTTCCGTACACTTCAGAAGAGAAAATCATGCATGAAGATCAACATGAAGAAAAGCAAGGAACGTGAAACGTTGAAAGATAAGATTGGAAGTTTGAAATCCATCTCTTCCGAGCAGAAGGAAATTCTCTACCAGCAAATTCCCGGGCTTTTGGGGACATTGGTCAGAAATGAAAGGTTAACAAATAAATCGAAAACTAAACATGGGATGAAATATTCAGATGAGTTGAAGAAATTCGCCGTTACGCTCCAATTCTACTCATCTCGTGCTTATAATTTCCTCCGAAATTATCTAGCTCTCCCAAGTCCTAGATCGATAAGAGGTTGGATGGAATCAAGTGACTGTGGACCAGGAATAAACCTCGAGGTTATCAACCGCTTGAAAGATGCTCGGTTAGTCGATACCACAGGAAGTTTGACAGATGTTAATGTCATGGTGGACGAGATGGCTATCAAAAAGCAGCTGATTTGGAACCGGACTAGGCACGAGTTCGTTGGCCACGTGGACTTTGGCTGTGGCCCTACTCAAGGTGATACCCCACTTGCGAATAGTGCTCTTGTTTGTCTCGTCGTTGGATTGAAAGGAGGTTGGAAGTGTCCCGTAGGATACGTGTTCACAGACAAGATCGACAGCCGGCAGCAACAAAGTTTTTTGAATGCAGTGTTTCATTCCCTTCATGACGCTGGGTTTGTGGTCCATTCTTTAATATCTGATGGCTGTAGTAGCAAAGTTATCGAGAATCCTGTCAATCCTTCTGACCCTGATGGCCCTGTTCGGTATGATGACATAAAGACTGAATTTCCAAATCCAGCGAATCCTGAAAAATCAATCGCTGCTGTGTATGATGTTGTCCATGTCATGAAGCTGTGGAGGGGACTTGTTGCGGAATGTCCGGATGTCTCGTGGTCCAAGGGTACCATTTCTAACGAGCATGTGAAGAACTTGCACCGTCTTCAGGAAAAAGAGGGGATAATTGCAGCCAATAAATTAACCACCACCCACATCCAGTACGAACAGAAGAAGATGAAAGTTGATTTAGCGGTTCAAGTTTTAAGTCGTTCTGTTGCTGATGCTATCCGCTTTTGCCGAATAGATTTGAAAATGCCCGAATTCTGCAATTCCAAACCAACAGAAGACTTTTTCATCATGCTGGATAAGACCTTCGACATCCTAAATTCTCGCAATTTGGGACAACGGGGTCAGAAGTCAGTGATTCGTAGGAGCAATCTCATCGAGAGACGTGAGTTTCTTAGGCAAGTCGCTGAAGAAATCCTGGGTATGGTGTACATGGAACCTAAGAAAAACCGGAACACAGGTGAAGTTATTAAAACCAAGAAATGGCTTTGTCGAAGCATTAGAAAGCGTGCAGCAAGGGGTTTAGTTGTCAGCATTAAATCTATCATTTCCGTTTGTGAAACCCTGCTTCAAAGGGAAGCCCAGCCCTTCCTTTTCGTCATAACATACCGCTTTTGTCAAGACCACCTTGAGCTTCTCTTCAACAAGATTCGAGGACGAATGGGTGGCAGCAACAACCCTACGGCTTTGGATTTCATCTACATTATGAGACGAATATGGCACCAAAACCTCCTGAAGTCGACTGGTACAGGAAATTGTCTGGTTTTGACTGATGAAAACGAAGTTCCAGGTGGCCTTCTTCCTCTTGCACGACGAAAGAAAAATTTGTTCAAGCCTGGTGACGATCTCGACGAAGAAAACATCCATGTGCCTTTTGACACGACTGTGGATATTCGGAAAGGTTCGCCATTTTATTCAAATTGCTTGTCGTACATAGCAGGCGTGGTAGCGAAGAAATTACAGGAGCGGATCAAATGTGAACTCTGTCGAGCTGCCCTACTCTCTTCCAAAGACGACCAACTTGAACAGGATGTGTCGAAATTGATCGAGAGGAAGACTAGAGGAGGTTTACTTTTTCCAAGTCAATCTGTGTATCACATCGTCCAACTTGCTGACAATGTGTTTTGGAACCTGCATAAACAAACTTCTGGTCAATTCGCCCTACCTGCAATGGATCTCAAAGTTGCGATAGCTGTTGGTCGCGCTTTGGTTGGGCATCAGGTTTTCCCAACTCTCAATAATCATGCCATTATACTTGACAAAATCACTCTGGAGAGTCACTCAAGTGCCTTGGTGAAAGCTGTAGTGGAAATGTTTTTGAGAATCAGGTTCTATTTTTACGGTAAGCGAAAATTGTTAAATAAACCACAGATTCGTCAACGCTTAACCAAACAAATTCTATTTAATGGGAACTGATTGTATTAATTGTATTGTTAGAAATGATAGTTCTGTCAAGTACTGAATTTATGTTACTTTAGATTGTATTAAACTTGAAATAAACCTTGTACAAGTTCACAATACTTATTTCCAACTCGATAGCATCTGTATAAATACTTTATGAGCACTAAATATTCGGACCAAGGCACCAAATTCTACAGAAAGCACTAAGTAGTTGGGCACAAGTACCAAATCCTATAGAAGCACTATGTATTCGTACACCAGGCACCAAATCGTGGCATGAGGCAATATCCTGCATAATCTCTCCCCATTCTGTCTCGCTCTCCTACCCATACAATTCCCATCCCTATAGTATTTACATTCATGATTTTAGCTCATGAGCTGCATATGCATGTGTGTATGATTTAGCACTATGATGGATTTCATGAAAAGCTCATGAAATCCATGGACCAAATATCAATTCATCACGACTCTTACTTTTTTCGTCTCGTGTTATCCAGGAAATGAGATAAACTTTTAACGCTGAAATCCAAATATACATACAACTTACATACATATATATGTACGTATGTATTTACATATCATAATACAACTCTGGTGGCCAATATTCTTATCTGCCATTCACTCTTGATAAGTTTACGTGTTGGTGAAGAAGTCTCTCTTGGCTGGATCTCATTTCATTACGAACTCAACATTATACATATTTTATTTTGTATAAAGATTTGAAATTTGAGAGGTGTTTTTTTGTTTTTGAATTGTGTGTAATTGAAAAATACTTCATATTAATTCACCCATTTACTTGTAGGAATATGCGGAAAGCACCAGCTATCGGGATAGATTTGGGAAGCTGCTCGTCTCGAGTGGCAGTTTTCAAGGATGGAAAGGTCAAAATCATCGCCTCCTACGCGTCATACGTCGCTTTCACAGACGCAGAGATCATTGTCGGGGACGCCGCCAAGAATGTGGGATCAGGGGTCAATGGAATAAACACTATTTTTGGTAAGTTTTCACCTCAATGTGCCAAACAATTCGGTATTTTCTAATATATCCATAAATATTTGCTTTTGCAAGTATTTAGTATTTATATACAACTTTTTAAGTACTTTAATTAAATATGCGACGTCATAGATGTCAACATTAATTTGTCTAGATAATTTACATATGTATCTACACTTTTATAAAACTGGGTGAAATAATTGTGACTTTTTGTGCACAAAATTAACTGAAGCAATTCACGCAGTCCTTGGTAACATTATAAAATCCGTAAATTCTGTAAACGTACAAATTTTTACAAAGTTTTACAATTATTTATAAGGAAGATTAAAGCTACACATTTTAGTGGTCAAGTGCGTCTTTTAGTTTTACAAAAGTGTGTAAAATTATTTAACGAAAGTTACGGATTTAACAAATTATTAAGGACTATTGCCTCATTATTTATTTAATTGTTTACCTTATATGTATAAATTATACAGATGTAAAGCGATTGATTGGGCGAAAATTTGATGAAGTCGACCCGACTCGGTGGCCTTTCAAGGTGACCAATGACGCCGGGATGCCTAAGGTTTGTGTCGAAAGGGAAAGTAGAACTTTCTCCCCCGAAGAGATCTCATCCATGGTTCTGACCAAGATGAAGGAAACCGCGGAAGCTTACCTGGGAGCAGAGGTACGTACATAGCCAAATTCAAAATCGACGAGGGTGCTCATTACCAAAGCTAGCAAAATAAAATTTTGGAAGTTCACAAACATGATTTGAAAATTCATTTACGAACTTGTTCATCTCCAAAGTTAGTGTGTATTAGTTCGCATTTTTTCTCCAAATCATGTCCCCATGCGAACTCGTGATGAATACCCCCATTATTATAAACGTATTGCATTTGTTCAGTTTTATCTATAAGCCCATTACTAAGCCCATTACTTTTATCTCGTTATATTTTGAAATGTGTCAAAGTAATTGTGTTGGATTTACAGGTTACATATGCGGTTATCAGCGTCCCTTCCTGTTTCAATCGTGCTCAACGTGAAGCCACAAAAGAGGCCGGAGACAAGGCTGGTCTCCACATTTTACGACTAATCAGCGACACCTCGGCCGCCGCATACGCTTACGATTGGAGCAACAAAGTATATAAATATTTAATCAGGAAACTATTCACGCAGTCATTAATAACTTATAAAATTCGTACATGCGGTTGATAAAATAATTTTACAAGTTTTTGTAAAATCAAAAGACACCCTTGATCTGAGCAAGTTTACAAAAAATGTGCAACCTAATCTTCCATAGAAATATTTGTAAAAATTTTGTAAAAGTTTAGAATTTACGGATTTTACAAAATTATTACCAAGGACTGCCTGAATTTTCTTAATATTTAGAAAATTCCCGTCTTTCATAAATGAAAGAGTAAATTTACCACTTCCCTTATACAGAAAAAAGGTGAACGCAACACGCTAATCTTCTCCTTGGGGGGTGGAACATGCTCCGTAGCCGTCGTAACTATGGAAGAAGGAATCTACGAAGTTAAGTCGGTCGCGGGAGACCCAAATTTGGGCGGGATTGACTTTGACCACCGACTTGTAAAGCTCTTCAGTGACGAATTCCACAGGAAATATAATAAATCTTTGCCCACCAACAAGCAAGCTTATCTTCGTCTCCTTAACGCCTGTGAAGACGCCAAACGAACTCTGTCCAACTCTAGCACCGCCTCCATCAAACTAGACTCCCTCCTCGACGGAATTGATTTCCACACATCCATCACTCGCGCTCGTTTCGACCAGTTGAACTCTGACCTTTTTCCTCGAATTTTAGACCTTATCAAGAAATGCGTTCGAGACTCGTACATCGACAAAGAAAGTATCGAAGACATCATTCTGATTGGTGGATCCACCCGAATTCCCAAAGTGCAAGAGACCCTGCAAGATTTCTTCCCTGGGAAAGCCCTCACCACCTCAAATTTCTGCGAGAACGAGTGGATCAATCCGGACGACGCAGTCGCGCTTGGTGCTGCCGTCCACGCCGCTATTTTACACGGAGATAAGTCTGAGAAAATCCAAGACCTTCTCCTGCTTCCCGTGACCCCGATCAGTTTAGGGATTGAAAGTGCTGGAGGTGTCATGGAAACTTTGATCAAGCGAAATACCACCATTCCAACCAAGCAGACGCAGACTTTTACCACATATTCGGACAACCAGACTGCTGTATTGGTCCAAGTTTACGAAGGTGAACGAGCCATGACGAAGGATAACAATGTTTTGGGAAAGTTTCAACTGACCGGGATTCCACCGGCGCCACGTGGTGTTCCCCAAATCGAGGTCACCTTTGACATTGATGCCAACGATGTTATGGTCGTTACTGCTACCGAGAAGAGTACCGGGAAGAAGGAAGGGATTACGATCAGCGAGAGATATGTACCCAATCTTGAAGACGTGGATGACCAATTTGGTAAGGAAATGGCACTAATTCCGAGTACGAAACGGGATGATAAGGAGGATGTAGTTGAAGATCACGGAGGTAAATTGACTTTGTTAAGTTTTAATTTTTTTGTACTATTCAAAGCACCTAATTTGATGATTTGTTTGACTTACATATTTAGAGGTCGATGTAAAGAGAGTGATGGACAAGTGTCAAGAGCTTGTCGAATGGATGAAGGAGAAGGAACTCGAATTCGCCCAGAAACGAGAGCAATTGGAGAATTTGTGCAATATGTTCAAAGAAAAGGGGAACACTGGTGATGGAGACAGGTCAAACTAATCTGCATTAAAATATGTACATATGTATCAGTAAACGACATTTGACCTTCACCAATTAATAATTCATTTATTCTGCAAAGAGTTAAATAAATGTACATTCATAAATTAATTGATTAATAACGGCAGGCACATATGTACATATGTAGACAAGGTTAGCAAGTAGATACCTTCATCAACATAAATTCAATTTTAAATACATTTACACACTGTTAGTAAAGCACATTTCCCTGCAGTTTTCTAAATTCGTCATGTTTTTACTTATGGAAATATGATTTTAAAATAATATGTATGTATTGTCCTCATTAAAAGCACGCGACATTTATGGAGAATTTTGATGGCATGATTTTATTTGCAGACTAATTGCTGTTTGAGGGAGCGGGGGGGGCTAGCAGAATCATGGGCGTGTCAGTTTATCGCTTTTATCCGGTTACATACATTGGTTCGAAATAAGTACGAACAAATCCACACCAAGTTCATAGGCTGGCAAAACCTTTACGGAAACGTAAAAAAAATAATCAATCATTTTCATTGTTGACCATCGTCCGTTCGTTTAATATTGTCGAACCCCCGGCTAAAATAATTTTTTTTATTCGTGAATTTAGTTATACACCAATCTACAATTGGTTAGAACAATTCTTAAATTTGTTTGATTAAAAATAAAATTAATCCTGTTTGATTTTTCGGTTATAGCAACAAAACAATTTTCTATTCTATGAATACCTTCCATGAATACCTATAAATCTTAATTTGTTTTAATTTATTGGCAAAATAAATTTTTGCGTCTTATTTATTAAGGAATATCGAAATATTTGTAAGATAGGATTGAATTAAGTACATATACTCGAATGAAAAGATAGATTTTCTTTGACCGTTAGATTAAAGCTTTTAATAGTTTTACTTGCCAAGAAATTAATCCGATTTGAAACCAATCGGTCGTTTTTAATCCATTTTAAATAACTTTATCCTTATGACATCCTGCCGGAATAACTTGCGAATCTTCCAAGGTGCTGGTCCAATCCAGGGTTTCCATACTTGTAGGAAAATATATAAGCGGAAGATATAACTTAAGTAATACGTAAAGTGACACAATCTCCGTATAAAAAAATTTTACTTTTCGCCAAGTTGTGACCATTTTTATCGTGGAGGTGATTTTCTATCTTGACCCACAGAAAATAGTGGCAAAGTTCATGAAATAGATATCATTTCTTAGAGCGCGGATCTAACATAAAATCTGTCTACGCTATAAATAGGTGGAATATATACATAAAATAAGAAACTCGAGCTTATCGGGGGAAAACTTTGATTTGACAAGTAATCAAGCCATTTAATAAAACATTTAGATAATTACGGTCTCCCTTTATACAAACCCCTTCAACTTAATCCATTTATTTCATTATTGATTTGGAAGTATTCTACACAGGTTGATATATTGGTTTGTAAACGAATTTTAATTTTTAACAGTATTCTTCTTCGTATATTAATAAATACTGACTGATATATACACAAGAGTATATGACATTCAACGCATAAGCAAACCCAACGAACTTCATTCACGCAAATTTTGTAGAAAGTATCCAAGCTTCGCTTAAAGATCGTGTTTGTCTAAGGAGGGGAGCTTCCGAGGTTGATAATAACAGATCTGCTTGAAATTTTTACCAATGATACTTTGGGATGAGTGAACCTTAACCCTTGAAGCTTTTGATGCCATGACCATAAAGAGCTGAGAAATTAATTTCGAAAGTTTCAAATTTTTTGCTTGGATGTTCCATTCTATCTGAGCTGTTTGGTGTTCTATGGCATTTACTTGACGTATATGACACATCTCTAGAACGGGTTAATATTTTTGAAATCTGTTTTTGGGCATCGACATTTAATTTGTGGGGGTGGACAAGTTCGATCTTGCAGTCAATCGGACCACCCCCCCCCCCATTAGCACAAGTGGGTGTGGTCGAATTATATATATAATTATAATAAATCTTGTGGTTGTTTCATTCAAATACTTACAAAATTTTGAATTTTCAAACTCTTTTTAATCCATCCCATCAGGATTTTCTCAATGAAACCCATATTAAAAGTCCATACAACGATTGGGGTGTGCCTTCTGGTTCAGTACTTGTTTGGTGACCACTACCCATTCCCGTACAAGCTGCCTTATAAGTTTGTCTATCGGAAAGGAATCCTCCACATTGAAGATGTCCAGATGAACGCCATCCAAAAATGTGTCCCACCCTTGATAAGCTTCATTTTCGTATTTATGTGCTCGATAGGGATATATTTTCTTAGTTTAGACGATGTCTACTTGCTGAGTAATTTTCGATTCTGGGCATGGATTTATATCATTGCGACGGGCGTGTTGTCGATTTATGGATACGTGGTGGTCATGCTGAATCCGGACTTAAGTTTTGCTGGATGGGAACAAATGGTCGCTTTTGATTGGCACATTAGAGAAGGTAACTATGTACATAGCGTTCCCGTGTGTGTAAATAGGTTTCTTTGTGTCTCAACTTTCCCTTAATCCGAGTATTCAACTGCGACTTTGAAATCTGTTCATTTACAAGATGTTTTTTTTTACAAATTCAGGATTTTATTTTGTTAAAAAATCGATAATTATTAGTTTTGCAAGGTTAGTACATAGGCTTGAATTGTGATTTTGTCTTCCATGAGAAAATAGAAATAAAATAGGCAAAAATAATAGATAAAAATTAAATATTTTCTCATGGAAGAAAAAAACACAAAATTTCACCTCCTAATCTTGCAAAGCGAATAAGTATCGATTTTCAAATGCAAAATGAAATCAGTAAAAAAAATTCAAGGAGAAGAAAAGGTTTCAAAATTCTCATTTGAATACAAGGGAAAGTTGAGACGCAAAAATTCGGAAACCGGATACATGAGAACCATAATATCATTTTTGCTTTATTCGTGTAAAACCAACTTATTCTGACCTGGTTTCTTTAAAAATCAACAGAATTCAAAATCCATGCGGGATTCGATGCCTCTCTACTCCTCAAAAATTCAATTTTGGAAATCGTATCTGTCATAACTTATGCGTTTGTTGTTTCAACATACGTTTTTAACCCTTTTTCCATGATTTTTCTCATGTATCTCGACTTAGACCCTATTTCTTACATTTTTCGCTACATTTCCTCCCAACTCATGTTAAACATCGTGGGAAATCACGTCCACCTTTTAGTATTCTCAACTTGCTACATAATTAACATTATCAACATTTACCACAATCTTTGCATGATTTTTTACGGATTTTCCGCATATGTATTTCGTTAAAATTTTGTTGCAAAATGTGTCGCAACTGCGGTCCCAAATTTACGGCTATAGCCAGCTATTCCCAACATTCCCAGTTGGTTTAAACATAATAAGTACCGGATTGTATCTAGCGATTCCGCTAGATCATTAGATCTATGGATTAACTTAAAATGCTAACCAAAATTCCATAATTCGATCGTGGCATACTAATACGGAAAATGCAATTATTTTGCAAACTTCAATACATAGGAAAATTGGGGTCCGAAATCGAGGCAGCGGCCAAATTCGAGTGTAAAATAATTTTTAAAATTATTTCCCGCGATATTTGACCAAAAGTTGGACTAGTTTGAGTCAAAATCCAAAATTTGCAAAAAATTCGCACATTTTACCTCAGATCTCGAAAACTGCTGGACGACCACCCCAATTTTATTACGGATTTTTGATCTACTCAATATTACGCAACTTTTAAGCCATCGAACTCGAAAATCGTTAGAGCGCGAAAAAATTAGGGTTGGCCCGGGTACCGGGTAGTTACCCGGTACCCGGCATACCCGGCCTGTTTTGGGATACCCGTTACCCGGCCGGGTAGACTTTACTACCCGGTCTACCCGGCCGGGTAATTTAAATGTTCAATTTTTTGCAAAACCTTATAAACAAATTATAATCCGATGAATTTCATTTTTGTCCTTTGTGTAAAATAATATATTTTGAAAAAATGCGTACAAACTAGGTCAATTCTTAGGTGGAAATTATTATCCAGATATTAAAATTACTTTGGGCGCACTCACGTCAACCCTTGCATACATATCTCCCAGATTAAGCATGGTAACATAACTGGCGATGTTTTGCGAAATTTGAGACATTTCTCAAAGCCTTCGCTAGAAAACCATTGGTTTTGCAAATTTGTCCAGCAATTAGGCACATTATAATTTGGCAAACTCATCCTCCCGATTATCAGTGAAAAATAGTTACAAAATCCATGAAAACAAGATCAAAATAAGCATCTTTAATAGATCTGCGATACTTTCAAAGTGATATTTTGCGACTCCCCTCATGAAACAAATTTTTTAAGCTGCACAAGTTTGCTAAATGGGTGGCGATGATTAATAAGACATTGTCGTGAGTACGCTCAGTCTGTACTTTGTGTTTGTTTTTAACTTGCAGCTTTTTAAAACTGGTAAAAGTGTTGCAAATTCTAGAGAAAGGTGGAATAACTCCCTTTATTTTTAATATATAAATATTACCCGGTACCCGGCCGGGTAGCCGGGTACCCGGCGAACATTTTAGGCCGGGTACCGGGTAGCCGGGTACCGGGTAGTAGCCCTACCCGGGGAAACCCTAGAAAAAATCACTATTTCATTGTATATATATATCTTAAATACGCTCTACAGACTCTTGGAGATTTGAGCGTAATCAAAAAAATAAGAACCGTCCGAGAGAGGAAGATGCATTTCAAAATGCTTAAAACCATTAAACCCACTGCAATTCCGGTAGGATTGGGAAGTTGTACTTTTTTCAGTGCTAGGAAAGATAACGAGCTCTTGTTTGCTACGCAAATTGTGGATAATACGATATCGCTTTTACTAATGTAGGAAAAAATGCGTTGTGGAGTTCGTATTTAGGTAATTATATAATTAAATTATCCTCGGAGATTTGATATCATACTTGACAAAAAGTATCACAAAACTCAAAACCATTATTTATGAGAAGATTAGGGTCAAATGGTTCAATAAGGGTTACATCAAGCCTAGTTGATTTTTCGTTTCCTTGGGAAATTGGATTTTTGGAACTTCTCCGGACGGGTTTGTTGTATTGGATGAATTGTGTTTGCAGAATTTGAGCTAAATTGGGTATATACTTATCTGTATCTTACATTGTCACTTTTTTGAGGAGAGTCAAATCCATACATTGTTTTTCATTCGATTTCTACATATGTATTTGCGTCAGTATGAAAAAGTTGCTAATTTATGAGCTTCAATTGTTCAATTTCAGTTTGTGCATAATGCATGACCACAAAATTACAGATAATCAAATGATTTTCCTAAAATGATGGATTAACCTAACCAAAAATTTGGTTCGTTTTTACATGCAGACGTATAATAAATATATGTATAACTTTTAGAAACTTATTATTGATAAAAAACTAATAAATTATAGTCCGTCATTCCCCGTATTATACAATCGTGTCATAAATAAATTCCTAAAATTTAGGATGACGACAGATGTTTGGTTATAAATAATAAAAATTCGTCACCTGTAAAAGTTGGGTCAATTCATACCCCTGCACCTTATTTTTTACAGCAAATGTATGTAATTATCTGGAAATTACATATTTATCACTTCACGTCATATTTCTAACAAACGGGTGAAGTCAGTGGTAATAAATGTCAATAAAATTACAGAGAACTCATCAATCATAATTCCATGGAACCAGATCTCCTCATAAATTTGTGGATTTTTTCGACAATTCCTAGAACCTACCTAATTAATGGGTTTAATCCATTGTGTGAAACCCGTATAAAATGATTCTCATCCGCAGATATCTTCATTCAGTCAGATTTACTTAAAAAACATAATCTTATCGAGATGTTTGCACAAGTCCTTCTCCTTTTAGGCCTGTCGGCATCCTCCGTTCTGGGGGATTGTTGGCAAACAGGGTGTCAACTTGACAGTTGGGCGGTAAAGGGGTGCGACCAATATGACCGTGACACGGCTGGAACTGAATGGTGCCAAGGGGGTAAAAAGTACACGTGCTGCACCCGTGGAGGTGGTGGAGGTACCACGCCACCCCCAGATAACGGTGGTGAGCAATTACACTCTTAATAACCCGTTGTTAATAATCGTCCTCGACCGGTGTTCATATGTGACTTCATCGTGCAGTGATAATGTTTCTCACCTAATGGTTGTAAAATTAACACCAACCATTGGCAATTTACCACCATGCGAGCAAGATTTATCACCAGATTATAACCATTTGGTGAAGTCACATACATATGCACACCATTCGGTGACGGTTAACACCGAATTTTTAACAGTGTACGTAATATTTTACAATGAGGCAATTCACGTCAGCCTTCATAAGTCTGTAACCATAAGTGCAATTTTTGAGTACGAACAGAGTACATTTGGTGTAAAACAGGATACTATTTTATTACCACAATGACAATTTACCTTTAGGTTATTAAAATATTGTGATGATATTTTCAGGCGGAAATATGCCAACCTGGCCTCAATTCAGTGCCGGTGTGACCAACAACGGCTACCCGGCCCCATCTCAAGATCAGTACAATAATTTCGTCAAGCACGCCGCTCGCTGGGGTCGGGTCACCTCGAAGCAAGAATCAGCCATGGCTTTGGCCCAATTTCTACACGAGTCGGACGGTCTCCGCGCCAAGAGGGAGTACGCTTGTGCGCAGACGCAGTGTCCAAACAGCTACAGACAACCGTCTTGCGATGCGCCCGGGCAGTATTATTATGGTCGCGGGTATATTCAGCTGAGTTGGTGCGAATGGAATTACCGACCCGCGTCACGAGACATTTTCGGGGATGACCGACTCGTCAGCGACCCTGATCAGGTTGCGCGGGATGAGTCGACGGCATGGGCTACGGCTTGGTGGTTCTGGGGGTAAGATGAGAATTATTGGAAGCATGGAGAAATTTTAACCGTTTCTTTTTCCTTGTAGGAAAAATGTGCACGATAAGGGAGGCGTTCAACAAGGTCAATTCGGATCTACGACGAGAGCGATTAACGGTCCGTTGGAGTGTGACGGAGCCAACCCGGGTCTTGCCCAGAAGAGATTCCAGATTTATGGGAAGGTGCGACAAGGCTTTGGTCTGGCTGGGGCCGGAGATCCTTCTGGATGTTAAGTAGATTGTTAAGATTGTGGAATTTTTTTCTGATGAAGATAAGCAAATAAAAACACATTTAAAGAACGGCATAAAATAATAGGTTTCCGTGTTATTTTTCATATGGTATTCACTATAAGGGATGTGCGCGCATGAAAAATTGCATATTCATGCATGAGTTTTAGTTTGATGATTTGAGAAAATAAAAGCATCTTATCCGCATAATTTCAAATTATTAATAACACTTTGAAAATTTAATAAGAAGGGACCAATTGTCTCGGCTGCATTTTGCCTATATTGTTTTTATTCAACAGATAATTTCATGACATAAAAACTTTCTTTCATAAACTTAGCACGTGGTGCAAATTGAGTTTGAAGCGAACGAATTCTAAACTATGGTAAAGGGAAATTTTAATTGTCAAGACTAACTATTAAGTAATTAATTAGAATTTAATTAGTGTTTAATTTTTATAATTAACGAAGATTATAAAAATACAACTCCATCAAAACCTTGGCACCCCCATCAACAAATTAATCGTGTACATGATTATCTTCTCAAAATACTTGACCTTAATCCCCCTCTCCACCCTGTACAACCGTCCGTACAGAATCCTCCCCCCGATATCCATCACCCTCAAGGAACGCAACCTCCTCCTCATAATCTTCCTCTCCCTCCCCGCACAAACCCCCCACATCCACACCCCCCACAACCGCAACACCTCGTCCGACCTCGTCCTCACCTCGATCGCCACGCTTAATCCAATCCCGACAAAAATCACGATGAAAAAATTTACACTGGGGAAAAATGAGTAAAACCAAAACGGAAAATTGCTGTACATTCGAATCGTTACGAACGTGAAGAGGACCGTGGCGCACATGGCGATTAGCATAAAAGCCGCGGCAAAGAATTCTTGCAAGCGACGGGTTTTTTCCAAAAGGATGAAAATCCTGACATATTTGGCCACCAGGGCGTGAAGGCGCCATTGATTTCGCGCCCGGGTGAGGGACAAGATGAGACCAGTTAGCATTTTGCAGAGCGTGAAAGCCACAATGATGGGGAGCGGGTAGAGGCGGCAGCCTTCAAAATGGGTGGCTATGATGACGTAGAAGATGCCGAGGTAGCCCAGGGTGTGGGGGAGAGGGGTTAGTTTGACCATTTCGAGGAGGTGAATGAGTGGATCGACTCGAAGGAAGTGGGACGCCAGCGTGAGAACGAAGGGCATGACGAAAAATTGGTTAATCATGCCGGACATGGCGAGTGAGAAGAGGTCGATGGATGGCGGGGACGATTTGGACGTTTTGGGTCCTAAGTTAACAAAAGTAAATAAATTGAGGTAAATTTGCTATCAAATATCGGTTTTCTAATGATTGTTTTTCCAATTTAATACCGTTCTATATATCGATATTTACCTACATATACATACTTCGATGACGTGAAACTAATTTTTATACTAAATTACAATAGGAGTCACTTAATTTTTGACGTATTTAGAGGAATGGTTAGCGAGCATGATTTGACCATTACTCAGATGGAGTTCGCTCAGCTTATGCTCTCAGATTTTGAACAAATTAGTGCCAGTCCATGATAAATTTAATTAGTATGAAATTTGTAGCAGACCGTATCTGCCAATGCTGCTGGTTGGTGGAAATATATGAATGCAGATAGGAGAAAATGCGTCTTAAAGTTTGCAAAATATATAAATGGATAAATTTAATGTGCGTCTCTCCTCTTCGGATGCAAATATCTCTGCCAAACCGAAAGATAGCGTCTTTTGCAAAGTTTATATAACTCAAATCAAAGAGCATACAATGGGATGCCTCCAGTGTCAAATGAAAGCATATATCAAAATTGACAAAATATAAATTTACAATTCAGAATAAGAGCAACTATGTATGTATAACTAAGCTCATGCATAAATTTCAAAATGTTTTTAAAATTTTAGCAGAACGATAAAAATGAGAACTTGGTCTTGCGAAAGAAATAATTCTTCTTCAAAATATCTTACCAATTGCATTCAATTTCCCAAACTCGCAAAATAACGCGTTCCACCCATCCACGAATGGTTCGCCATGCAGCCAAATTGCCACACCGATTGAAAGGTTGAAAAGCCATGAAAATAAGAAAATAACATGAACCATAAGAACTGGAAGGGGAGACACTTCTGCGGATCCATGTAGCACCAAGAATAACAAAAATATGCCAGAAATACAATGCAGGCTGACCAAAAACAAGACGTTGAAACGCCAGAGAAGCGTGGTTTTTAAATTTTTATGATAAATTAGCCTTCTCTTATTCCTTTGCCACTCAACAATCGGGTGTGTCACGTATTGGAGAAATTTGTCGTATTCGTTCAGCACGGAGATCATTTGATTTAGCTCCATCGCGACGAAATGTGTTGAGACGAATATGCACATATGTACATATTTTGGCTACCTTTAGATTTGCATAGTTTAGCCGGGTTGACAAAGATGATCGATATTTTTAATACTCTTAAAAAAATTGTGGTATCCTTTTGTCGAGTAAATGCACACTCAATTCCATATTTCTTAAGTAGACTATACTATTTAATTACAGAGTGAACTTTACCCTGTATTAAGTTACTGGACTCTGGATTTATAGCTTACTTAATATAAAATTGATACATACATAGTGCATTTACATACGTTTCAAAAGTCTCAGGTCATTTTTAAGAGTGTTTCTCATGTACGTGTATATGCGTTTAAAAGGAAGAAGGGATGGTACATATGTGCACATTTGTACAAATGAATTTAGCAGTAACAATACAACTGTAGGTATTAACATTAGGTTGACGATGTATGTATGTAAATATGTACATACATAAGGAATAGGGAAATTTATAGGCTAATCGTAAAATATGTATTTAAAAATTTAGTTCATTAGTCCGACTTAATTTCTTATTTAGAAATTATTGATCGCTTTTATAGCCGAGTTCCTTTGAATATTCGAATTAAGTGGAATGGGAAAGAAATTTATGTCTAGTTACATGATAAGAGTTACCTTATAGACAGATATGTATTTGGATTCCGACCTTTTCCGCAATTACAAGTAAATAAATAATTGATAGATTTTAGAATCATATTCTTTCTTTGAAGGTTGCGAATTAACGCAATTTTGAGTTTGGCATTTGCAAAGTATTAAACTTGGCATCATATGGATTCTTAATTTAATATTAGACGGTTGAAGGGAATATATTTAAATATAATTTTTATCCAGGTAAAATAAAACTGGACTATGTATGTATCTATGTATGTCTTACGATTAGATTACATATTTAGTACAGGTTGCGTTAAAAACGGGATGAAATACTCTGATGACCAAAATTTCGTAAAAATTAAGGTATGTGTTCGGTATTTAGTGGAAATTTAACATTAAAAAGTTTTATTTTTATGATACTTGTCTTGACAACTTTAGTCAATGTTAAAAAATTGATTTTTCATGTTTCTGGTCAACAAATTTAAAAAATGAAAACTTGTACCAGTAAAGGAAGAATTTGACAAAAATTAAACTTTTAGTATGAACAATTCCAGCTTTTATAAAATTTGTTTATTCCGTACGTGGATTTAATTTGTACAAGCCATCAACAATTATTTGTCTGTACATAATATTTAATTACAAATTTCTTTGATTTTTTCAATTTTTAATCACTTAAAAGTTGGAAATGTACTTAAAATAATGAATTTATTCACGACCGACGCAATTTCCGTTGGATAGAACGTCAAATTTTTAGAGAAAACCGATCAGCTTACTCATGCAGGGCATTTCTGTTATACAGATTAATTTTTAAAAAACTGACCACCATTAATAACAATTGCTTAATTAATTAATTTCATATTCTTCTCACCCTCGCTTTTGCTACGCATTTCTTCAACTCTTCGTAATCCTTACACTCGCCAGAGTAATCTGCTGGAACCTTCAACCCTTTCTTAATTTCTGGACAAAAAAAAGTTTTATGAAAATTTTGAAAATATTCAATGTTCAGAAATTAGTTTGCCACGCTTTTACCCTCATCTTCACAAATTGCAGCATCTTCACCCATTGATCGACGGTGGGCGTCGCTTCGGGAGCAGCAGGGTCGAAAAAACTCAGAAGAACTTCCCCACGCGCGGTATCGTTGAAGGCGCCATTTACGAAGACGGACATTCCTGCCTCACAACAAGAGAAGTAACACTAGGAAGAAAAGTTGTTTAGACAAAATCAGCCCAAAAATACGCAAACCGAGTTAACTTTGGCAAATTATTTGGCAAATTTTTGCAAATTATGCAGAAGCCATTGGGCATGGGACATTGTCTCTCTGTCACCACGCTTCAGCGGCCACTGATAAAGACACCTACATAATCGAGTCTAAATTTACCTGCCAAATTGTCTGCCAAGTTTACTCGGTTACAAATGTTTGAGTAAATTGCTCAATTTAATTAAATATTTTTTTACCCAAAAACTCGCAATAGATTTTGAATTGCAATCCTTGATCGTCGCTTCCAACTGGTCACTAAACTTTCCCACGTATCCTTTGAAACAGTTCAGTTTCGCATAGGTTTCTCGCAAGTCCGCTTCGTGGTCGGCCTGGACCGTGGCAAGGATGATGACGAGCTGTAAATTCAGTAAAATTTTGAATAATATTATCTGAAATATGTACAAATTTTGAAATTCAATTTCGATTTTCTTACTATAATGACACAAGCGAGAGGAGACGACATGGCGATTACGATTAGGTTGAATAGCGACTGATGGCGTCGCTTAGGGTTTTAAAGGATTTATTCAACAATGTGACCTTCCTCGTCTAGGTGATTTTTAAATTGTCCCAAATTTATCAAGGTATTTGTTCACAATGAACAATCGAGTGTGACGCTGGATTATGCACAAAAGTATTTATTTACCTATGCACTTCTCTGCGTATTTACATATTATGTTACATAATTTATGTACATAATTTGGTGCATTTTACTGCAACGTATTAAATGGTCTGATTCTTAAGGGTGATCCATGAATGGAGATTGAAGCATAGGGGTTCGTTTTGTCCGAAATGTTTCATCTTTTACGATGTCATTGTGCATATTTATAATTCCGTATCGAGACCATTCGGATTTTTTATAGCACGTCACGTCTGCAAGTTACGCAGGGATTGTATTAAGTACTTCCACTTAAAAATTATTTACCTACGACTTAAATTGCTCCTCAAGCTACGTGTTCTTACTGAATTTAAAACTAGATAGTAGATAGTAGATAGATATTTATTTCAAGATTGATATGGCGTTAGCCTTTACAATCACAATTGTGGAATATATTGTATGAGACATTTGAGACATTTGAGTCTTAGCCTAGAGTAATACTATTTATCCTATTTAACCTATGTATATTAATATTAATATTAATGTTTAGCCTACTTATTGTTTAAACTATTTTCCTTACATTTATTTATTTATCGTGTTGAGTGACAACTTGAAACTGATCAGGTTACAGTATTTTCTCGCGATTCTATTACAGATTTAAAAAACAGGTAGATATCCATAATTTTTGATTCATCCAGCTCGGTGAAGAATAGTGCGTACTCTTTAGTGGTTACTGGTATCTTATGCTTATGTAAAAATCTTGCTCTTGATACAGAATATTTTTCACATTGACACATGACATGAAAAAGGTTCTCTTCCTCTCTTCTATTACAATTTTGGCAAAGTAACTCTATCATTGGATCATAAAAATTTTCCATGCTTGCTAATTTCACACTACTTTTACAACATGTAAATTGAGACAAGTTTGCCCTGCATTGTACTACTAATCGAATTACATTCCATGGTATCTCTGCGTTAAGGAAGGGTTCTCGTCTTTTATGAGTTTTTGTAAAATGATAGAGAGGCATAGACGTGCTATTCTGCATTCTCAGTATATCATGTTCAACACTTATGTCCTTAATTAATCGTATACAATTATTAATTTTTAAAAGAAGGTCAGTACAACCATTTTCATCATAATATTCCGGTATGCTTTCGAGTAGAGTTTCACATTCCCATTTCGATAAGAGTAATTCTAATTGCTTATACCAATTGTGCTTTATATTTGGCTTTTTCGATTTAACTTTTAAAGCTTCATAACATTGTCGTAGTAAACTATGCTGCGGAGTTGTGATGATTTTATTCCAGAATCTAAGAATATTTTTGACAACAGATATTTCAATAGAGTTATAATCTGATTCGAGTCTGAGAAACCAATTAGGTGTCTTATTTGGAAGCATGAAAATATATCCTCATATATTTATTTTGGAAAGTGACCAATTTATCCATCATACTTATACCCCATACCGGTGAGCAATATAGTAATACAGATTTAACGAGAGAATTAAAAAGCGTTATTCTACTGTCAAGGGTTTTAATTTTGCCTCTATAAAGTAGTGAGTGTAATTGTTTTTCTGCACCCTCTGCCTTCTTAATAAAATCTATTCCTGTTTGTAAGAAATTACAGTTTTCGTAAAAAGGGACTCCGAGATACACATATTTGTTGACTATTTCAATTTCATTTTCACACCAGAATAAACCGTCGCAAACGCGCATACGGAAGTAGCTTCAGACGTACTTCACCCCAAACGGTCCCACCACAACTCGGGAACACTTAATTTCACTCTATTTCACCTATAGATTAATTTTTTGTAAAAATCTCATTTTGCCCCGACCACACCCCCTGGCGACGAGGGGGTGTGGAACAACTCAGGAACACTTAATTTCACTCTATTTCATCTATAGATTAATTTTTTATAAAAATCTCATTTTGCCCCAACCACACCCCTGGCGCCTAGGGGGTGTGGCACAACTCCGGAACACATAATTTTACTCTATTTCACCTATAGATTAAATTGCACTAAAAATCTCATTTTGCCCCAACCACACCCGCTGGCGCCGAAGGGGTGCGGCAAAATCGGGGAAACACTCAATTTCACTTAATTTCACTTAATTTCATTTAATTTCACTCAATTTCACTTAATTTTACCCATAGATTAAATTGCACTAAAAATCTCATTTTGCCCCAACCACACCCCCTGGCGCCGAGGGGGTGTGGCACAACTCCGGAACACATAATTTTACTCTATTTCACCTATAGATTAAATTGCACTAAAAATCTCATTTTGCCCCGACCACACCCCCTGTCGCCAAAGGGGGTGTGGTCCGGTTGCCCCCAAAAGTTGATAGGATCCTCCCCCTGGGGTCCTATGTATGATGGCGAAAACCGATTTCGATTATCTCGATCCGTTCTCCTGATATCCTGCTGACAGACAGACGGACAGACAGACAGACAGACAGACAGACAGACAAAGTCTTCACATAAAGTAGCTGAAGCTACTTAATAATTTTGGCTTAACAAGTTTGTATCTATTTATCTTAAAAATAATAACTTTTGTCTTTGCTAAATTTACAGTTAGGTCATTATCGTGGAAATATTGTTGGATAATATTAATCTTCGATTGCAAATCAAAACAATTTGTGGCAAGCAAAACAATATCATCAGCATATAGTAGAGCATGAATTTCTCTCATTAACACTTTCAAGCCTGGGATTTGGGCATTTTCTAATATTTTTACAAGGTCATCCATAAAAATTGTGAACAATTTTGGTGAGAGCGTTTCTCCCTGAAGGACAGATTTTTTTATTGGGAAAAATTCACTTTCACCTTCTCGTGTTCTTACTTTTGCTTTTGCATTGGAATAAATCATTTTAATAACATTAATGAATTTTGTGCTGAGCTCGACTTTCTCCAATTTAACCCACAGCTTCTCCCATATTATTGTATCAAAGGCAGAAGATAAATCGACGAATAAGGCATAAATGAGTTTCTAAAGCGGATTTTAGCATGAAAACATGGTCTTGACAACCTCGCCCTTTCTGTACGCTCCCTGGTAATCAGATACAATATTGTTCTGCTCACACCATACATTCAGCCGAGTTGTCATGAGAGCTGTTAACAACTTTAATGACGTATTAACAAGAGAAATGGGCCTATAATTCGCCGGGTCTGAAGGGTTGCCTTTTTTGAAAATGGGTACGATTGTAATTTCTGACCACTCGGGTGGACTACTATCATTACTGCTCCAAAGTGAGTTTATGCAATCTAATAGTAATGCTTTTTGGTCATCAGATAAAGCTTTCAGAAGCTCATTTGGTATCATGTCTGGACCTGGGGCTTTATTTTTTTGCTAATTTCTTAATTGTAGCAGTCAACTCGAAAAAGGAGAAAGGCTGATCTAAATAGTGGTTTTTAATTTCTATGGATGATAATGGTACAACAGTTAAGTTATGGTCGTATTTTTGTGCATAAAAGTTTTTAATTTTGTCCACACCTGCAGTTTCATTGCTACTATGCTGTGGCATTCGTCTTGGTCTGTAATACGATAAAGCTTTATAAAACTCTCTAGAATTTTTGACATTTGCAAGAGAGCTGTCCAACTTATTCATGAATTTTAACTTTTTAGCGATTATAAGGTTTTTATATGAGCGCTTTGCGTTGAGGTAATTTGTTAGATTGGTGGCAGTCTTATTTCTGCGATAAATTTGTAAGAGATGCTGGGCACATTTTTTCTCTTTTTTACATTTTTCGTCGAACCAGACAGGGCCGAAATTAGGTCTGCTGGCTGACTTAATTACACGAATCATTTTAGTGTCCAATGCTGATTGATACATTAAATTAGTTACTTCCCGAATGTTAATACTACTTGAATCATGATAAGATAGGAGGTTGTCTAAGTTATCTTGAAAAGAGTCCAACTTTAGGTTGTCCCATATTATTCTTTCGTGTTGAAATATTCTGGTTGGAATCATGATTTCATTTATACTAATTAAAATTGGGAAGTGGGCTGATCCCTCACAGTCAAGAACTTTCAGATCAACATAATTTGTCATTTTGCTAGATACAATGCATAAATCAATGACACTGCTTCCATTTCTATTACAGAAGGTAATATTTCCTGGTCTATCAGCCAGTACCGAATCATTTAGAATAACATAATCACCTTCTTCAAGTATTTTACATAGATCTCTGCCTCTTTTGTTGATTTTATTATCTAGAGATTTCCTTTCAAGTTCATCGGAATAATTTGGATTTTGGAAACTCCCTACTCTTGCATTTAGGTTTCCTATCACAAAGCATATTTCATTGTGTGAGTCTATATCTTTGAATACGTTTTCTAGTGGTACTAGTGAGGAGGGCGAGAGATATGTAAAACAAAACTTTACTTTAAATGTGTCTAGAACTAATTGAATATGAATGAATTCTTGGGTTAGTTTAATGAGTCTGGTTTTAGAAGAGATATCATTTCTTACTGCCAAAATATAACCATTAGCTAGCCTACCCCGACTTGATGTCCTTGACCCATAGGACTGATAAATTGTGTAGCTATTACATATAGGTGTATAATTAAAATTAAAGTTATGTCAAGTCTCACATAGGAAGATAATTGTAGGTCGATGATGAAGGATGTCGTTGTAGAAGATACTTGTTTTTCCGCTGATTCCCTTGACGTTAAAGGCTATAATTTTGAAGTTGGGTGGTAGAAGTGGGTGTGCGTTAGTTTGATGATGATGTAAAGGCCTGCCGTTCTGTCATCCTAGGGTCATCTCTTGATGAGTGTCGTTTCGGGTGGTCCTCGGTTGAAAACTCCCATCTGAGATAAGGTCTTCCGCATAGATGATGCTCACATTTTCCCCAATTTTAACTCTCATTTTCCCCGTTAGGATGGTGCATTGCACATTTGGTTTCTCTTTCTCAAGTTGTAATTTTTTGCTTCTTAATGCAGCCTGCTGTTGTCTTTGTGTATGGGTGAGGTCATGATTTACGAAAATTGACGAACCTTTTAGTTTTTTTCTGGAGGACATGAGGTTGGATTTTTCATGTGAACGTAAGCAGCGTACTAGTAGTGGCCGAGTATAATCTGGGCGCTTTCTCCCAACTCTTATTGCGTAATCATAGTCCAGTTTTGAGATTTTCATTGTCTTGCATAGCTGGTCAACGATGTTGTCGCGGTCGCGGTAGTTCTCATTTTCGGACTCCTTGATGCCTCTCACAATAATGTTGTTACGTTTTTCCGCACGTTGTACTGTTTCTAACGTAGAGTTGACCTTCTTTAGTTCGTCTGTAACGCGGTCTTTAATAGGTTTAAGTTCGTCAGTGATAATTTTTCGAATTCTCGATTCAGATTTGCTAAATAATTCTTCTAAATCAGCTCGTGTGATTGGCAGGGGATCACTAGGGCTTCCGGTTTCTTTACCTGCCATTGCAGGAAAATATTCGAGGTCAGAGTTACTATTGTCACTTGTGTCTTTCAGTCTTTTCACGGTTTGCTTCTCATATATAGGCGATGTTTCAGTTGGATCGCGATTGCGTGCCCTTTTAGGCGTTACGTTTTTAAGGGGGTCGTTTAACTTTGGAGTACTTGGTTTGGGCGTATTACAGTTTTTAGATTTTCCAGTTGCTTTACTGTTGAACCAATTGCTCATTTTTTAGGTGATTAAAGTTATTTCGTGTGAGTTAGACATACTAGCGTAATAGCGAGAGCTCACTCTCCTGAGATGTAATCACTTCGAGCTCTAAACCAAGACTTACTGAATTTAAAACTATGCAATGTACCTAGCAAAAATATGACGCCTCTTTTCGAGAAAAGCAACCATACTATGTAGATATGTACGCTTCACGGAATTTGGGAAAAGAAGTTTGACGTTGGTCTCTGCTCTGGGGCGAGTTTCATAATTCTTTAATTCATTATCGCAGAATTCCATTCTGGCCCAGAATTTCCGGGGCGGAACATGTCACTGTTAAAAATTTAAAATTGGTCCCCTTAAGAGGATAAATCTACCTATACTGCCACAATGGTTGAGTAAAGAAATGTAGAAAAAAGTGGTGGACAAGTGCCAAAGAGCTCGTTAACCGGATGAAAGATAAGAAACCTGCATTTAAAGAGAAATTGGAGAAATTGGAGAATTTTTGAGATTTTTATACATACGCATTAATTTTATATTTTATAATTGTTTTTAAATGCGTTCACATGAATTTTGCCAATGTGTTTAATAAAAATATAACAAAGTTTTAGGATGAAGGAGTCCAGTTTTTTTTAATTCAGTACATAAATTAAAGTTGTAATAAATAAATAAGTCAAAATTAATTATGTAATTTATAGCAAATTGTTTTAATGGATTTTTTTTCAATTTTTACTTAAAAATTGGACAAATTTGTACATGAGAAAATATTAAATTTATAATCGAAACAATTTCCGTTGCACAGAAGACCAAATTGTCCGAGATAACTGATCAGCTTGCTCATGCAGGGCATTCCTGTTACATATACAGATTAGTTCACAATTAAATTGACCACAATTAATAATAATTAATTAACTACTTAATTAATTTTAATTTGCTCACCCTTGATTTCTCAATGCATTTTTCATCTTTTCACAGTCCTTGCATTCACCCAGAGTAAACTGCCGCAACCCTTTCTTAATTGCTGGAAAAAATCGTCGTGAATGCATTTCCAACTGGAAATGCATTGTCACTGGTGATAAATTCCAAAGTATTAGAGCTATCTGTTAGAAATTTGTATGGATTCATGGTCGGCCTGGACCGTGGCGATGATGATGACGAGATGGAAAACAAAATTTTGGAAAATATTTTTTTATAACAATTTCTAAATTTGAAAATTTAAAGAATTTTCTTACAATGACGAGACAAGCGAGAGGAGAAGACATGACAAGAACGATTTGGTTTAGTAGCGAGTGATGGCGTAAATTCGGTTTTTAAAGGTTTTTCTCAACAATTTGACCTTCCTCGGCTAGGTGGTTTTTAAATTGTCTCAAATTTAGCAAGGTATTTGTGTACAATGAACAATCGAGTGTGACGCAGGCTTGCAGAGATATCTATCTATTTACCTATGCACTTCTTTGCATTTTGTGTCATGACACGCCCGTTATTTAACGGCTTGAATCTTGGTGCTGATCCATAGATAATGATGTCATGTACATACATTTTGCGTTATATGCAAAAAATGAGTAAGAAAAGGAAGAGTTTTGCCAGAAAAATTCAAATTTTTTGTGACATCATTATATTTATTGCTCCGTATCGAAACCTTGAAGTTGAAGCAAGTGTATATAGAGCTGGCATTTTTATATTTTTATTATTGCTTTGTTCGCAGTTGTTGTCAAATTATGAATAAAATGAGCACAAAAGAATTTTGACAATATAAAAAATAAATAACCCGAACCGAACCAAAACAAACCGCTCCTGATCGGCATATGGTTAAAAGGAACAAAGCTAGCATGATTTTTGTAACGAAACAAGTCTACAAGTTACTTCTTTCATACAAAGATTGCATTAAGTATTATTTACAAATTATTTGCCAAATTGTTATGCTTAAGTCTTAAATTGTACCTAAATTAGGTCTTAACTTCCAAGTGAATTATTCTATTTGGAACAATGCAATATGCCTAGCAAAAGTATTTATGGCGTCTCTTAAAGACAATTAAAGCTTTGTAGCATTTGAAAAAAAGTGTGACGTTGGTCGCCCTCAGCATATGTTGAAGTTAAAATTTTATACTAATTCTACATTACGACTTCAATTTTTTTGTGAGTAAAATAGGTCCAAAGTGTGCGAGATATATGTAATTTGTTTTTTATCTTATTCTGAAAATGCACTTGTACATACATACGTACAAGTACTTTGCGCCATAACTTGCGCCACTTCTTGCAATAAATAATCGCAATAAGTGGTTTCTTGCATTCTTATTTTTTTAGCTTGGAAGAAATGCATGGAGACAGTAACCACTTTAGTAAGTATTTTCCGCGTCTATAGTCCATAGTTGGGGCGGCTAAATGGCATCTTTCTTGTATTTTATTGCAGTTTCTTGCACCTTGCATTTCTTGCTTTGAAGTGTTAGAAATGTAAATGTATGTATCTAACCAGCAAGAAACGAAAGATTATACATGCAAATTTAACTTTTTCTAATCTTCTTAATAGAAATTTGGGCAGGGAACAACTTTAAGGATGAAGAAGTTTAGTTTTTTTTAACATAAGTTTAAATAATAATAAAAAATTACATCAGTAATTATGTACCTGTTGGTTTATTTAATTTCAAATTTCTTTAATGATTTTTTTCAAATTTTAATTGCTTTCAAATTAGAAATGTATGTAAAATATAGAATTTATATGTAATCAAAACAATTTTCGTTGGATAGAACATCAAATTTATTGAGAAAACTGGCCAGATTTCTCACACAAGGCATTTCTGTCATAAAAATTAATTAACTCCCAATTAAATTGACCATGATTAATAACAATTACATATTTAATTAATCTGCTCACCCTTGACTTTGCTATGCACGTCTTCATCTCTTCATAACCCTTGCAATCACCAAAGTAATCTGCAGGAATCTTCAATCCTTTCTTAATGGCTGAAAAAAAACATTAAATTTTACGGAAATTAAAAAAAAAACTTATTACAAAAATTAGTTCCCCAAGTTTTTACCCTCGTCTTCACAAATTGTAGCATACTTCATCCAGGTATCGATCGTAGCCTTACTCACGGGCATAGCGGGGTCGAAAAGCGTCTCTAAAGCCTCCCGACGCGCGGGATCGTAGAAGGCGCCATCTACGAAGGCTCCCATTCCCGTTTCGACACAGGCGAAGTAACACTAGACAAAATAGTTATTTTTAAAAAATCTGTCCTAAAAATACATAAACAGTCGAGTAAACTTTGCAAATTGCATGTTTTCTCATAATAAAGACACCTTGCTTATAATTTGCAATAGGTTTTCATGCCAAATTTCGTTCATAAATCTACAATTTCATGCGTAAATTTCTCGACTTTAAATAAATAAATGCGCATATTTTCTTACGAAATAAGCTCCAATGGATTTCGAAGTGCAATCTTTGAGCACCCCGTCCAGCTTGGGCGTAAACTTGCCAACGTATCCTCTGTGACATTTGAGTTTATCGTAGTTTGCTCGGAAGTCCGCTTCGTGGTCGGCCTGACCACTGGCGACGATGATGACGAGCTGGAAATGGAAATTTTGAATATTTTTTTGAAATTTTTACAAAACGAAATTTAAAAAATTTGCTTACAAGGATGAGACAAGCCACGGGAGACGACATGATGAGATGACTACGCTTAGGTTGAGTAGGTACTGATGAGGGTCATGGCGCTGAGTAGGTTTATAAAGGGTTTTTTCAACAATGTATGACCTTGGTCTTGGTGCCTTTTAAATTGTCACGGTTCTTTTAAATTATGACGGAATTTGAAAACAATGAACAATCGAGTTGTGTCACACAACTCGTGTGACGCGCGAGGGGGCCGTTCATAAATTGTGTAGTGCGAGAGGGATCTAATGCTCCAACGGTATGTTAAAGAGGGGCCTGGAAAACCTGGATTTTTGCGTCACATAATTTATGAGTGGCCCCTATGACAGAAGTATTGTAATACCTACCTGCATATGTAAATATGTACATATGCACTCTTTTAAGTATTATGTAACGCGTTGCATTTCATGCCAACTTGTGAAATGGTTTGACTCTTAGGGTGAATAAATGATGCCGTACATATTCTTACAATAATGGAAACATAAGCGTTGAAAGGACGAGTTTTTCTGAAAAATTGCATTTCTTTGTGACACCCTTAAGTACGCAACCCTGCATCGAAACATTGAAGTGAGCGTAGGGCTTGTTTATTGTTTGTTTTAGTTTGTTTTGTTTATTTGCCCCCGGTTGTTTTTATATTGTAAACAAATAACAGAACAATTTTGAAAAAAACAAGACACATTTGCTAAGACAAAAGAAAACAGTGGTTTCCGGCCGTATTCGCATTATAAACAAAAGAAAAACAAAATTTTGAAAAAAATAGTAGACCCAATTCTCTAAAACGACCCATACCAAACCAAATCAAACTAGACCAAACCGCCCTTGACTTGCATAAACTTTACAAAGAACAAGCATAACATAAATTTGGAGCGCGGCGTGTCTGCAAATTACCGAGTTTACATAGGGCTTGCATTAAAAATTAATTGCCTACGTCTTATGATTTGAACACAATTTGAACCATAAATTGGAAACAATACTTAGCAAGTTTGACGTCGGAGATTATATGTGAGAATTTTAGAACACATTTTTTGCAATTACAGTTCGTATGGATATTTAACATATGTACATGCATACGTAATTGCATTAGTATTAATAATTATCTAAATAATAATTAAACAGAAAAGTTTCCCAAAGTTCCAATTTTCAATATTTCAACAATTATGTATATAGGCATATGTACACATGTAATAATTTATGCATATATTCGAAATAATGCCTGACATTATTCAAAATTTCAGAAATCATTTTGAATTCATATCCTGTATTTATAGCTAAAGGCGTCGACAGCAATTTGGATGGTACATATATACATACGTAGGTAACAGATCACGTACTCTTTTACTGATTTATTGAAGACTACTATCAACTAAATATTGCAATGTTTTTAATAATTCCAAAAAACGCTTTTACATAAATATTTTTTTTAAACTAAATACCTAATTTTTTTTATTTCTCCAAAATATTTAACTGACAATTTGTGATTTAAAAAATAAGTATGGTAAAGTATGTATTTATGTACATATCTGTATTTAACAATTTTAATAGAAATTAGACAAGTACAATGTATACAGTTAAGTACTTTTGCAAAATTTAATATGTAAATTATTCTCTCACGCATTAAATGAATTAAACCTTCGTATTAACTAAACTATTAATTAAACTATTAACGATGTTCTCTGAAATATTTTATTTTTGTCGCAAATTCTTGAAAGTGAGTGCAGAACAGCCAGTCTGGTTCAAGTGCCGGGGGATTGGAACTTAGTACCTGGGAAACGTCACCCAAAAGTTCCGAATCCCTGGACTTTTTACTTATGCAAGTTACAGGGAAACGGAACCCACTTGTCGCAGGATTTAGCGGGCTTCGATTCCCCGGTACCCTCTTACGCAAAAGTTACGATTCCCCGGAACCCAACATTTTTCTTTCATTTTTCATAAATTGAATAAATTTCCGCACAAAATTTGCATTATCTCAAATTAACCTCCCGCAAACGAAGAACATTGGATAAAAAAAATTAGAATTTTTTATAGTGGCAGAGGTTCCTAAAATCGCAAATTTCTGACAAATTTGAGGAGCGGCAAGCTCAAAAAGGTCCGCAGAATCGGAACCCAAAATTAATTTGTATATATAAATAATAGTTGGGTTCCGATTCCGCGGACCTTTTTGAGCTTGCCGCTCCTCAAATTTGTCAGAAATTTGCGATTTTAAGAACCTCTGCCACTATAAAAAATTCTAATTTTTTTATCCAATGTTCTTCGTTTGTGGGAGGTTAATTTGAGATAATGCAAATTTTGTGCGGAAATTTATTCAATTTATGAAAAATGTTGGGTTCCGGGGAATCGTAACTTTTGCGTAAGAGGGTACCGGGGAATCGAAGCCCGCTAAATCCTGCGACAAGTGGGTTCCGTTTCCCTGTAACTTGCATAAGTAAAAAGTCCAGGGATTCGGAACTTTTGGGTGACGTTTCCCAGGTACTAAGTTCCAATCCCCCGGCACTTGAACCAGACTGACAGCACCAGAAGGTTAAAAAACAATTTTACACTTTTATTTCGAATTTCTACTCAAGAGGTAAAAAAATACTGCGTGAATGCATATTATTAATTAATTAATATAGGACTTAAATTACTCATTAATCCTATCTACATATGTTCATAGATTAAGTTATAATAATCATATTACTACTTGCAAGCATTATTTTCTTAATGTGCATAATTTAATTAAAAATAATTACATATACAAAACTGTCACCGAAAAAGTACGCCAAAATTTGTCCAACCAATTGCTCCTCCACACTGTTAGAAATCTGGTATAGACACGCAGATATTACTTTCTCCGTATTAAAGTTGCTACCGTTTGGTACTAAAATTATACCTTCCTACCAAAATGTCAAGCTATTACACCACAGTATTACTTATCAATACCACTCTGGTACAATTAAATATGTATTAATACCGCTTTGTATTATTGCAATACTGGCTTCTTTAGAGTCCAAATTAGCAAATTTTCCTCACCAGATTTTGCCTTTCATAACCAATGGTTTCACCCATAACCTACAACCTTCACTAAAACTTGGCGTGGTGGTATCCGATCCAAGTTTGGCGTTCGGTTTGCCCAAATAATACATTCTTAAAGATTCCATAAACTTGTTATCCACGTGGGGAAATATTTTCAAGATCTGAATATACCTCCCATCAATTGCCTCCCCCTTTTCAAAAATTCTAGCCGGTCTACTAACCTCAGAGCTTTCCCACTGGTCTCGTATTTCAAATTGGGTCACTCCCCCTAAGCCTACCACTCCCTTGTCAGAAGGGAACAACGATTCCATGCAAGATAACCACTCCCCCCTCCAATTACCCATGAAAACTAGGGTCAACTCTCTCATTTGGGGCAGAGCGAGAAATACGTTTGATTTCTCATCTTCCTTCCCAGAGTCAAACTCAACCTCAAAATCGTTCCGACGTGCCGGAACGTACAATTGCAATCGCTTAACCTTTGGGAGCAGGGGCAGTTTCCAGGCAGTTTTTGACCGCAAATGGCTCAATCCGAGGGTGAGGTGCTCCAAAGTGGGGGCGTGTTTTGAGAGAAGATCTCGTACTGCGGTGTCGATCTGGATTTCTTCATTTTGCGGAGTGGAGGGTTTTATAAGATTGAGGGAGAGGGAGGTCAAGGGCTGCGTCATTTGGAGAAGGGATGGAAGATTGTATTCTGATGTGAGGTGGAGAACGGTCAGCTTTCTTACGGAGCTGTAAATATGGGGAAAAGATTGATTTTTTAGTATCTAATTAAAAATTTTGAAGTTAACTACGCTATAAAATGCAACGTTTTATGTAGATCTCATTTCACAGGTTCTTAGAGAAAATCGTACAAAAATTTTTGGAAAAATGAAGAAAAATTGAAGGAAAATTTATTAAGTGTCACAGAGTATTAATAATCGGAGAGATAGTCTTTAAACAAGGTGGTCATATTTTACGACCTATTCAAAATATGTACTTATATGTATTAGTTTGCAGCGTTTTAAATTTCAAGTCATATCAGAAAATTTGTATGACTTTTTAGGAAATGATAAAAATTGATGGGACATGAAGTACGATAAATTATGAAAATTCCAACAAAAATGTTGAAACGTTTTTATATTTTGACGCAAATTACGTATTGGTGTAATGTTTTTAAAACTAAATATGTTCGTTCTAATGAAATGAGTTTATGAAAAATGTGGCATAGATTTCAGATTAAAAAATAAATTTTGCATAGAGATTTAAAAATTGATCATATCATATTCAGAATTTATGTAGGTATTGTATGCAACTAACTTAATTTCCCAGTATTTAAATAATAACTATTATGTATTAATTTAACTTAATTATTTTAAAAAATTTCCAAATAATCAAAATATGTACCTTGGAAATGGCGACTTGTCCCCTTTCCAAAGCGTCGAAAGTTTGTATTTATTCACCGACATGTCCTCCACTTGGGGAAAGGCTGTTACCATATCGTACAACTTTTCGTCCATGGCTGGCCAGAGGAAATCGGAGATGTAGAAGGTTAACTTTTTCACCCCGTGGAATTTTCTGCCCTCACAAAACCCGGGTTTTACCAAGGTATCGGGAGACGAGGCCGTCTTCCTTCCCAAATTTGGAAGAGCGATGTAGCACAAATCCAATTCGACTCGGACCAGAATATTGATACCTTTCAGGAGGATTTTTTGCAGGATAGCGTCCTGCCACGTTTCCCGAATTGTCCCGGAAATTTTCAGGTTTGGGACGGCTAACAATTTCGAAGCGAAGGATGACACGCTTTTAACCTTGTTGAACTTGTTGTACTCACAGGTTCTGGGGTCATGTCGGAAAACTATGTTCATATTGATGATACTGCCGAATGTGGACATTTCTTGGGAAAACCGGGCGTTCTTTTGGATATCGTCGGGATGGAGGGAAAAATTTAGTCGGGTCGTGCTTTCGTTTTTGAGCGTGATTTTGGCTCCTTCATCCCACATTTTGGAAACGAGGCGACAATTTTTGATGTCGGAGAGAGGCAAATGTGAACAAATGGCGGATACGACCTGTTAATTTAGCAAATAATCATAGGTATAAGTATGGGAAGTTCAGTAACTACGCTATTGCACTAATACACTTTATTAAATAGATAATTATCGACTTCACGTTTAGTGAGATTTCAAAACCAATTATCTAATTACTACTAAATTATATTTATGAGCATTATTTGAAATTTATACGTATAGTTGAGTACATTATATTAAATAAATACGACAGAATTGATAATTTAAGTCTGCATGAATTTTTTGGGTTAAGACATAAATTTTAATTTTTATGAGCAGAATTTCGAATTAATCCCGAGTTTTGTATAACCCTTGCTCAAAAATGATTTCTGAGAGTATTTTTCAACCTAATCTCTCTCCGAATTCAACAAGATTTCATCGTTGAAAGTTCGTTTTTAGACTCTTGGTGCATATAATATAATTGACCCAGGACACAAAAAACGGTTCAGAAATAGAAAATGTATTACCACTTTTCCAAACATGTTAGCTTAAGTGTTTTTTAATGGCAAAAACCCCACCTAAGAAAAAAGTTTATGCAGAAAAATTTTAAATTATTTACTCACATCTATATTAAGGGGAGGAGTGCCGTTCTTCCAGGAACTGGTACGATCTCGAATGCTTGGCATTTTGCTGCTGCAGCCTGGTTCAGAGTTTTTGTAATGTCTCACAATTTAGTAAATACGTTGTTCAAAGTATGAACTCCAGGTCACGAATGATGGAAAAGTTTGGGCAGTTTGAAGGGTATTTCAGCATGCATGTGCAATATGTATATTTATAAATACGTTAGGAACGAAAAAAACCCTTTTCTAATTCCACTGGAATTATTCCAGTCATGCACTTCAACTTGTTTGGACAAAAATATGTGAGAATGTATGGTAAAAGTTAACCCTTCACTGCAAATGTACATACATATACATGCAAAATATAGTCTTCCTGGAAATGAGCTACATAAAAATCGCTCTGGTAACCATAATCACCAACTTGTTTCTGGAAAAGTGAGAAAGCTAATATTAGAGGTGGCCCTTTTCACTAAAAAAAGAATGTATCGCATGACTCATATGGGCACACTACTCATGAAGGATTGATAAGGACGTAAGGATTTAAAACTAAATGTTAAATTCTTGGAAATTTGTATTTATGACTATTCGAATTTCGGACTGCATAAAAAATATAGCAGAATAATTGATGATTAGAGAGATAAGACAAGCTCATCCGGAAAAAATGTATATTGTAGTCCTCAAAGTCATGAATAAAAAGTGTAATTGCTTCAATTTATGTACCAATATTTTCTCATTTTTGTTGTAAAATGATCACAACGAATTATATCTTCAGATTTGTTAGGACTTTTTTAACTTTAGGAAGTTTCTGTAATTTAAGACGCTAATCTTAAAGGGCAGAAGGTCACCGCAACCCGCATAAATGTGTGGTATCACTGAAAAGCTGACCGCAAGTGAACATACATATGTACATAACATATTTACATATATGGTAACATAAATACAAAACATCTCAAAAGTCCAATTTACACTTGAAATTCAGTCGTAATTATGTAATTATCTACGATTAATTTGTAATTAAATACTTGGGATGGGGTAAGATTATTAATTAAGAAGCTTAAAAACATCAGAATGCAGAGACAATGCAAATTTACGACGTTCTCCTTTTAATAAATAAATGTCAAGGTTAAAGCTTATAAATACGTAAATATAATTGATGTAAAAGTTATTTGTAAAAGTCTATTGTAAAAGCTGGTTTGAATTTGATCGTATAAAGAACTACACGGCTAATTAGCTTATATGTATGTAGCTTGTGTCCACCGAACTACACAAAGTTGTAGAAAATTTGTCAATTACAATTTTTACATATGCACTTATTTATTATTAATACATTTTTACTTAAAGTCATCTAATGCTATTTAATTACAATTGACCTTTCCATTATTTACAACGTTATTTCAGGACCGATCTATCACCATTATGGACTCCAAAGTATCGTGATGCGTGCTTTGAGGCATCAATAAAGCGCGTGACCAATTACACCGGCATTTGACGATAACCTCTTCATTTTATTCGTAATTATTACTTATCACGAACATTACAACTGGATCAAAATCGACAAAATCCTTAATGCGCGGTCCATGCATATACATAAATAAATAACAAAACTATGAATTTATTTAGGTCTCTAATTTAGGTCAATAAAGCACAATTCAACATACGTACCCAGTCTAGGAATTTATGTATGTCTGGCCAAATTTGTTTATTTGTAGGAATAAAATAATTTAAAAATTAAGGGTAATCAAAAAATACTGGGACACTAATACATCATATTTGTAATCCATTAATGTTATAGTTATAGATAAGGCGCCGTCCATAAATTACGTAACGCTTGCTAGCATGGGCAAGATAGGATTTTTTCCCTATCCTGCTCATGTCAGCCAGCGTTACGTAATTTATGGACGGCGCCTAATACATAAACAGTAAAATTATAGTTAACTGTATATTTACCTTAAAACTCCAATGTCTACTGCCATACCTGTGCAGCTTCACTCATTTAAGGCGAATTGAAGCCTCACTCACGATGAGGGAGTGAAAAAAAGTGAAGGCGAGTGAAGGATGTGAAATGCGAGATGATGAGAATGAAATGTGAAGGGAGTGGGAACGAAGTGTGAAGAGAGTGAAGGTTGAGGGAGCGAACACAGGAGAATTCACTGAGCTCAAAATTCTCACTTCTCACCAGAAACTTTCAGTTTTGCGCTGGTTGGTGAATTGATTAATTCACGAAGTAGTGGGAGCCGACCCGATCAACAAAAGCTATCACTTTTACGCAAAAGTCATACAGTTAAATTGCAGCAACTGATGGCCGGCAAAAATCCGTGAAAAGATACTAGATATTTAACGTAAAATAAACTGTCAATATTGCATAGAATTGACAGTCATATTCATGCAATTTAGCCTCAAGAATATTGCGTAGAAATAACCGTCAAATTAATGCAATTTAGAGCGTAGAATATTGCGCAAAAGAAACGAATAATTTTATGCAAAACTTGCAGTTAAACTCCATGCAATTACTGCAGTCAAATAACACGAATTATTAATTTTTATCAAAATCATTTATTTCATAACAAAAATTATATTGTTACATTATACAAGGGAATGCAAATGTTTTCATCTATTTTATCCGACGGGAGTAACCAACATTTCTTATCAATATCATTAATACCTATTATGTTTACGCTATTTGATAATTTGCTAACTTTAATTATTCCTAAAATTTTACTTTCACACGGACAAGTGAACAAGTTGTCCGAGTGTTTGAATTTTCTACAATTTATATGTTTTTTATCTTTACTTATACTACTTATAACAACTACTTTCCCATCCTTTAATATAAAACAATGATCCTTTCCGTTCGATTTTATAATACAGTGTCTATTTAAATTCACAGGGGACTGGTACTTATGATTTTCTCTCTCAGCAGTGCGATTCACAGTTTGCTCAAAAGGTTTATAGTGAGCTCGTAGCGAGCGCTTTATTACTTGCATATTATTTTCGAAATCGAAAGCACTAAAAGAATCTAACGGGCCATGCTTTAAAGCGTCATCACTAATATGTATAAGAGAATGCATATTATATGATAAGAACTCTTCTTCATATAAATTGGGAACATTTTTAACAAACTTCAATAAAAGCTGTCGTGCATAATCGTTCCAATTATTTGCTTGCGCCTTGGTAGTTATAAGAATCGTGACTGCTACGCAAAGATTTAAAAAATGTGTATACTTTTTCGGCGACAATAATCCTTTTAAAGCGACGGGTCCTGTATAAAGAAGAAAAGTTCTAAACTCTGTCTTTCCACATATCTAACTCTTTTACTGACCTCGGCTTACGACAAAATTCTTTAGGGCAACTATGCGAAAATAATACTAATTTACTTGATAAAGTTGAAATATCACGAGAAGATAATTTAAATGGCAATGTACCTTTTACCCAACTTCTTAATAGTTTTCTAACCACACCTAAGCAAATGAGGTGCATGTAGTCAAGAGGAACCGAAGAAATCATCAAAATTTTAAGCTCCGTAAACGGGGAAATGCCTACATGGTGGTGTTTATCTTTTTGAACATAAAAATCTTGATCTGTCCTAAGTGGACTATCGAATGTTCTGAAAATTACACGTCCCTTCCAGAAACCTGGATCTATACATTTCTCGCATCCATTGTATGCATTATGACTTTTACATTGCTTTAAAAAACTCCTGGCTGGCGCATCAGCTATTATTTTTGAAACCTTACAAAATATTTTCAAATTATTGTAACTAATCCCAACTCGCAAACTTTTTAACTCTGCTATCAAATCCATCAAGTATTCGTCAATAGTTTCTGGTTTTGTCTTGCCATAAAATAAACCCACGACAAATACCCCGTACGTACTTTCTTCACACTTTGCTTGAATTGGCCAAAACTGGTTACTGTTACTCTTAGAAATGGGCAATCCATCAAAACTAAATATAAGGTTTAATTTAATTTCGCTACCAGAAGCAAGAATACAATTGGAATCTATTTGCCGTTTTATATTTTGAATAACATCAAAGTGTGCATATTGACCCTGACCGATAGTTTTCATAGAGTATTTAATTGAGTTTTTAAGCAATGTCCTACTATCCAATGGAAGAAATCTAAATTCTTGATAAAAGTTAAATATGCGTAGAAGATCGTTTAAAGCTACTCCCGTTATGTTATGCCGAAGCGACCAGTCCCTCAAGTCCCGTGTTAAATCTAAAATATTCCTATTATTTTCTACTACACCATTGTCGCTTAGTGAATCGGAAACTAATGGCTCGTCACTATTATGGATAACATTACTGCTTCTATCATTATTGCTAATATTACTACCTGAATCGCTATCCTCAACGACAGAATCACATATATCTAAATTTACAAGATTATTACTAATAGCAGGTATGTTTTTTGCACGAGTGAGATTCTCTCTAACCCGTTTTGCAATTATTCGCCTAATGTTTCTCGGTGATTTTCCATCTCGATCCATGATTATGATGCAATTCCCGAGGGAGCGTCGTCGTTGCACCTACCTTTTGAAGAACGAAACCAATTCATTGCTGCAGTTTGAATTATATCATCAGTGGGAATACGGCCGCTGGGATTTTTGGGATCGGGAACGGACTCAACTGTAAAGACGTTTCGCACGGTTTCTGAAATTTGCAATCCAATTAAACATTAAATAGAGACCAACAATTAGAAAATTTTCTTCATTTTAGAATATATTTTAGCACCTTTTACGACTTCCAATAGTTTTAGGTTTTTCATCGATGTCTTGGTTCCTTTACCCGTAAAATTAATTCGCCTGCCAAATTCATTCGTAAATAATTTTTTCTAGTGCTCGCCTCGATCTGTGTCGCAGTTGAAAATGCCAAATATTCAACCTAGTATCAAACATAAGAAAAAACATTAAAGTTTAATTATGCATGTAAAATATCTCGATTAAATCGTACCAGTAATTCGCGATTTGAATCCACCTCGAGCCAAGATTCAAACTCCGCCAGTGCTACCTCGTTGTCGAGGGGTAATTTTGGAATGGCACTGAAATTGGGAGCCTTCCTACCATCCGGCCTTTGTTTCACATTAATCAGTAAAGCCTTAATGTCTTTAATGTCTTCAGCCTGCTTTTCCAACAAAGTTAGCACACTTTGCGTTGTCCCTGCAACGTGATTACAAAGCGTTAACATAATACATCAATTTTAATAAAATTATTTTGCTTGTACTAACTTGAAATCAACAGCCGTAAATCATTTAACTCCTGCGAATTTACAACAACAAAAGAGGTGTCTCCAGTTTCAACTTGATTTCCTACTTGTAGATTGCTTTGCTCTTCAGTTTCGGGAATTATTTCAGGAATGCTCAATGGTTGGTCTAAAAAGCATCACCATAATGATTAGTATAAAATATTTGTGGCAGTATTATAAGCCTACCCAGCTCCAAATTATCCAGAAGTGAGCCAGACGGAGGACTGTTTTTGTTCGCGTCGCTATCCTCCTCATCGGATGAAGACGTTACATCCCTTCGTGTGCTGCTGGGCTGAATATCGGGAATTATCTTCTTGCTCCTTAATCTGCTTTCTGGTTCTGTTTCACTTTCCAAGTTGGAAGTGTCCTCGGCTACTTGAAGTTTTTTTGTCGCAACTTCATAATCATCTAAAATAATGATATTTGTTAGTAAATGTAAAATAATTGGAATGACTTCTCATAATTTGAATTAAATAGCTATTTACCGTAATTCCCAATAATCCTAGCGTAGCTAACTCTTCCCCACTTGACATCAGGAATAGCAGTGCCCTTTTTTATCAAATTTCTAATACTTGGCCCAGAGTTTGGTGGCCAGAGACAAACTTTCTCTGCGGGGATAACCCAGTGACTTGGAACAAGCTCCACAGGCACTGAATTGTATTTATCAGGGGGGAATTCAATTATGTAATATTTTTTGGCGACATTGAGACAACAGATAAATTAACAGGGAATTAAATTAACAGGGAATTTACGAGACTGCGAGGGTGGGAGAGAAAAGGAAATACCACGCTTCTCTTAGATTCAAACTCTCGCGCGTTGCCTGTCTCTTCGCACCCACCATTCATTGCGTATAAATTGCATGATTTTAACGCCTCATGTAATGTGGGTATTGACGAGATATTGGTGCGGTATTTTTACGCAATATCTCAGCACGTTTGGGTGCAATAATTTTTCAACCATAGGTTACAGTTTTTTAATGCAAATTTAGCGTGTCTCACGGTGCACACCAAACTTAGCACAAAATTTATGCAATAATCACGCCTTTTTTTGTTTGTTAAAAATTTTCACCATGGATGCGTTACTTTGACGCAAAAGTAATAATTTTTGTTGATCGGGGAGGACTTCCTTCACGCTGTAACTTTTTCAATAGTAAAAATTACACAAGGAAACTCTAAACAAAAAATTTGTACTGCAGTTAGCCAGTGGAAAGCGAAACATATTGTAAATACAAGTTAAATATGAATTAATTCTGTAATCTTAAAATTCAGCAATATTTATGAAGCATGCTTGAAACATTATTTTTAGTGAAGAATGGAGTCCGGTGAAAATCTGGCCGACGAGGATGGGACTGTCCCGACACCAAAGGAGACAAAAGCAGCAAAATTTAAAAAACAATCCAAATCTAAGAAGATAAACGGTATTGAGGAAGGTGAAACCTCACCCGAGCTAAGAAAACGGCCCGGATTTGAAAATTGTATCAATTACAAAGTGTTGTTCGAAAAACAGTACGAGTATGAAGGCCATCTTATGGGTTCGGAAAGCTTTTATGCAAGATGTAAGGCGTGCGCTGGTCAGGAAAAAAGATTTAGCTTCAATACCAACTCTTTCAAAAATAACGGGAATCGCCATTATGTGGTAAAACATCAAATATTTCGACTTTACTGATGTTGGGTCGGAACTGCTAAATTGGTTGATGAACGTAATTGTACTTTTAGAATTGTCACAATGACTTCAATCTTGAGCAGAAATCAACTATTCAGAGCCATAGTTTATCAGAATTTTTTAGCATCCCCAGTTACAGCGATGCTGATCCTTTGCAGAAAAAATTTGTGGCAAATTTGCAGGACTTGGTTTCAGTAGATGGGCTCCCCTTGTCATTCGTATCAGGGCTGGGATTCCGAAATTTAATTCAAGAAATAAATCCACGACTAAATATACCTTCACGATGGACAATTTCTAGGAACCTTCAACAGACAGTAGCAAAACTTGTGAGTAAAATTCATGATTTCACGATTCTTGAAATTTTATTTTTATATTTAAATCCTGCATTTTATGTAAGGTAATCCCTGCTCTAATCTTGGAAATTAAGACGGTCGAAAACTACAATTTGCATCTCTCCACGGACATTTGGACAAGTAGGCGAGGAGATGGAATCATGGGATTAAAGGCACAATATATAAAAGAAAGTGAGGGATGATGGGAAATTGTCACTGCAACTTTAGCAGTTCGCCAATTCAACAGTCGACATACTGCAGAGAATATAAAACTGAAATTGATGGAGTGTTTGTCACACCTAGACATCAGTACAGAAAAGGTAACAATTTTCAATATTTATGGAATTAAGGAGTGAATATAAAGCGTGCTGATTTAACTCATCCCGATTTCACATTTCAATATTTGAACTTGTGTCCAAACAATGGTAACAACTTTGAGGTCGATTTTTTATGAGATGAACAGTACATATTTTATGAGATGAATAATATACTGCTAATTAATCTTTCGGAAATTTATACTAATCATGTCCTTAATACTTCCATTTCGGCTATGTCAATGTTTTCGTAAATTTGCATAAGGTCTCCAAAAAACATCGGCACGAATTAAACCAACACCCATTAATAACAAGAAATTTTTATTTCAGATTGGATATCTAGTAACTGACGGCGCTCGCAATATGGTATCCGCATTTCGGGACTGGTTCGATGAAGATGAACGTTTTACTGGTGATGATGAAAATGAAGGCAATTTGCAAATTCCGGATCAACCACCATTGCATGACGAGGATATTATGGAAACGGACGACCGCTACGATATTGAACTAGATGGCGATGACGACGAACAACTACTGGAGGTTCCATTGGGGCTAGTGTTTCGAATTTCTTGTTACGCTCATACCCTTCAACTTCTTGCTAAGGATGCGATAGGTCGGAATCCTAAAAGTCAAAGGGTACTCAAAGACGTTCATGGAATTTTGAATTTTTTTAAAAAGTCCAATTACTGGCGGGCTCGACTAAGTAATGTAATGGGGAAGGAATTGATTAAGCCGGCACCGACAAGATGGAACTCAAATTTTTATGTTCTTAAAAGATTGACCGAGGTACTTTATTATATATTTTATATTCTGGATTGGCTGCATTACTCAAGAATGATAAATAACTCAAATCCATATTAACAGGAGTCTGTCTATGAAACGGTGTCTAATTTGATTCTGGAAGCCTGGATATCTCCGAGGAGACCAAAACATGTTCCAGAAATTCCAACAATGCAAAATATGGAAATTTTGGTTGAGCTACGCAATCTTTTATCCCCTATTACAGAAGCCACAAACTCTCTACAAGCCGACGGAATTACTTCTAGCCTAATTTATTATCAAATAGTGCCAACATTTGATGGTATGTAAATATTTTACAAATTGAAGTATGGGAACATCCATATATTATGTCATTAGGAAAGCACCGATTTTTAACATTTACCTATCTCTTCGCTTCCCTTCTTATGATAACGCGAGCAAGAGACGAAACAACATTACCCGCCCTCCTTTTTGATGACATAACATGGATGTTCCCTATATATTTCCTTTATAACTAATTTATTGTCCGCTTTTTTGAAGAGATCGCAAAACTCAAAACGAAACATTTTACACCACTAAAATCCCAGCTACTTCAAGAAATAATTCGTCGATTTGGCGAGAAAATCACGCTGGACAATCACATCATAATTAGTGCGATACTTGATCCCAGACAAAAGTTGGACGTATTTCGAAGTAATGTTTCATATTTTTTGATAAACTTATTCATGGACACTTTCTATGCTTATTTTTAATAAATATAGTGAATATTAGCTGCAATGGAGTTACAAAATTGGAAACACCCGCTGCAGAAAAAGCTACAGACTTTCTTAGGATGTTGGTTTATCCAAATGGGCCACCTAAAAGTACTCCCGTAACCACAACCCCGAATCTGAATGACCCATTCTCAAAATTGGCAGCCATTCCATCAGAACCAGGATTCACCTCGGACGAAGTGGACCGCTATCTGGCTCTTCCGCGGATACCCTCAACATCTGACCCGCTTGAATTCTGGGCGCAAAATCCAACGTATTTTCCTAAACTTAGCAAACTTGCAAAACAATTTTTAGGAATTCCGGCATCGACAGGTGGCGCGGAAAGATTGTTTTCATCGACCGGGTCTTTGGGGAGAGCTCGATGTTCAAGTCTGCTTCCGGTAACTTTAGAAAACATGGTCTTGCACAAAGAACATCGCGTTCCAACTTTAATGAAGAAAGTTAACGACCGGAAAAAATCCAGGAAGAGAAAAATTGTCACAGAAAGCAGCCCAGGCACAAACATGTGGAACGAGAAAGAGGACGAAAGTGTTGTAAAATGGTATGGTTTCCTCGTATATTTGATTAAAGATTATATATTATCTTAACCGTAATTACCGGTGTTATTCTTTATATATTTCAATATGATACGAGGCACAAATAAATAAATTTTGTTGATTGTTATTATCTCAACAGAGAAACAAAATATATATTCGTCAAATTTGTAAGCTGCTCTTCATATTGTAAACACGGGTGAAGTTTGTGAATTGTATTTGGAATTTTTATGTACGTGTGTTTGCATATAAAAATGCGGAGTGAAAAATGTGTCACTTTTCTGTCGCATAAATGAGTTTGTAAGTACACGGAGGCAAATTGAGATGTCCAAATAAGAGCATTTATTCCCTTCTCACCCAAAGCCCCAAGACAGAATAATCTTTTCTTTTCTTTTTTGACTCACATACATACATACATCCAGACATGCATACATTTAACCTTATTTCTAATGCAACGTTGTTGCTCTCCATCCGGTGTGGGAAAGGGTCATCGGTCAAGTCGTAAAACTTGAGCCCAAATTCTCTCCCGAATTTGACGCCTTGGACAAAGGTTGACAAAGCTGCATGAATGCATCTTTGTCCATAGTCGAGCTTGCTCACAATATATTATATAAGTTTCACATGAATTTCCCAATTAATTTTTGATTGAAAGTATTTCGATTCGGCATTAAGAGGTACTTTTGGACTAGTTAAAAAATATTACATGAAGTTACTTAATACATAAATAACGATAAGCACGGTATGAAGTTCAAAATTATATAAGTGTTACAATCGAGTCATGTGTGACTCGCACGATGCAAGAAAAATGCATTAGTGAAGGTTATGAAAGAAAGAATGAGTGATGGGAGTGAGTGGAGTGATGAGAGTGAGTGAAGGGATTGAAGGAGATTTCTCTCAAAATTTTGATGAGTGAAGCGCCTTGAAGCCTTCCTTCTCTGAGTGAGGGGAATGAAGGATGGTTTGCCTAGAGGTTAGAAAGAATGAAGCTGAGTGAAGTGAAAATCATTTGCACAGGTATGTCTACTGCATGTTAAGAATATAAAATAATGTCAAAGTTACATTTAAATGAAAAACAACTAGGTTAAATGCATCGTAAAATGCCAAGTCAATTATTTATTCATCATTTGGTTGCATTAAAATTTTAAAAAATCGTGCAAGGTGCATAAATGGTGATAATTATTATAATTGCTTAGCTATTCTAAATTTGTTTGTTCGTATATATTTAGTTGTTTTGCGACTCAATTAAATATATCTAAATATGTACATATTTAAATACGAGTCAGGAAGATCCACTGCGAAGGGGACCTTCATTCCTCCGCCGAGGAGGGTGAAACTCTATAAATAATGGTCCAAAATGTTTACTTGAATAAGTGCATACCCCTAAAGTTGAAACATCTGGTGACTCATCGTTCTTCTGCATTTTTTCTGTAGAATATCCTACATATTTAATAAACTTTATAATATATTTACAGAAATCTGTTGTAGTCACACAGCTAATGATTTCTCGGGGTTAAAGTTGCCACCGCTTGGTATTAAAGTTATAAAAATTGGCTACTAATATGATAAAACTTTAATACCGAGATATGTATTACTGCACGATATTACTTATCAGTACGAATCAGTACTACTTTGGTAAAGTTACATATGTATGAACACAAACCTTGGTATTTTTAAATATTGGGTTTCTAAGAGTGCATCTGCGGCCGTTATAACACCCTGAAGCTTGAAATAAGGTGGCCCGATCAACAGGCCCATGATTTTTTTCTCGCTTTATCCACCAAAATAGGGTAGCATCGCGATGCTCGAAAAACTTCACCGTGACCACTTGCGTGCCACGATCCACTCCACGCAACGAAGTTCCCTCTATTTAGCGTACGTTTTTAAATGGAATGAAAAAACGGAGAGAGCAATACCACTAAAATCAGGGCGGCATTATCGTCTATTTCAACTAATGATGGGGTTAACCACGTTTCTCATCTTGCCCCTAATGTTGGTCGGGTGTTATGTCGTGTATGCTTCGAAACAAGTGATGCAGCACCCAATCACAGTATCGCTGACGTACTTTTCAACCGGATTCTTAGCCATGGTGATACCCTTCGCGGCAGTTCTTGTCAGACGACCAGGTCCCGCCAAGTTTGTAACGTGTTACGAAGCAATGTTAAACCTGGAGAAGTATTTGATGGGTAATTAAAACTTCTTAAATTTTGTCCTCTACGATTTGAAATTTAAATTTCCCGAAAATATTTTGTCGTCAAATTTCTATGTCGTATAATTAAAACCCGTGATTTTTTAGCATTTCGAATTAGCGCTAAAAACATTGCAATCTCTATAATAAAATGCGGGATTTTGGTCTGAAGCTTTGAAATATTTTCCAGATTAAAATTCAATTTTTTCCTTAGAAAAATTTACGCTAATTAATTTTATCTATTATCTCATCAATATTTTTACAGAACTTATCCCTGACCCATCTGCCCCCAGGGGGACCACTCTCGACACTCACAACACCCGGGCAACCGTTGGTCTCACCGTGTTCCACAACCTGATCGACTACATCGCCCCTGTAATGATTTCTGTCGCCACGTTCTCCTCCGCAAACCCACTCTATGCCACGATCCGCTCAATCTTCAACTTTGAAACGTTCGGAATCCTTCCCACCCTCACCGTCCGGATCATCACGGGATCAATCAGCCTCTACTGGGCGATGGTGATGCTGTCCACGTTGGCAATTTCCGTCCTCATCATCGGCTACGCCATCGTCGCCCTTTGTAGCTGGATGTTCTTTCTACTCCCCGTCCTACACGGGGGGTCCATCCATCTCCGCGGGAATCTCAAATTCCCCGCGTCCATCCAAATGTACCAAGCTCTCCGCGTCATGGGGATCATTGAGAGCGACTTTTTTCGCGAAATGGTGACCCCGTGTGCCCACCATTTCATCACGGTGACCTTGTCGACCTTCGCGATCTACTATGTCATTCACGAATTGATTACTGGGATCCGAGATGGGTCGCTGTTCTTACTGGCGGCCTGCGCCATAATATTCTGCGCAGCTTTTATGCTCGAATTCAACTCGGTATGTCTTGTAGCAAGGACGGGAATGTTGTCGAAGACGTATGTTCAAAGGATGCATTGGGGCAATGAGAGAAATAAGTATAGGGTGAAGCTGCTAAGGTCATTGTTGCCGTGTTTTATCAATCTGGAATTTATGAGCTCGGTGGGGACAATTAGAAATGGGGTGGAAATGGGGTACTTTCTCAATTATTTGGAGAGGGTGTCGAATAACGTGGTTTCCTTGTTGTTGGGGATGTAAATAATGAGTCTTGTAACTAACCCATGGGGTGGGTTACTTACAACTTGGAACTCGATATACTAAAAAATGATGAAAGAAAAGCCTTTCATAGTTGAGTATTCCATAAGAATGATTAAAATTTACGTTTTAATGAGGGCATTCATTATTTCTTGGTAACCTTCGTATTCTAAAATTTGTTCATTTTCATGACTCACCCGCTTTGTACCCTATATTTTACATAAAATCCTTACCCATCTTATAAACATGCAGTGACAACATGTGTATTAATCGAACATTATTTCAATAATACTACACATTTCGTCAGATAAAACTAGCTAAAATTTGAACACAAGCACCCACAAAAGTGACTAAATTTCTTAATGAGTTGATCTCTTCTCACTAAAACTCATCTGATCTCATCACAGCCCGTCTCATCCCATCTTACAACATTAAATCTGTCTCAGGTGAGTTCTCATCTCATTTAGGGACCATCTCATCTCATCTCAAACTCAACATGAGATGATCTCCGGCCACTCAAATGGCATGTATTTATTACATTTATGTACATGCACTCGTCATCTCAAAGCGCCCCGGCTTGTGTCACGCGGACGAGAACTCGTCAACAGCCAGCAGCCAGCAGGGAAATATTTTTAGTCAGACCGATAAATTCGTAATTTTACTTCGCGTTGCAATTTTTATTCGCAAATCTGTGAGTTTGATTTTATTCAAAGAAAGCTAAAGATTAGTAAAGCTAATTAGTAAAGCTAAAGACAGGTGAATTTCGAAATCGACTTTATAATAATTAACGTACGTATTTTGTATTGCAAGTTTGCTACTGCAGTTTTTATTTAATGAAACTTGAAACTAATAAATGTACAGCTGATAATTACATTTTGTTTGGAATTTTAGAAATAGAATTAACAATATGAAATTGCGGTCATCATGTTCGACAAGAGAGGAAACTAGTTTTCCAAATTTGGGTTAGTCGTCCATTTTTTATTTACCTACGTCGATTTATTTGAATTTAAAAACTATTTTTTAAATTAAGTTGAAATATTAATTTTCCATTTCATCTGCTTAGTTCCAGCCACGACAGCTTTTGCCGACGAAAACAGCCCCATGTCAAAAGCTCTGAGGAATCCATTGGTCAGTCATCAAAATTCTTAAAACTTGAACTTGCTTTGGTTAAATAATCCAAATTCTAAATTTCCACCAGATTCTCGACGTTGTTTTCGCCAAACTTACAACGTCCGAGCTGAAAATGGCTCGTCTCGTGTGTCGCGAGTGGGGCGACGCCGGTGCTGGTTTGTTAGGAAAGCGGGCCTTGCTCGACGTCAACAAACTTTTCCGCTGCGACGGGCCGAGATTGTATCAGGCGACCCCTGTCCACGACCAACTAACCCGAGGCCTCCGCATCCTGGACAAATTCGACCCCTCCGTCCCCACGAAGCGGACTGATGACGTTATCGCCAAGGTTTTTACTGAGCTCAACGTATCTCAAGTCACGAGAGAAATTGAATTTCACGTCAGTCGGAAAAAATTTGTGGCCGCATTTCTCCATGGTTTGAGGACCCTGAAGTCCACGAAGATCCAACAGATTTCCATATTCGTCACTTCGAGAAACGCAAACGTGGACAAAGGTCGAAGTCAAGTGCTTCAAAAACTACCCGTTCAACGAAACTTGACTTCGATTAAGTTTCAAATTCCTCTACGCATGCTGTACGGGACATCAGGAATTCACGCTTTTCAACCCCTGCTCCAAACATTGATCGATTCTGCCCCCACTTTGACCTCGTTGGACGTCACGGCCTCGTTCTGTCCGAGTTTGAAGGGGTGTACAAATCTCCAAATTTTGAAGTTTTTATTGGTAAATTGTCACCACGTGGCCTGTCCTGACTTCAACTTGGCAACTGTGACATCGATGTTGCATCCCATGAAGGATTCGTTGATCAAGTTGGATTTTGGCTACGCCGATGCTCATGAAAATTATATTTACTATCCAGTAACTACACAAGTAACCATGCGATTTGATTAATCAGATTAATTTAATCTATTTGTACAATTTAGTTCATACACAAGGTCTCTGCACTTGGGGGGTTGCTTTGGAGATGAATTCGAAGCTACAACAGGTTGTGTCAGTTTATTCGATTAAAAAAAAATTAAATCCGGAGTTGGAGAATTCGCAAAATTTACTCTCTATATTTTTACATTGTCAAGAGTTACGAATTAAAAACAGAGGGTAAATTTTGCGAATTCTCCAACTCCGGATTTTTAAATTTTAAAAATCGAATAAACTGACACAACCTGTTGTAGCTTCGAATTCATCTCCAAAGCAACCCCCCAAGTGCAGAGACCTTGGTTCATACATACAGGGTGGTTCAAATGTCAGGTTACAATGGAAAATTATTTAATGAGAAAAATTCGCAAATCTCCATTAGTTACCGAAATTTTGTCTCTGACATTCAATATTTTAAGAATTTTGTCATCAGTGTTCCACAAGTTTTGATAAAAATTAATAAAAATCTCAATCCCAAATCCGTAACTAATGGAAATTTACGAATTTTTCCAATTGGAAAATTTTCCATTGTAACCTGACATTTAAACCACCCTGTATTTAACAATTTGCCCACAAATCTCGCAGGGTCGGAATCTTGATGTTCCCGTCGTGACCAATCTTACTTCGCTCATCATCAATGCGCCATCTAGGTACTTAATTTTTGACTTTTTTGATGAGGAGCACCTCCCAAAGCTGAAAACCCTCTGCTTCAAAAACCACTACCTCGGGCGGACCTCGTTATCAACTCATCTGAACCTTTGGAAGCGCCACCGCGGAGTTCAATCCTTCGCGCTTAAGACACGCAGTTATTGCCAGACTGAGGATAAATTTGGGGAACAGATTGTCAAATTGTTCCCGTCAGTCAAGAAGCTGGAGTTGAAGCTGAACTCGTGTCACAATTGTATCAAGAAATTAATGGAATCGTTCCAACTCTGGGATCTTGACGAGATCAAGCTTGTCCTGGAGGGTGAGAACTTTGCCGCCGGGGTGGTTGAAGTCCTAAGAAGTTTTGTGATTTTCAAGGGTATTGAAAAATATTGGCAAAATTTAGCTATGTGTAATTCTAAATTAGAATTTCTAATTCTTTGTTTTTAGGCATTAAAGCGGTCCACTTCGAGGACGCTATTATCAACCAGGTCGACTTTTATAACAACATTGACGATATAATTTTGTACAGTAGAGGATTTAAGAACGTGGAAATTTCGGGAGTTGTGGTAATTTAGGAAAACAATTTTCATGAGGTTACGTATTTTGTCTATATCCGGTTTTATGATAAATTCAGGTCCAGGAAATGGTGGACGTCTTTCGACCCATTTTTGAAGCTAGTGGCGCACCCGTTAATTTTAAGGGGGGAGTGTTCGTAATTATTCGTAATTAAATTTGGCACATGTAGTTAAGGTGATTCTGTGTGATTAGTAATTGTTTTGTTTTTGAGTATGATACTTTTAATGTTTTCCACTTTAGATAATTTGATTCATACATTTTACTCGTTTTTGTGTATTTTATTCATTATTTCCTAAAACTCGAATTGACTAATAATAATTAATTTGTCTTCTCCACAAATGATTTTGTAATAAAGTAATAATAACACAAAGTTTAGCATGAGTAAATGTGTTTCATATTGCATGCGCAACGTATTTATGTGGGAATTGTCCCTCTTTTAAGAGTAATTGAAAATCAAGATATTAAACCAATTAAAAGAGTGATATTGGTCGCATGTATGTAAATGATTCACAAAATTACGGCTGATAACATTAACACAATTAAATTAATTTGCAAACCACTATTTTACTCGCATGCTTATAATACTCAAACTGAAAGCAACCCGGCTGATTTAAACTTCGCCACCAGAAATTGTTATAAGCAAGTAAATTATTCGTCAGTCAGACTGACTCAGTCTCCAATCATCAATTAATTCGCAAATTACTTCACCTTCCAATTCCTCTTTACAAATCTGTAAGTTTGTTTCGATTCAAAGATTACTAAAGGTGGGTGAGTTTCGAAATTTGCTTTATAATAATTGACGTACATCTTTTATCTTAAAGTTTTCGACTAGTTTTTATTTAAACTACCAAATACACAGCAAGTAAAATATTTCGTTCGTATTTTGGAATTTTAGACATTAAAATTACCAGGATGAAGTTGCGGTCATCATCTTCGACCAGTTTTCCAAATTTGGGTTAGTTTTACGTTTTTTATTTGAATTTAAAAACGATTTTTTAAAAAATTACATTGAAATATTAATTTTTCATTTCATCTCCTTAGTCCCAGGAACGACAGCTTTTGCCGATAATAACAGCGCCATGTGGAAAGCTTTGAGGAACCCATTGGTCGGTCATCAAAATTCCTTTGGTGAGTTAAATAACTGAAATTTTAAATTTCTACCAGGTTGTCGACATCGTATTCGCCAAGCTTAACCTCTTCGAGTTGAAATCGGCTCGTCTCGTGTGTCGCGAGTGGGGCGAGGTCGGCGCCAGTGTGCTAGGAAAACGGACATTCCTCAACGCCAGCCAGCTTTTCCGCAACGACGGGTCAAAATTGTACCAAACGACCCCCGTGGCTCAACATCTGACGCGGCGCCTCGCCATCGAGGATGAATTTAACCCCTCCGTCCCCACCAAAAAGGATGCCAACGCCGTCGTCATCACTAAAGTTCTCTCCGCTCTCGTGTCCCAATTTACTCGCGAAATCAAATTTGACGTCTACCGGGAGGAAGGGGCGATTGCTTTTGTCAACGGGATGAGGAAGCTCAAGAAGTCCACGACGAATATCCAGCGCATTTCTGTATCCGCCTGGCAGATGCCGGGGGAAGCAGGGTATCCAGCGTATACTAAAAAACTACCCGTTCAAACTAACCTGACCTCCATCGAGTTCAAAGTTTACCGCCTCAGTCGAAAAAGGAGCCTCGGGTTCCACGCATTTCAACCTCTCCTTCAAATCCTGCTGGATTCGGCACCTAATTTGACCTCTTTGGACGTCATCTCGCCTTTCTACCCGAACCTGGAGGGGTGCAAAAAACTCAAAGTTCTCAAATTTATGCCTTACGTTTTTCAAAACTTCGACTTGGCCGCTGAAATCGGGATGTTGGCGCAGGTGAAGGAGTCCCTGATTGAGATGGAGTTAAGATACGTCGGTGATAAAATGATTGAAATGCCACGGGTAAAAATTACAAATCCGTTAAACTTAATATATTTACAATGAAACATTAAGGGTTTTCCACGTCACCTTCATAACTGTAGTAAATGTTGTAAATAGCGAAAATTTGCGACATCTAGAAAAATTCCGTGCTCAGGGCTCACAAATTTTCGTACAAGGTTGAAGGATCTTTTTCATTCGTAGAACAACTCTTGTAAAAATAAACACACGATATTTATTTCATTTCGGACACCAAAGTTACCGATGATAGTTGATAGTAGACAAGGAAAAATTAAGAACAATGTTTATCAAATATTTTGTACGAAGATAGATCTCTCACATCAACCTTTCGGTTATTTTTTTACGAATCCACAGTTACGAAGGTCGTGAAAACCCTCATTATACATCTGTTATTAGTTTGATAAGTACTCTAATTCGCAGCAGAGCCAGAATCTGGACGTTCCCGTGATGTCCAAACTTGTCTCCCTCACCATCTATCCACCAATAATGTACTTATTTCAAGATTTTTTTCACGAGGACCACCTCCCGGCATTGAAAAGTCTAATTCTCACTACCAAATACTTTCGGTCAGCGGGGTTCGAATCCCATCTAAATCTATGGAAGCGACATCGAGGAGTTCAATCTATCAAACTACAACTGGATAGTCTCACGCAGATGGATGCAAACGCACTTGGGCGACAGATTGTCGGACTATTTCCCTCTGTGAAGAAATTTGAGCTAATATCGTATCTCGGTTGGACCAATTCCATCCAGGGGATAAACCAGATGATGACACCGTACCAAAACTGGAACCTGGAAGAGGGTAACGTTTTCGGGGATGGTATAAATGCATCCTCTACATTTTTCGCAGTCCTGGAAAACATGGCAAAGTGGAAAGGTACAGATTAAATTGGGTTCGTCAGTGTTTAATTTCTTGCGTGTTTTTCACATTGTTGCATTGCACCACAACAAGTGCAAGATAGAAGAAATACTAGATATTTATGTACATGGATTGTCAGCTAGATGGCGTCCATTTCTTGCATTTCTTATGAAATTGCTCCTGAAGAACAAAAACCATTTGTTGCTTAAATTTTTGGCAGGTGGTTCTTGTAACGGGAAACGTGAAGGGTATTTATTATTTCTTCGTATCCTTAGTATTCTAGTATCTTAAAATAACTTATGACGCTTAATACGAGATTTTGTAAGATTTTGTCATCGAAACTCATGTTACTAGGCTTGCTTTTTCTCCGTAAACTATTTTACGATACTAAGGACGCAATAAAATGACGAATACCCTCATTGATGACGATATATATTTATGCAAGGCCTTAATTATGCATTTATTTCAGGAGTTAAACGTGTCCACTTCAAGTACCAGAGGTCCACGAGGGATGCCTTCTTTGCCGCCATTAAGGATCTCAACTTGCAGAGTAGGGGATTTAAAAGTGTGAAAATCAGCGATTACAACCGTATAACAATAACAGTACGTCATTTTTAATTTGAATAGAAATTAGCACGAATTAAAAAAAATGTGATACTAACTTGTTTCGTAAATTCAGGACCCGGAAATTTTGGAAGTATTAACCGATTTTTGAAGACCCAATTCGTGTCACGGGAGGTGTTGTTCGCAATTAAGTTTTAAATTAGCATAAAATGGAAATTAATGTGTAATTTTAGATGGTCAACGCCAAGATAGCCACTTTTCATCATCACAATGTGTAATATATATTTGCTAAATATTAAATAAATTCTGTAATAATAATTTAACATTTTGCTCATATACTTTATATATGTATACATATGTATGTAGCTCTTCTTATAAATATTGAAAAGTGTCATTTGATTGTCATCTTAAAAAATTTAATCAAAGTTACATTTAAGTTATATGTATGTATGTATATGTTGGTGCATGATGTTTTTTGTGGCAGAATCGCAGAATTAACCTTTAGGACTAGTTCTATTTTAGGTCCTAGATAGATATCCAAGTTAATTTTTGAACCACGAGGCAGGAAAATGAAGTTTTATCTCTTTTCGAATAATGTAAAACTCCCGTTCAATACATTTAAATTATTTATTTATCTCACTGGCAATCAAATACAATTTTACAAGTAAATACTTTTTTGAATTCGACTCAAACCGTTCGCATAAGTCGCACGCAAATGTCGTATGCATGTACATAAATATGTATTATGTAGTTACTCACACTCACAATCGACATTCATCAAAGTTGATTTGTGAAAAAAAATACGAGAATTGCATATTTATGAATATGCGAATTGCTCAGTTATTGCATACGTGATAGCATTAAAAATTTAAGTTTTCCTAGTTGCTAATCTGAAATGTTTTTCTAAAACGAATTTAAATGTTATTAAATTTTGGAATAAACAAGTTTATGGTTTAATCTTTATGCGAAATAAGGACATAACCGGGTATGTTATGTTAGATTGGTTTTAAATGTTGGATTTGCGTCTTACTTTTATCCACGTGTAGTCTTGTGCTATTCTGTCCTTGTTATACAGTACCTCCGCCTTATGGCAGCTTATCAAGAGTTGTTGTAATAAATTACGTTAATTATCTAAGTCATATTTTAAACCATCACACAACTACAAATTTGCATACTGAACAGCACTGCTTATATATGTAGGTATGTATACATACTTATTCTGAATATTTACATACCCATGTACATATTTATGTAACTGTCAGTGCGTCCGGTCAGTCATTGAAGGCACAACTTACAGACACGTAAAGATAGTGAAATTTAAAAAGTTTATTCGATTTATTTGACCCGTAAAACAAGGAGCGTAAAATATTTTCGAAATAAACATTAATTTCCCTATTATTAAAAAGTACATTTTCAAAACTACGAAATTTGGAAAATTAACCATGACCGCAATTCACCCCCTCATGTGGCAAGCTTTACAAAACTGTGTCACCATCAGTGGTCACGGGCAATCTAAGCTCGTTATTTGGAACAATACAAAGAAAATACTGCGCTATAACCTGAACCAAAACCGGGTTTCCCAATTTATCGGACAGTTGTTAAGTCTAACCACCATCCTCGCTCCGGATATATCGCTACTAATTTACCAATTATTCGGCACTATCAGCATCCCCCCGTCATTCCTGGTTATCCACATTATTCTCTTATCCTTCTCCACGTTTGGCTACCTTATCGGAATCGTGTCTCAAAATTGCATGAAGGACTACGTGATTGGGTTCAACTCCTCCATTTCCTTGGAGAAAGTACTCCGAGAAAAGTGCGAATTTCGCAAAAAGCTCGCCTCAACCAAAGCGGGGACCCTGCTCGGAATTCTGCTCAACCTCGGCGTCACACTATACGCATCCGGCGCCTATTTCATCACAATTTTCGGAATCTTTTCAGAATTCGATCCATTATTTCTCGTCCAGAAATATATTTTACACAGTGTACATTTTCCCCTATACTTAAGAGCGATCGTTCTCCTACCAGCGATTCACATTTGTAACACGCTTTGTTTAATGTTTTGTCTCCTCACTGTTACGGCACACTTATCGATAAGTTCGATAAGTTGTTTAGATAAGTTAGCCCCCTGTCTGGGTTGGGGTAAGGGTGCTGGGGAAAATTACCTTAGGTTGTACACCCGGCTGTCACTCAATTTTACGCTGTGCGCGGGAATTTCAAACTGCTGCTGTCTCCTATTCATGGGGGTGGGATTGTTTTGCGGGGTGGGGGTAAATTTTGTCACGATGAAAATGTACGGCATAACGCCGATCTCGATATATTTGTTATTTCCGGTTTGTGCCGTTTTTATGGGGATGATTGCCGATATAATGACGACCATGATTGTCAAGATTTCGGAGAGTAGTTGCACCCTGGTATGGAAAATGGAGAGATATTTGTCACCCTGTGGGGACAGAGCGTTCGTGCGGAGAAAGTTGAGGGTGGTGAGGAATGTGAAAGTAAATGCGGGGATTGGGCCGTATGTCTTCTTTGGGGTGAATGCTGGCACGAAATTGGCATATTATTATACCGTAGTTAATTTTACGATTACTGCCTTGTTATCCATTCAGATTGAAACAAATGGGGTACAAAATTTGTATTGATGTTCGCTGGTTTAAATATATATTTAAGTATTAAGGTATTAAGTATATAAGTATGCAAATTTTCTCTTACAAATATTTATGATTAAGGGTGTCGGAGTATTTTTAGAATTATTCTTTACACAAATTACTGTTTTAAATACTTCTTTTATGTATAAAATAAATTACGTTACTTAATTTCCCCAAGTTCATCTTGCTTTGCATTGTTCTTTACTGTTAGAAATCTGGTATGGTCACGCAGTTAATATTCTGGATTAAAGTTGATACCGCTTGGTACTAAAATTACACTGGTTTTTAAAAATTTGCCAGCGATATGCGAACTGTAATACAAAGCTATCACAATTCGGTATTACTTATCAATACCACCTGGTTGGAAGGAAATGTTACACATGAAGGAAAATTTTGTACTACTAATATACATGTACATAGCTACAAATTGACAATCTATTTATGTACTTCTGTATATGTACTTATCTGCCAAAACAAATAAATTTTCCGCCTATTAGTCATCATTTATTTTCAAATTGAAGGTATGCATGTGTGACATAATTTCTAAAATATTTAGTTGGCTTGATCGAGGAGAAACGAAGAGTTTCTTTGTTTCCCATTTTCTACTTTGTTGGCACATAAGGCACAAACCCGATTTTATTCATGGCATCGGCAATATGCTGGTTAGCCATGAAATTCTGCCAGACAAATTTAGTCCTATAGTTCTCCGCCATCAGGACCGTAATCCCGACATCAATTCCAATTACGTCTGGGTTGGTCCAGTTCGTTAATGGGTTGAAAGCGTCCACGAAGCCGTATCTTGTCCAACCTTGAGCAGTGTGGTTTTCTCGGATGTTCTTTAAAACAGCAATGGTTTCTGCAGGAAGAAAAGGAACCGATCCAGCAGCCGCGCAAGGGACCTTTTCAATTAATTAATTATTATCCAGCTATTAATGGGCAAACGTTCCTAATTTGTAGGGTTGGCCCGGGTACCGGGTAGTTACCCGGTACCCGGCATACCCGGCCTGTTTTGGGATACCCGTTACCCGGCCGGGTAGACTTTACTACCCGGTCTACCCGGCCGGGTAATTTAAATGTTCAATTTTTTGCAAAACCTTATAAACAAATTATAATCCGATGAATTTCATTTTTGTCCTTTGTGTAAAATAATATATTTTGAAAAAATGCGTACAAACTAGGTCAATTCTTAGGTGGAAATTATTATCCAGATATTAAAATTACTTTGGGCGCACTCACGTCAACCCTTGCATACATATCTCCCAGATTAAGCATGGTAACATAACTGGCGATGTTTTGCGAAATTTGAGACATTTCTCAAAGCCTTCGCTAGAAAACCATTGGTTTTGCAAATTTGTCCAGCAATTAGGCACATTATAATTTGGCAAACTCATCCTCCCGATTATCAGTGAAAAATAGTTACAAAATCCATGAAAACAAGATCAAAATAAGCATCTTTAATAGGTCTGCGATACTTTCAAAGTGATATTTTGCGACTCCCCTCATGAAACAAATTTTTTAAGCTGCACAAGTTTGCTAAATGGGTGGCGATGATTAATAAGACATTGTCGTGAGTACGCTCAGTCTGTACTTTGTGTTTGTTTTTAACTTGCAGCTTTTTAAAACTGGTAAAAGTGTTGCAAATTCTAGAGAAAAGTGGAATAACTCCTTTTATTTTTAATATATAAATATTACCCGGGTACCGGGTACCGGGTAGTTGCACTACCCGGGGCAACCCTAAATTTGTACCGTGTTTATGTAATTCACTTACAATTGATCCATCAATCTGCCCCATAAGTGGAGGACCTCCCCAAGCATCTGCAATTTTTAGATAAGCATAATGGTTTACCCGCTAGTGCAGATAAATGCATATGATAAGCTACGATAAAATATTCATGCCATAGCCGTATGATCTAAGTACTTATTTACCGTATCCGTATGGAGTATCAGATGCTGAAAACAAGATATGAAATTATTAAATAATCTGACACAACTGTTAGTTATGCAATATATTTATCTCACCCGTAACTCCCCAAAAATTTTCAGTGTAGTCATTATACACTTGAGACATTTCGTGAACGAAAAAATCTTTAGTTGCTCTCGTAGCAGTGACGGAATTTTGGAAATAATCAATGGTAAAATTATCTCTCAAGTTTTCAAAATCGATGAAAGCATGGGAATATTGGTGGACAAATAGTGGCGTTGGGAAATGGATATAGTTATGTTCCATGTAGGTGAAGTTGGGCCTTGAAAAGAGGAAGTAATTAAATTAATTGATCCTTTATACAATTGGGATTCCCTCCTAATATTTGTAATTCAGGAGCCTCATTTAAATCATTATCGAAAGCCACCTCCTAATTTCTAAAACTTTCCCTCACATTATCTTCTATTAAAATTTTGATTCGAAAATAATTTTAAGAACCTTCCATTTAATTTTGTTAACTTCTTAATTAATATTTACGTCCTTCCTATTTACAAATTTGTAGGGGCGATTTTTCTTGGATGCGTACATACCTCGAAAACACATTCCAAGAATTTATCGGGATCGGATGAGTTGGTGACCCAATAGCCAGTACTAGCAAGACCAGTAATTCACAATACCTTAAAATTGAGAAAACACATAAGTAGTACGAAAATACAAATATTATTTACATGTTTATGTAAATTAACAAGTTTAATCCATACCGATTCCACGAATCGTCTATAAACCCCCTTTCTGGCGTCCACCCCATGGTAATAAATTCTGTCCCGTTCATCATCCAAACGAAATCTACCGCTTCATAAAGTTCTTTCGAAAGCGATACAATTTCTGGTATGTCCTTAAAGTACTGCCCGACAGTGACCACGCCTCCCATCAACAGGGCAGTGTCTATCGAACTCAGCTCAATCGTTTCCCAACGTACCCCAGTGTACATGTCGATAAAATGGTAATACCAGCCGTTGACGTTGGTCATGTTGTTTTTTATGAATCGTAACGTATTTAGGACACGTTGTTCGATTAAATATCTATTCGCATATCCTCGATTATGCGCCATGGCCAAGGTTGCTAGTCCAAAGCCTAACACGGGATATAACATTAATTAGCATTACGTATGCATTTTTTGCAAATAATGTATGCACGCTCTTAAAAATAATGTTAACGTAAATACACTCTAAATTTTATATTAAATAAGTGAACTACACTAACAAGGGACACTCACGACCTGTCGTTTGAGTCCAGGGTACCCACTATGTTTTTTAGAATCTACTAGGACCCCAGATGAAGGATTCATTCATATTTCCGTGTAAAACTCATATTTGGCGCCATGGCGTGGCGCCAAACTTAAAAATTTGCATTTTCGACCAACTTCAAACCCTCATAACTTTTGCAGTTTATGTCAGATTTTCAAAATTTTATGCTTAAAATGATCACAAAAGTCGAAATTTTTGACAAAAAAATAAAAATAAAAAATTTCTAATTTTTGCAATATTTTTAGGATTTTTTCGACGAACCCCCATTTCGAAGAAAATTACGAAATTTTGCGAAAAGTTAAAAGCGATAATTTTAGAAAAAATTTCATGGAATAAGAAAGTTGAACTCCTTGTCATGATTTTTGCCAAAAATTTTGAAAATCCGTCTACAATTTCAAAAGTTATGGCGGTTTCAAAAATAAAAACATTCAATTTTGGCGAATTTGGCGCCACGCCACGTCGCCAAATATGAGTTTTACACGGAAATATGAATGAATCCTTCATCTGGGGTCCTAGTAGATTCTAAAAAACATGGTGGGTACCCTGGACTCAAACGACAGGTCGTGAGTGTCCCTTGTAAGTCCAGAGTAACATTAACTTGATAAAAACTAAGGTAAAAACTCGAAATTTCATAAAATTTCATGAATTAGCATAAATTTACATTTTTTTAGAGTGTGTAGTTTAAAAATTTCAACAACCTGTTGCAGCAATTGAGGACATATTTCTCGGGTCAGGATTTCCACCTGACAATGATCGATCCTTCACTTGACCCGTGATAGGGTCCGCCTGTTCCCAGAAGAATAAGAATCCTGCCCTCTCAATCTCGTCAAGTAATGGCTCCTCTATAATTTGGCTAGAAGCATTGTTAAGACCGAGCAGAATAAGTAAAATCGTCGCCGGTGAGATGCAACAAGTCGTCAAAAAGGTGGATAATTTCATGATGCCGCTATTTCCTTTGCATAAGGAACACTATTTTTGTAATGCCGTGAGTTCAGGAAGATTGCAATTAAAGTGCTGCTAAAGGTTGCACAGTGTTTTAACGCTTTAAGTAAATTAGGAGTATGTTATCATTTTTTATCTTTGACACAAATAAATAATTTGTTCGCCAACAGGTTAGTTTGACGAAAGAATGTATTTTTAGCGAACAATATAAAAAAACATATAATCTCCAACCCCTGCCACACAAAATGATAAATTGCTACACTATGATTCATATTAAAATTATCTCATGGACATAATTGTCCAGTATTTTGTTTGCAGGTGTTCGTGGGTGGGTTGGAGTATGTATTACATAAAGAAAGATAATACATATATTGTGTCATTTCGTTGGACGAGTTACATAATAAGTAAGTACATATTTAATTAATATTTATGTAACTTGTAAATTTTTGATTGCAAAAGTGTAATGTTAACATTGCTTGATTTATTTACAATGAGACACCATATCTGGGCTCTTATGCAAACGTTTAAGAATAAAGATTGACAACAACATTGACAATAAATTAAGATTGTCGGCCAAAAATTAATTATTTATTGTTAAATTATTTATAAATTTACTAGCGTATAAGCCCGTCTCCCGCTGGGCAAGTGAAAATTATAAGCTGGAAATATCTGTCGGTAACGGAAGTGAAAGAAAATTATCTGCAACGCAAGGGAGAGTAAAGAAAGTCAAGTTTCGAATGGCGCAAAAAGTAAAAACAAATTAAATTTAAAAAAATCAATGTCTGATGGTAGTTATGTCGGGATGGTCGTAAAATGGTGGGTATTTTGGGTGGTTATCTTGACTATTTCGCTGCGATGTGGGAGGTTATCTTGACTATTTCGCTGCGATGTGGGAGGTTAATGTAGACTCACTGCGTACAATAGCACGTCGAAGTAAAATCTATATTACAAGCTGGAAATGTCTTTCTGCAACGGAAGTGAAAGTTATTTTCCGAAACGGAAGTGAAAGTGATTTGCATATCAGCTGCGTTGGTACGAGCGGTTGAAAAGTCGATAAGTCAGTTATCCTTGGTTTTATCGTTTTGAAGGGAAGATAACGCAAACTCATAATTGTGGTTATCTGGTCGCTGGGGGGAATGGGAGTGTTTGCCCCCCCGGTATATGGTTATAGCTCTACTGGGGGGAGTGGGAGGCCGTGTCCCCCTGGGATATCGTTATCGCTCTGCTGGGGGAAGTGGGAGGGGTGCCCCCCTGGGATATAATTATCGCTCTGCTGGGGGAGTAGGATGGCGTGCCCCCCTTGGATATGGTTACCGCTCTGCTAGGGGGAGTGAGGGGGGAAAGTGCCCCCCTGGGATATGATTATCGCTCTGCTGGGGGAGTAGGATGGCGTGCCCCCCTTGGATATGGTTACCGCTCTGCTGGGGGGAGTGGGGGTAGGGCGTGCCCCCCTGGGATATGGTTACCGACGTTCTGTTGAGTTCCATTCATGCAGGCCCGTTTCCAAACCAGTGATATGCCTGAATGATGGGAGGGAGAACGGATTCCGTTCCCTTCATGGGTACCCCATATTTACATTGGATTGTTTAAATTACAAGATAGATTTACTTAGCTTACACATAAGGGAATAGGATTCCCTTCCTCTTCCATTCCCTTTGGATATACTTCAGGGGACGTAGGCAATCTTCACATCAAGGGAACGGAAAGGGAATGGGTTTCCCTTCCCTTTGGGTATACTTCTGGCGAAGTAGGGAATCTTCACATCAAGGGAAGGGAAAGGGAATGGATTTCCCTTCCCTTTGGATATACTTCAGATGTAGTAGTGAAATCTTCGCATCAAGGGAACGGAAAGGGAATGGGTTTCCCTTCCCTTTGGGTATACTTCTGGCGAAGTAGGGAATCTTCACATCAAGGGAAGGGAAAGGGAATGGATTTCCCTTCCCTTTGGATATACACCCGGTAGACAAAAGTATTGGTTGTTTTTTATGTCACATCTTCATACGTATGTAAAACCTTCATATGGCACTGACATTGGTCAAATTTTTTCTCGATGGCACATAACTTCATTACCTTCAAAATAGGGTATTTGATCATTTTAATATTCAAGTATTTTTGACACAATTAATTACAAACCATTAGAAAACGTGTGACGGAGTCGGTCATAAGTATTGGTCACTCTAAAAATTCATAATTAATATTCAAAATTGTAATTTGTGGCAGCAGTAACTTTTGTTATATTTGATGGCCAAGCATTCCCAATATTAGAAATTAAATTAACTTATGTTGACTGTCACTTGTGCTCGAAAAATTCGCCAACTCACTACCATTATGTACAGTAGCGTGTTTTTGTCAAAGAATTTTGTTATAATGGCTCGCTAATTTTTAAATCTGCAGAGGGACCATATTAAATGTTCTATAACATATAGGCCTGAAGGTTTGAACGCATTACTATGCCACCTGGGCGATATGCTTGGGTAATCATTTCACAGTAGCGTAAATAAGTTCAAAAGTGACTATCTTGTACTGATTGGTTTAAATTTTTTGTACGAAAATGGATGTGGACTTCGTGTTTTTTGCTTTAGATAAGTTGGGCGGGACCATCTACACAAATTTAGGTCATTAAACTCAAAATCATATTGGGACATCAAAAGTTAGAAATGGGTATTAGTAATGATAAACCAAAACAAGCTTAGCAAATTCATCGTCTTGTTGATTTTTCACTGTGTTATGTAGGAATTAATTTTTTGCTTAATTTCCTGGCCGTCACCTAGTCAACTAGGACCCATTGTTCCTGAAAACGCGAAATTTAACTTCATCTATATAACGTACCTTAAAGCAACACTTAATTATTCAGGTATGGTCTTAATTTGTCCATCTCAAATTATTGATATTTGCTTTCCTGGTACTTAACTTATTTTGTGGCAGTCGTCTAGACTTCAAATTAGCATCAGGCAATCTTCGACCAATTAGCTTCGAGGTTAGCTACTGCTTTTCTCAGTACTTACGTTTTTAATCCGATTCAGGGCAGTGATTTTATAACCTACTGTACAAATATTCACAATATTCGTATTTTAGCGTGGTCTTGTTACGTTCATATGTCCAAACTATGGTTTATTAGTGACCAAACCTGTTTCTGGTCCTGTTTTTGTCACATATACAGTATTTTATTTTCAGATGGAAGTTTTTGTAAAAATCCGTGAGCACTTTCAACCTCTGTGTAGACACCTCGTTTCTGTTCACATTTGACAATATCCTATACCAGCAGTTTCATAATTTTTTGTCCGCAAATGATTTAAATCTAACAACAAAGAAGTATTGAATCAAAATATTAGTTTACATGTCGTATGTGTAAGTTTATCTTCAAGTTATAACATTGAAAATTGAAATGACCAATACTTATGACCGACTCCATCACACGTTTTCTAATGGTTTGTAATTAATTGTGTCAAAAATACTTGAATGTTAAAATGTTCAAATACCCTATTTTGAAGGTAATGAAGTTATGTGCCATCGAGAAAAAATTTGACGAATGTCAGTAACATATGAAGGTTTTACATGCATATGAATATGTGACATAAAAAACAACCAATACTTTTGTCTACCGGGTGTACTTCAGATGAAGAAGTGAAATGTTCGCATCAAGGGAACGGAAAGGGAATGGATTTCCCTTCCCTTTGGATATACTTCAGATGAAGAAGTGAAATGTTCGCATCAAGGGAACGGAAAAGGAATGGATTTCCCTTCCCTTTGGATATACTTCAGATGAAGAAGTGAAATGTTCGCATCAAGGGAACGGAAAGGGAATGGATTTCCCTTCCCTTTGGATATACTTCAGATGAAGTAGTGAAATCTTCGCATCAAGGGAACGGAAAGGGAATGGGTTTCCCTTCCCTTTGGATATACGTCAGATGAAGTGTGAAATCTTCGCATCAAGGGAAGGGAAGGGGAATGGATTCCGTTCCCTTCATGTGTGGAATAAAGTTACCGCTATGCTGGAAGTAATAGAGGGCTGCCCGACATTGGCTGGGGTTTGTCTATCGAAAGTTGTTACACCCCCAGTGTTGCGTTGTGTTGCGATCTGTTGGTAGGGTCACTCACCAATAAATGACCTCAGCTATTTAATATTTTTTCAAGACTCCTTTGCAGGTCTCACTGCAGTTTCACATGAAGAGCATGTCCGCCCCCAACACCAGAAAAAATATACAGTAGCCGCGGAAGGGTGGGTGGGGACAGAGGGACAATGTCCTCATGGTTATTCGATGTTCCTATCGGCTGCCCATGTTATACACATTCCATTCCCTTCATGTGCAGACAACGTAGATTAAAGAAATGGAATCGATTTCCTTCATGCAGACCTCCGATGAATTAGTCAAATCTTCTATTGAACAGATTTTGAACGCTGCGTATGAATATGTATGATATCATATGCACTTTCACATGCCACACACCAGTGACCGTGTGGACCAAGTCAAAAGTCACATATGAACACACGTCAAACATATCTATGTCAGATTTTGAACCGGGTATAACAATATGATACTCATTTTGCTTTAATTCATAGGATCCTTTCGTTGTGACCGTATATTTACGACCACATAGTATGGCGTGAAAATTGTTTAGATTTCTTAAATATTTTAGTTTTCCTACTATTGAGGTTCAGCGAGGTCAACTGAATGGATTTGATTTCAATTTCAGCCCGCCTCCAATGTTAAAAAAGTGGGCATGTGATTTTGTCGCGTAGAAATTCTGTGCGGTTGACTTCGATGCACTGTAACATTAATCTCAATCAACTAATATCATCACTTTCACGTTCATTACAAATTCCTTTGACTTACGTCGGCGACAGAGAATTTCAGCTTATAGTATGGATTAGAATATTTAATTGGTTAGAGTTTTGCAAAATTCCACTCAATTTTCATGAAAATCAAATAAGCTCTCGCCCGGCGGGAGACGGGCTGATACGCTAGTAAATAATATTCTGACTGTCTACTACCTTCGTCAGAATATTTCCGTTTTTCTTTATTCACGGTGTTTGTTAAATTAAATTGGAGGTACAATTGTATTAAGTAAAACCCCAAACCTCCGTCTTCAAACTATGAACCACGATGCGGTGTCGTACTAAATTAATGTAACGGGACCTTACTCCCACTTTATCCGGTCGAGTGACATTTCGGTGTGCTCGCGGCTCACTCCCACTCCACTCCTACTCCAATCCGCAGCGGAGTGACCACTTACTCCTAGGGTATAAGTCCGTCTCCTGTACGGGGGTAGTTCCTGTGATTTTCAATATAACTCTAAGGAGTGATTGGGCTAGGGCTGGGCTGGGCTGGGCTTGGGCACAGTACTACTCGCTACTTCACTCTAAGGAGTGATTGGGCTAGGGCTGGGCTGGGCTGGGCTTGGGCACAGTACTACTCGCTACTTCACTCTAAGGAGTGATTGGGCTAGGGCTGGGCTTGTGCACAGTACTACTCGCTACTTCACTCTAAGGAGTGATTGGGCTAGGGCTGGGCTTGGGCTGGGCTTGTGCACAGTACTACTCGCTACTTCACTCTAAGGAGTGATTGGGCTAGGGCTGGGCTTGGGCTGGGCTTGTGCACAGTACTACTCGCTACTTCACTCTAAGGAGTGATTGGGCTAGGGCTGGGCTGGGCTGGGCTTGGGCACAGTACTACTCGCTACTTCACTCTAAGGAGTGATTGGGCTAGGGCTGGGCTGGGCTGGGCTTGTGCACAGTACTACTCGCTACTTCACTCTAAGGAGTGATTGGGCTAGGGGTGGGCTTGGGCTGGGCTTGTGCACAGTACTACTCGCTACTTCACTCTAAGGAGTGATTGGGCTAGGGCTGGGCTGGGCTGGGCTTGTGCACAGTACTACTCGCTACTTCACTCTAAGGAGAGATTGGGCTAGGGCTGGGCTTGGGCACAGTACTAATCGCTACTTCACTCTAAGGAGAGATTGGGCTAGGGCTGGGCTTGGGCACAGTACTACTCGCTACTTCACTGTAAGGAGCGATTGGGCTAGGGCGGGGCTGGGCTTGGGCACAGTACTACTCGCTGCCCACTTATCTTACCTAAATAACCACCACCCCTCAGATAACCACCATCCCTTAGATAACCACCATCCCTCAGATAACTACCACCCCAAGATAACCACCACACCCAGATAACCACCACACCCAGATAACCACCACCCCCAGATAACCACCACACCCAGATAACCACCACCCCAAGATAACCACCACCCCCAGATAACCACCATCCCTCAGATAACCACCATCCCTCAGAAAATCACCATCCCTCAGATAACCACCACCCCAAGATAACCACCACACCCAGATAACCACCACCCCAAGATAACCACCATCCCTCAGATAACCACTAACCCTCAGATAACCACCACCCCCAGATAACCACCATCCCTCAGATAACCACCATATAACCACCACCCCCATAAGCCCATACAAAGAGTAGCACACCTTCTGGTGTTTAATTTTTTGAATTTAATTTATTTTGAATTTTCACGCCATTCGAAACTTAACTTTCTCCACTTTCACTTCCGTTTCGGAAAATCACTTTCACTTCCGTTGCCGACAGACATTTCCAGCTTATAATATAGATTATAAATGTTTTTATTAACGGCAAAGTAGCTGCCGTAAACATTCTTACTCGATGTGTGCATATATTTGTAGTTGGTCTACTTCTCATATCAATAGCAATCTCGACTTTTTTCAAAATTTTCAATATTTGTGAAGATTAATTGAGCCAGTGCTTTGTTAAGTAGATAAGTTGAACATGTTTGGAATATACATAAGTATTATTCTTATCCGCTGATAGCTTCCATGCTAACTTAACATGTGTGCAAAAATGTTGGCAATATTTGCTTAAGTTACTTGTGTATTTGCACATTGTACATTCATGCATAATTAATAAGTAAGTAGATATATGCATGCATATCTCCAACTGCTTTAAATAAAGTGCAAATACAAGTGTTGCTTATCACTATCGGAAATAAATTGAATTTTGGATTTACTAGAAAAATTGGAATTCATCTCACTAATGATACATACTTTGTCTTTTCGTAAGAACAAAACAATAAAAATTGTTTGGATTTAATGAAAAAAACCTAAATGGCGGGGAGTAAATATATGTATTACGTCATCAAACAGGTTATTTTGGGTCGCCCATCTTACTCGAGGTAGGTGCGCGCAGTCTAAAAACCGACTTTTTTGATGACGCAATATATGGACGCTCCGGCATGTATTTATTAAGTAGAATTGTTGTCTCTTCAAAAACCAACATGAGATACATACATATAAATTATGTACTTATACGAATTTAAATTCTCTTTTATTTAATTGTTTTTCTTCCAAACTATTCAGCACTCTTTTACGACGTGGATCGTTGTATTCCCGTCATACCAAAATCGAAATCTGGCACATCCATGCAATTGAACCGAGTGGGAACTGTATCAACATTTATTCCCACGAAAACTGTGTCGGACCATTCATCCGGATCGAATCAAGTTATTGGTTCAAATCTCTCCCCAACACGGCAGCACATCGTTGGGACGAGGACATTTTGATCGACCATGAAAACATAATTTTTGGTTCAATTGGGCCGTGTTTGGACAAATGTGACCCTCGGAATTGGGCTGGAATGAGGAGCGATATTCCAACCAACGTTACCCGTTATGACTTTAAAGACTATACTGGTAAGAAAAGCACATTCTTGGAAAAATGGTATTTAGTCAACCGGCAACGGTAACAACGGTATCAGAATGACGTACACCGTTGTCGTAATAAAAAATTACCACTCACAAACAAATTATTACCAATCTGAGAGAAAGTTGGGGGCCGTCCATAAATTTTGTAAGGCAAAAATTGCGATTTTCTAGACTCCCCTTGAACCTTTAACATTTGTGCATAACTAAGGCACGCTATCTTTCCAGCCTTAGCCCCCCTTACGATACGTAATTCATGGACGGCCCCTTTATATTCGCAAATGTATACCAGCCAATTGGTGAGAAAATTGTGCTTATTAACATGTCGAAATTTCCGGAGCTCGTCATACATTCTCAATATCTGGGATGCAGTGTATCAAAATGCCACCTACTACAATGATGGCATCATTGAATTCCATTAAAATGTCAGGAACTGCAACAACCACATGTATTGAATTACATGACGGTCCTTCGTGTGAAGAGGAATCGATCAAATTAAGGCCAGGATACCCTTACCTCCATACTCTATGGATGTTCGGCTTCAATTATGGGCGGAGTGCATCGTACGCAAGATCGGTCTCTCTTTGCAGGGCTACTTGCTCGATCAGTTCCGCAACGACGAATGAAACGACCATCACGACGACAACGGCGGTAGCTGCCAAGCCCACGACAAAGACATTGGGAGAACCGGTGACCAATAAGTTTAAATTGCAAGTAAACAATTTGCAAGAAGAAGAACAACCATCACATTCACTCGTGTGGGCAATTATGTTAATTATATTGGCAATTTTATCCATTTTGGGTCTCGCCGGCTTTGGTGGCGTTTATTTTTTTCAGCGGTACCGAACTGCACACCTTCTGTCTTACGAAGAACGTTGCAACTTCATTTACAGATCAGAATCTGAAAACCTATGGTCAAGTTCTTAATGTGGACAGAAAAATTGAAATTGAAATGTCCTGGCTATAAGTAAATAAATGAAGCTACAAATTGAATATTTCTGTAATTTTGTATTTGCATTGGTCTGCCAAGACAAATAAATTTTCTGCCAATTAATCATCATTTATTTTCAAATTGAATGTATTTAGATATGAATGTGTGACATAATTTCTAAAATATTATCACTTAAGTATTTAGCCTGATCGAAGATTTTCACTGTTTCAAATCTTCTACTTTGTTGGCACATAAGGCACAAACCCGATTTTATTCATGGCATCGGCAATATGCTGGTTAGCCATGAAATTCTGCCAGACAAATTTAGTCCTATAGTTCTCCGCCATCAGGACCGTAATCCCGACATCAATTCCAATTACGTCTGGGTTGGTCCAGTTCGTTAATGGGTTGAAAGCGTCCACGAAGCCGTACCTTGTCCAAGCTTGCGCGGTGTGGTTTTCTCGGATGTTTTTCAGGACGGCAATGGTTTCTGCAGGAAGAAAAGGAACCGATCCAGCAGCCGCGCAAGGGACCTTTTCAATTAATAAATTATTATCCAATTATTAATGGGCAAACATTCCTAATTTGTACCGTCTTTATGTAATTCACTTACAATTGATCCATCGATCTGCCCCATAAGTGGAGGACCTCCCCAAGCGTCTGTAATTAATCATGATATTCATAATGGTTTATCAGCAGAGGTGGGCAAGATCAAAGTTTTCGGAGATCAAGATAAAGATCAAGATCAAATTTTGTGTCCCATAAGATAAAGATCAAGATAAAGATAAATCTGCCGAATACTGAAGATAAAAGATCAAGATCAAGATCAAATCTCAGATCAACATCAAATCCCAGATCAAGATCACAAGATCAAATAAATTCCAGTTATGCTGCAAATACATAAACCGATAAATTCAACTATGTATAATGTACGTAGTGTGCACTGTGCACGCTACAAATGCTAGATAGGTAACCAAAATTGGGTGTGTAACCAATTTTAGTTATTCAAAGCTGACAGCATCAACGTTCTTATAATTTCGTATAGTTATATAATACTTAACAAAACGTTTACTATGATGTTATAAGCTGCCCTTATACTTCACTTCTTGGTAAATTAAGTAATAGTAGAAGCATCAGGTCGTCACAATTGTTGACGGGTTAAAAATACTTGAATTTAGGAAATAGATCGCCACTTGAAGAACTGGTACCATTAATCGGTAAAAAATTAAATCTCGTCGAGTGTTTCTCGTTTCCTTGAGTAATAGACCAAGACGCTATTTTTCAAAAATTATCAATGTTTCAAAATGATACTTTTCATATTTGGGATTTGATCTTGAACGAAGATCAAGATCAAGATAGAAGGTCTTACCGAGCTAGATCAAGATCAAGATCAAAAGCTCTAGCCGAAGATCAAAGATCAAGATATTATCTTGATCTTTGATCTTGATCTGCTACCTGAGATAATGATCTTGCCCACCTCTGTTTATCAGTCAGTATAGATATGTAAGTGCATGCAGGATAACCAACGATAAAATATTCATGTCAAAGCCGTATAGTTTACTTATTTACCGTATCCGTATGGAGTGTCAGAAGCTGAAAATAAGATATGAGCATATTAAATTATCTGACACAGTTGTTATAAATGTTTCAAACTAAGAATGGAGGTATGTAATATATGTACATATAGATACATATATTACATAGTTTTGATATGCATCTTACCCGTAACTCCCCAAAAATTTTCAGTGTAGTCATTATACACTTGAGACATTTCGTGAACGAAAAAATCTTTAGTTGCTCTCGTAGCAGTGACGGAATTTTGGAAATAATCAATGGTAAAATTATCACTCAAGTTTTCAAAGTCGATGAAAGCATGAGCAAATTGGTGTACAAAAATAGGGGCTGGGAAATGAATATAGTTATGTTCCATGTAGGTGAAGTTGCGCTTTGAAAAGAAGAAATTTAAGACATTTAAGACATTTTTACCTGACGATTTAAGATATTCTCAGGGCCCATTAAATTTTACCCTTTGAATAAAGCCACTTAATATGGACCTAATGACTATTTGTTAAAAGAACCAAAGTTATCATAAATCGCCTAGATTACTATCTAATTGTAAATAATAACACACTTTCTCTACAGATTATATCCAAGTGATCGGTTAATTGTTTTAGAAAACAAAGGTCTGATTACGGAATAATTTGTAGAAGTGGCTCTCCATGTCATGCAGTTAGCTCGTTAATTAGAGGGTACTTCCCATTTCTATTTGTGGGCGATTTTTTAAATGCATACCTCGAAAACACATTCCAAGCATTGATCGGAATCGGGTGAGTAGGCGACCCAATAGCCAGTACTAGCAAAAACATCAATTCACAGTACTTAAAAATTTCGAAAATCCAGAAACAGTACAAAAGTAACTACAACCATCATTTGCATAGTACATATGCCACGCCTTATAATAATAATTTAATCCATACCGATTCCATGAGTCATTTAAAACCCCGCTTTCTGGTTTCCATCCCATGTTAATAAATTCTGTCCCGTTCATCATCCAAACGAAATCAACCGCTTCATAAATTTCTTTCGAAAGCGATACAATTTCTGGTATGTCCTTAAAGTACTGACCAACAGTGACTACACCTCCCATCAAGAGGGCCGTGTCGATCGAGCTCAGCTCAACGTCCGTGTTCCACCGTTCCTCAGTGTACATGTCGATAAAGTGATAGTACCAGCCGTTGACGTTGGTCATGTTGTTTTTTATGAAGCGTAACGTATTTAGGACTCTCTGTTCGATTAAGTATCTATTAGAATATCCTCGATTATGCGCCATAGCCAACGTTGCTAGTCCAAAGCCTGATTGAGAATTATTTAACATTACATATTTTTAGTTACAAATACTGGGGGTATTCATTTGAGCTTGCATCATTATCTGCGTTAATGGCCGCCATAAATTATGCAACACGTAAAAAACGTGCTTTTTTAATCGCGATTCACGATCCTCTCCCATCTTTTAGATGTGTAATATAGGCACGATATTATTGGAGCCTTAGACGCCCCCTTCTCGCGTTACGAAATTTATGAACGGCCCCTTTGCTAAATCAGTTCAAAAGTTCGCAAAAAAGATTTCCTTCATAATTCATTTGCGAACTTGGGAATCTAAGTATTTAGTTGGAAATTTTTTTCAAAATTATATTGCATGGAACTTGGATTTTGAACAACCCCACACCCACACCCTGCGCTCCCAAAATTAGCACGCATCGCATATGCGCGACCTCATGGGAGCCTTAGATCCCCTCTCTCGTTTCGCGTAACGTAGTTGATTAGCTGTCCCTAATTGGCTAGCCTTAGATATTTAATTAAACACATCTTGCAGGATTTTTCATATAGCTAGGTATAATGGAATCTAAGTACAAATTTATAATGGTATAAGTCAGAGCTCAACGCCGCCGGGTGACAAACGGTTTTAACGCGTCGTCGCCGCCGAACTAAATTGCATTCGGGACGCCGGCGAAAATGATTCCTCCGCCGATTTATAACTAAATGTGATGAATTTTTTTTAATAGGACGTATTTTATGAATTATTCTTTTTAATTTCAGAATTTAAAATTTAAAATATTAATTTAATTGAAATTTTTAAACTAATAAGAAATATGACATTTTCCCGATTATCTATAGCATGTTTCAGATCCTGTTGATTTGGGGCTGTTCATAAATTATGTAAAGTAAAAGTCGCCTTTTCTCTGAGCTATCCTCCCCTCTGTCACCTAGTGCAACGCAAGGCAACGTCCCTCCCTCTCCCCCTGTGTAACGTAACGAAAATCTCATTTTTTCGAGATAAATACTCAAAATGAAAGTACGAATAGTGGATACTGCCGTCATTTCTTTACTGATTAGTGTAGGATTTGATTGACGTTTTGATTTAATTTCGGGATTCACATTAATGAAAAGTTTGGACAACACGGACGGGTTTTAACCTTCTTGAATTTTACAGATAAAACCTCGCGGTTTATTTTTTACGTAATTACGGTTTAGCCAACTTTAGTCTGCGTGGCGTAACGCAGGACTTTGCCCCCCATCCAACCCCCTTGTCACATTTTTAACGCAAGTCTCAGGCCGCTTCCTCCCTCTCTCCTTGCATAATTTATGACCGGTCCCTTTAATGTAGAGCGCCGCTGAAGATGAAGACACCACCACCACGCCGCTTGGTCCACGCCGCCGCATCGATAAACCGTCGGCGTTGATTTGTGGTACAGCTAAGCAGGAATTTTGATTTTTTCAGTGAAATTATTCTTGCGAGGAGAAAAAATGTGGATCCCGTCATACATGCATAATTGTAATTTCGTCTAAATCCTCCAGTTAGAAGATAGATAACTTAACAATCGGATCAATATTTTCTTTGAAACCAAGTTTTTTCATCCGTAAAAATTTTGAAATCCTGCAAGTAATTTTAATTCGTACAAGGTTCTTAGAAATTATAAATAGAAATGCGTTCAATTTGTACACATTTTTGAAATTGTGCAATTTTTTTAATGTGCAAAATTGTTCGAAATGATAGACGTTTCTAAGATGCCGTATTTTTTTAAATCATAAAGATATTTTGAAATTATGCTAACTTTTTGCAATAATAAATTGTTTTTAATTATGCAATTTTTAATTTGCAAAAAAATGAAGTTGCGCAAATCTTTGAACTTTCAACAAAATTTGAAAATGCGCTGTTCATAAACTTCAAAACTTCGTAACGCTGCCTAACAATGGGAAGATAGGGATTTTTCCCTATCCTGCTCTTACTGGCCAGCGTTACGAAGTTTACGAACAGCGCCAAATCTCGAAGTGAAGTAATACGTAGTATTTATTATAACTTCAGGACTTTGATGTATACTGTAAAAACCAAGCTATCACCTACCCGGAGTATAGTGTCTTTACGAATATTTAATTGTGCCTTGCTCGTTGGAATTAAAGAAAGTGACTGAGTGAATATACGATTATTTTATCTACTTAAACTGGATTTTATTTCTAACAAATTACTAATTGTCAACACAATTCAGAGCTCTGCACTAACACGAGTTGATTGGTGACTTACTATTGACAAATTAATCGTGGACATCAATTACAAAGAATTAACAATTCTTACTCTTGATTTCCTACCACGACGACTAAAATCCAAAATGTCTGACTTTGACAACGACTAAAACTCGACTGTGTAGAGTTCATCTACCTACTTACTTACTACGACTTATAACAAAGAACGACGCGCACTCAAAATCCCACTCTGACGTCACCATGGCAACCACCACCACGTCACGGGGCAATCTTACACGCATATTCAACAATTTACAAAAATACATAAAACAATTTCATAAATACATCATTTTACATTTAACATACTCCCACCTTCTTTTGTGAGAGCAAAAGAACTATTCTAAAAACAACTATGCAATTATAAAATTCAAATTAAGTTACACAAATAAATTACAAATTCCACTTCGGATACCGCACTGGTTTCTTGGAGATCCTATCTTGATCCTTACCACCAACTTCCGGCTCCTTCTGGACTTGCTTCTTGTCTTGACATCTTGAAATCCTAGGGGTCGGTCGCTCCCACCATTCGGCATTCTTCTCCACCACTTTCTGCACCTTCATCTTCGGCTTAATAGAGGCTGGACGACTGAATCCGATGGGGTTACAAGCTTCCATCTTCCTACACGACGACTTATTCGTGTACTTGTCACTAATTTGACCAAGTACCTTTGTTGTCGAGAGTAATCTTGACTTCTTTGGAGTGAAGCTGTTGCGTTTCCCAATCCGCACCCCCTCATGGCAGGCTGGCCGATTCTTGGAACCCCCACAACACTTCGCTCCCACCGTCTCAACTCGTCGACCTTTACACGTTTATCTTGAGTGGTCTTCTCGACTCGTTGTTGCTCTTCTTGAGTTTTCTTCTCTACAGAGCTTTTGCTTCCAATTGAACTAATTACGACACCAGCGTAATTCAACTTGCTATTGTTGACACCTGGAACCACTCCGCTGATAGACCATCCAAACACGGATTCCACGGCGATCAATCCACATCCAAGTTTGACCATTCTTCCGGTCATCAAACTTCCCCACAGATCACTTCCTATCAATATGTCGACTTCGGACGCTGAAGTGTCTGTCGTGTGGATCTTCTTCCGAGCCAACTCTTTACACCAAGGGCCAGGTGGGATCGCTGGGCATGCTCCACAAATAAAGTCCTCGTTGACCAACTGGAGACTCATCCTCTTACAATCCTTCCTATCGATACCGCTGGCGTTGACCCGATAACAATTCTTTTCTTCGGTGCTGGTCACATGTCCACCGAACAAACTATTTTGCAGAGTCAACTTTTCCACTACTTGACATTTCAATTCCTGGGCTGTCTTCGTCCTGATGTATGACCTCTGACTTCCCTCGTCGAAAAGTAGCCGGACTTCTTTCTTGGCTCCATTTGTTCCGCCCACTTTGACACGAAGCGTCTTCATCAGGACAACTTTACTTTTGCATCCCTGACTGAAGTTTGTGTTGGTTTCTTCCACCGAACTACTTGATTCATCTTCATTAATTGACGTCACTTCCTCATCTCGGACCTGACCAGGACACATCACAGAGTAGTGTTTCCGTCCACAAGTTTGGCAACTGACCTCCTTGGTACAGTCATTTGCATAATGTCCTCTTCCCAGGCAGATGAAGCATCCCCGATTCTCCTTCACCAGGATCTTCTTCTCCTCGAGAGGTAATGTCTGAGCCTTATAGCACTTCTGACTTTTGTGATTCGACTTTCCACAAAAGACACATCGCTGCTCAGCTTGATGACTTGAATAGAGACCGGCAGCAGTGGGGAAATCTTCACATTCACTCTCTGCATACACGTTTACTTTCTCTCTATTCTTGACTGGACTTTGCCTGAAGGTTGACAACACAAATTTTCTTTCTTTGGCATTCTGTGCCTCCAGCCGCAAAAACTCCATCAAATTTTCTAAATTGGTAGCAGAAGTTGAATCCGATTTCTTCTCGCGTACCCTTAAGTTACTATTCTGCCAACGGAGTAACACTTGCTGTGGCAGACTGGATTCCACTAATGGATAAATGAGTTCACTTGGATCACTAACTTTCCCCAACGACTCGAGACTTTTCAAATGACCTTCTAACTGGTCATGCAACTCTTCCACGTCGGCATCTTCTCTTGAATCCGCGGCGCTATTGATAGCCAGGCCCAACAATTGTCTAATATAAATTTGGCGTAAAATCTTCTCATCACCAAACCGGGACTTCAGCTTCTCAACCACCAATGGATAATTCTGATCCGAGCGCGGATAAATCTTGATCACTTTCTCTGCTTCTGATCCGGGGACGATGGCTTGCACCAAATACTGAAACTTCACGTTGACTGGTAACTCTCCATCTTCGTGAATCTGACGGTATTGCGCCCACCACCCCAACCAATTCTTCCAACTCCCATCGAATTTCTGTAGCTCGATCTTGGGCAGTTTGAAGCTTCTATCCTTTTTGATACGCTCCCCATTCACGGTGACATAGCTGCTACTTGCACTCGGACTTGGTGGACGGATTTCTGCATTAAGAATCTTCTCAATATCCATAATAGAAACTCTGATTCTATCTGAATATTCTTCATTCACTGCACTCTCCTCCCCATAAGACTCCGCCGTGCAATTGTCATCCAACATCTGGGTAAGCACCTTTTCATCATGTTCTCTGATCGACGTCTGCAGGGATTCCAACTTCCTTAACTTGATGGTAAGTTCTCTCGAGTCCTTTGAACCTTTCGCCAACTCAGCAACTACACCATCCACCGTCTTGGTAATGGAAGCTCGAACTGGAGCCCTCGCCTTCTTCAGTCGATCCATGATGTTATCTCAAATCCAACAAACAAAACAATTAGAACAGTACACGCTTATTAACTCAATCAGCAACAATGCCGACCTCTATGGCTCCCGAACGCTCAGGATGGGGCCCTCAACGAGGCAAGACAGTAATTGATTAATAGACGAATAAAGTTGAAGTTCCTCTCGGTCGGACACGCCGATGTCAATCTGGTCGGTCACTCCTTCCTCACGGACTACTTCACAGCAACAATAAAAACTAGAAAGGTATCACCTGAACAGCCCCCGAATACTCAGGGTCGGGTCCTCAATGAGCCAAGGCTTGATGTGAATCCTCTCCTTTGAATCTGCTCCTCGTCCAGACAGCAACAATCGCCCAGGATTTCCACGGAACAGTCTTTGCACGTACACTAATTCACTCAAAAGGTCACAACTCACTGACCACTATAACTAGTCCACTTTCAACTAAAACTGACCCAACGAGCAATCACGTCGAGGTCACCACTAATGTAAAAACCAAGCTATCACCTACCCGGAGTATAGTGTCTTTACGAATATTTAATTGTGCCTTGCTCGTTGGAATTAAAGAAAGTGACTGAGTGAATATACGATTATTTTATCTACTTAAACTGGATTTTATTTCTAACAAATTACTAATTGTCAACACAATTCAGAGCTCTGCACTAACACGAGTTGATTGGTGACTTACTATTGACAAATTAATCGTGGACATCAATTACAAAGAATTAACAATTCTTACTCTTGATTTCCTACCACGACGACTAAAATCCAAAATGTCTGACTTTGACAACGACTAAAACTCGACTGTGTAGAGTTCATCTACCTACTTACTTACTACGACTTATAACAAAGAACGACGCGCACTCAAAATCCCACTCTGACGTCACCATGGCAACCACCACCACGTCACGGGGCAATCTTACACGCATATTCAACAATTTACAAAAATACATAAAACAATTTCATAAATACATCATTTTACATTTAACAGTATACACTATAACTGATATAAATACATCTATGTAAATATGAAATAAAAATTCGAGATCAAAAGCGGCATAAAATTTAAATGTTGGTATTTAAATAAATAATTTGTATACTAAAATTTGTATACTAAATACAATTGGTATATGGATTTGAACGTAAAAAGTACATACATATTTACATGTATATATTAAATCAAAATGCGTTTACTTTTGGTTTGGGTTAAAAGTTTACAGACCAGACAAGATAAAATAACTCGCTTAACAATACTAACATACATGCAAAAAGATAACAACCAGGGCCCCATTTCACCACACCCTACTCTGCACTCCAGATTCCGCACTCCGCACTTTGCAAAATTTGTAGAGTGCAGACTTGATATAGCCCGAGTCAGGCCAAGTTGTGGTTATCACTCAATCCGACTTTTTTGCATGAAATTTAATATGTATTTAAAAAATTTAAAAACTTCAATTGATTTTTCCAATTTAAATTCACATTCTTCCATTAATTGGCTATTTAACAAATTTCAGCTCGATGCTAGGATTTCAAAAAAATCTCTTTGCGTCACCCAATAAGGTCCTCCAAGATGAAATTTTTTCCTATTTTCAACCGTATTGTTCCATTAGGAGCCATTAGCAACTTGTCTATCAAATTTCAGCTTGATTTGAATAATTTGAAAAATTGATATGGGTCACCCCATAGATAGGGTCTGTCCAGATGAAAATGTGTCTAATTTCAATTCATACTCTTCCGTTAGTAGCCATTAACAATCCCCACACTAAATTTCAGCTCGATTGGATGAGTTTTTAAAATCGGTATGGGTCACCCCCTAGGTTCCCTCCAGATGAAAATTTTTGAAATTCTACTTTATATTTTTTCATTAAAAACCATTATCGACCTCTACCAAATTTCAGCTTTCTACGACAATGTTAATATTTTGGTGCATAATACCCAACCCCGGTCAACCACTTATTTCACCCATCTTCGAACTTAACTCATCATTTGACCCATACTACATTTGTGCAAAATTTCAAGTCGATCGGATTAGTTCTACAGCAGTTATCGCAAGACAAAGAGACGAACATGGCGGGTACATAAGCCCTGACTCGGGCTAAAAAGCCAATTGCAGAGTGTCCGAGCACTTTGCAAAAAAATATGTAGAGTGCAGAGTTTCGAGCGATGACCTTTCGCGGAGTAAAATTTGGTGAAACCGGGAAGGTCAAATTTCACTCCGCACTCCCCAAAATTTGACTCCACAATCTGCACTCCGCACGTCACGAAATACTGCTTTTGTGAAACGCTCCACTCCACAAATCCACAATTTTTTGTGGAGTATGGAGTGCGGAGCACTGGTGAAATAGGGCCCAGGTAGGAAAATATTTTAAAGTATTTGGGTTACTTTAAAATTAACCAAATTAATTAACAAATAATTTTACAATTTTTCATAATCTACTTCATCCCATGTTAACGTATTGCTTATTATCTCTTCGATCACATAGCCAATGTGAGTCTCTATGTCTGCAAAAAATGGGCAAATTTACATACTTCATTACTAAAAAAAATTGCAAATTTAAATTCCAAACTCACTTTCTAAAATCTTTCGGTCTCCCGTAAACCCTGTTGCAATCCTGGTACTCACAATGATACAATTTAACGCCCAGCTCGTCCAATTTGTCCCGGTCCCAGACAACTTTGCACACTGTGACTTCATGGATCGCCCTTATCTTTTCGGTGGATAACCTCTTGTCGCAATGGGAGCAGGGAAATCCGCCCTTTTGGTGGATTAGTGTGACATGATTTTTTAAACCTCTCTGATCATAGAACCACTTGAGGCAGAGGTCACACTTGACTTTGACATGGATTTTGGTATGGACTTCTCTCACGTGCCGGGCAAGGACATGCCTACTCGTGTAGGTATTTTCGCAGTGGGGACACACCTCCGGGGATGAGGAGGAAGAGGAGGTCTCGTCCGAGGATGACGGACCAGCTTGCTCCGATCTAAAGGTAAATAAGAGATTAAATTTGTATACAAAATTAACGAAGTTACGCAAGTGGACCATTTAAAAAATTAAGAGACAATTCATGCAGTCCTTCGTAATTTGTAAAATCCATAAATTTTGTAAAATAATCTTACAACATAAAAAGACGCCCTGGATAAGACTATAAGTACATAAGTTTAGTAACTAGTTTAGTTTATAAGCTGATTTTTTAAGGAATATGATGTAAAACTTTTAAAGGTTACGGATTTTGCAAAATTACAAACGGCTACGTGAATTGCGTCTCGCTCACAATAAAAAGTGTGATGAAGAGGATGGAATTATAAAACTGTTATCGTGTCGGCGGTAAGCTTGGGTTGATGTCGCATCAGACGGACATTGTCTGGGGGGAGAAGTAACGCTTATTTGTGCAGATGTAGCATTTTCCTCGTAAATTGTCTCCACTCTGTAGGCAAAGTCTATGTCGAAATCGTCCTCGTCGCTGACGCCGTGGTCAATTCCTAGAAATACAAGTCACAAAGTTTGGTCAGCATTAAAAAATCATAATTAAATGTACATGATTATTTTATTAAACTAACCTTGCCCAGATTGCAAATTTAAACAATCATGCCCCCGAATAATTGGGCTATGTTGCTGGTCAAATTTTCGCGAATTATGACCTGTAGTCCATTAAAAATTTGTAATTAATAAACAGTTCCAAAACTAACTTTTAATTAGTATTAAATTAATCATTACCATTACAACTTTCCGCAAATTGTTGAAAAATTTCTTCCAACTTTTTCCTAATATTTTTAATATCCTCACTTAAATTCCACACCGTCTTTATTGACTCGGCACACCGTAAACATATCAAACTTCCTTCGTCGTCAGGATGACGGCTAATTGTCGACAAGGGAAACAATTTCCCCATGAGAGTTATAAAGAGGTTGAACTTTCTTTGAAGGCTCTGAAGGTCTAAATAGTGTCCCGTATCGTATCTCACTACACCACAAATGGAACAGGAAAGTTTTAATTGCTCCTTAATTTTTGGAAGGTCAGGTTTATCGACTTTTGACGTCATCCTCGGTTTCTTCAGTTTGCTCATTTTTTGTTTACCTAATTTTAAGTTGAAAACATTAAATTAGATTTTTTATGCTAGATAAATACCAAACATTGAGAAATTAATGATGTTTAGAATGTAAAATTACCAATTATAGGGAAGTTTATGGTTTGTTTACAATTTTTCAACTTGTAAATTATTTCAGTTTGAGTCTTTCAGCAGATCGTATAACATTGCCGGTGGTGGTGGTGGATTCACGTCGAGTGGGGAAAGTGATATCGGTAAAAAAATCATAAATATGTGGATTGTTTGCATACATATTTACATGCAAATAATTTCGCACGAAATTTCAGGCATATGTAACGAAATGCAAAGTTAAATAGTTTCAAGAATTCATTATAAAATGGCATTGAGTAATTTAATTAAATGGTCTTATCAAAAATAAATATTTATCGAGGTCAATTTATTATGGAAGGTGTGCATTACGCAGATTTTTTCGTATACAAATAATCTACCGAGGAGAATATTGTAACAAAGGATAAATATTAAGTAAGTATAAATATATTTTTAAATGTGTAGTTTGTGTACATACGTTTGTACTTCATTCGTTATTATAGCAACCTATTGCGCCAATGTTATAGTTTAACTATGGCGCAAGTTGACTAAAATATACCCAGTTTACATAAATCTCTTTGAACTTCATAAATAAGCGTAAATTATCATTAGGTCAAAACTAAGCTCAGTTCTAAATCTAAAACAAGCTGCATAAATCCATATAATTTAATGCTCGACGTTATATTCTCGAAAAGTGTCAAAATCTTTAAAAATCTTGTTCAGTCCAAAGTTTTCATATTCCAAGTGATCCATTTCTTTCCAGTATTTTTGATACCTAAACAAACAAAAGTGCAGAAATTAAACATCAATATCATATAATTTATTAATTGGATGAAAACCTTGTGCAAAAAAATGTGCAACAATTGTATAAGCTGGTGAACCCATTCGTTTTTAACAGTGTGTAAACCGTAGTATTTTATAAATCACTCACAAATAAACTTGAAAAAATAAATTCGTCCACAATTACAAAAGTTAAACATCAACAAGAAACTTGTTAAATATTGTATTGTTATGACGAAAATTTGCAAAAATATCTATGTATTTAAGTGCATCGATATCGATTTCTGAATTTCTTAACAAATCCGTAAAATCTCTCGTGTGTGTAAATTGTTATAAATTTTTAGATACAAAAACAATCGCAACAAATTACATAATCTACAAAAAAATACTAAAATTGACTCACAACGCGTGCCTTTCCTTGTACCCTCTCGCAATATATTTGACCCCTTTCCACGCTCCATCTGCCCCCTTCTCTACGAGAAAATCCATCCCGTCATCCTTCACCTCGATACCCGCCTTCTCCAAGAAACCTTTGACCTCATTCAACTCCTTTTCGACTACAGGTTCCAACTCCCAGTCCAACTTGACGACACGAATCCACTCGAGTTTCTTGCACTTTCGCACCAAGGTCCTCATCAGTCTGACCGACACACCGGAAACCAACGTCGCAGCTTCGTCCAATTTCGCCCTCTTTTCATGACTCCTCCCCTCCTCCTTCGGCGGACAATATCCAAACGCTACCCGTTTAACGTTTGGAAAAATCGTGTCGAAATTATCCCAAATTTCACGACTCCAGATACAATAGTCCGTATAAAGTTCGGTCACGCCGGCCAAGCATCTCAACGGCCGACCCGGAATAACGACCAGTTTCGCCCAGCAGATCGCCACCTTGGTTAATTTGTCCCCCGAGGTAAAATCGCTCCCCAGATTTATCACGCTTTTCTTCCTGGTAACCTCCGTCTCATCGGTGAGGTCGTTGTACCTTTTTACTTTCCCCCCTTTCGTGCGACATTCGAAAACTTCAAGATTTTTCAGTTTCTTGAGAAATCGACCGAGTAGGTCGGCCACATCGTAGACGCCCCAGAGCGTGACCTCCCTCAATTTTTGGAAGGGGAAGGGAGCATCCGGTAACGTGTTGTCGACGAGGATTAACCTCTTTATGAAATTGTGGCGGGGGTCAAGCTTGTTATCCGCGGTTAATAATCGTGACAACATGTCATTCGTAGGCGTTTCGGCAGAGTCGAATCCAATACAAAGTTCGTGGCTTGGTTTGTCCAGCTTGAAAAATTTGACCTCATTTATGATAAGCTTGAAATCGGTGCGGCTTCCCCAGAAGTCCGTCGTCCAAAAGATGTACGGATCGAGGTCGAAATTAGTCCTGTAGTGGCGAACATTGTTGTGCCATTTGCGCCGGTCGGGGCGAATGGTGAGGGAGAGGGTGACCTTGGCGAGGTGGGGGAGGAGGACGGGGTTTTTAGGGAGGAAGATGACAGGCTCGCAGGGTTTGACCGTGGCGACTATGTGGGTCGGAGAGATGGGTGAATGTTGAAGTTGAGATAGGAGTTTCTCCCACGAGGAGACTTTTAGGCTTGTGGGGGATTTAGCTTTCGGTTTTAGGTTAACGAAGAGATCGTTGTCATGGAGATCGTTACCGAAGGGATCGTTTCCATTAACGGGGGACTTTGGATTTCCGAAAAAGTCTTCGTTGCCATAGTCACCATAACCTTCATACGTATAATTATTGTCGTAATTTGGGATCTGATCATTTTCCAACGTGACGATTGACCCTGATGACACCGTATTTATAATGGGATAGAGTAAATCTTGCGATGGGGAGGAGGGCGCTGATTCTTCTTTGACGACTTCCATGTCGATATCATCAGGTCCGGAAATGTCGATTGTTTCAATTAAGTCGAGGTCCTTGAGGTGGCGTGGGTTTGTATTGAATTTTTCCATTTCCGGTTTCTTGTCGGGGCTGGTGCAAATGTAGACGAGGATGTCGAGAGCATCCTGCGTGGAGAGCATGCCAGAGGGGACGACCTTTTCGGCAAAGTCGGTTGCAGACATGAGGGGAAATCGGAGCTCGTATTTTACTTGGTCCAAACTTATCCGGGCGGAGGACGTGGGACCGGGTTTGTTTGCGGCCCAGCTGAAAGAAATTAAAGATATTATTAAGATACGAATTTATGGGGAAAATCATGACTGTAAAACTTAATACGTGATGTGAAATCACACGAAATTAGGTAAATATGTAAAATTCTATGTACAATTTCAAATAAAATTTCATGACATGCAAAATTTCGTGTAAAATTTCATGTAAATTTCAGGTCACTCGCTCAAAAATTCACGATGTTCAACAGTGTCATATTTTATAAAGAATTCATTATAAATAATGAATTTTGCAAATTTGCAAAATCTGATTGTATGAAAAATTGCATGCATGTATACTTGCCATTATCATGTTGCATACAAAAATGAACACTGTGCAAACATGTCTTTTAACCGTAGACATGTATGTAATAATAACTTATTAGTTAGTAAAGACTTGCTTCTTTGTAATAAGCAATGATTTTTTGCAGCATTGCTCGTTTTTTGCTAACACTCAAAACTTCCAAATTGTTTAATTCTTCACTCACTTCTTTACAGCTTCAAACAATTTGACTTCGTCGTAATTAACATCGTCAGATTTAAGCATTTCCCGTAAAGCGAAAGCACTCATGTTTTGGAAGGAGTTCGTCCCAATGAAATATTCCGGATTCGAATTTACTCTGAAATTACATACATATTTTTACCGATTATTTACTTGAAAAATTTCTACCAAAAACTTAAAATCAAGGCGGTGAACAATTATTGTAGTTATGGAGAGAAGTACACCAGGTGCTGACAGGCGACATTATTTTTTTGAAAAATTGAAATTTTTAAGAGTTTGGGAAACTCGGGTTTTTGAGTGGTTGCGATGCGTTGGTAGGTCACTGGAAATGGTAACAAATATGAAATCCTGAGAGGAAATGACTTCTTGACCTCAGCCAGATTTTTCCAAATTTTCAAAAATTAACGAAATCAACCTCGATTAAACATTCATCACAGAACTGATTACCGAAGTTGAAAAAATGGTGTAGGTGGACCGTTGCTAAGTTTGAAGAAGATCGGACTGACCCTCTGAAGGTCAAATCCGGGTCAGGTGTCCACACCACACTGAATGGGGTGTCAATCAATCGGTCTAGATCATACGATCAATTTAATATATTATAGAATTTTGTGGCATAAGAATTGGCTGTGAAATTCCTGAAAAACTGATATTTTGGAGATATTTTAAAAATATTTCCTCTCAGGATTTCATATGTGTTACCATTTCCAGTGACCTACCAACGCATCGCAACCACTCAAAAACCCGAGTTTCCCAAACTCTTAAAAATTTCAATTTTTCAAAAAAATAATGTCGCCTGTCAGCACCTGGTGTACTTCTCTCCATAACTACAATAATTGTTTACCGCCTTGCTTAAAATATTACTTACTTTCCAATAAATTTCTCTGTTAGTGCCTCCAAAGACCACAAATTCCAAACTTTTGCTTGCTGATTAAGCTTGAAAACATTCTTTAACGAGATTCGGCCGTCCATTATTCGTCGACATGTTTCATCCTCCTCCTCCCTCCCTGGACAAAATTGTACCCCAATTCGTAGCATCCTTATAAGGTCTGAGTCTCTAATGTCGCTACGAGTGTCGAATTTTCCGGTGTGGAGGAACTGAAAATAGAAAAGGTTCATTATTATAAGTAATTTAACTTAAAAAGTATGCAATTTATAATAATTCCGGACTAATGTTACAATAACCCCGTATCACGGATTGGCAAAAGTACTCTAGCTTTCTGATTTAATTAATTGTGGATACGAAGAGCAGGTGCGGATTAATTTTGCAATTTTGTAAACCTACTAGCGATTTATGTACCGCAAGTTGCTAAATTTCGCACATTCCACCAGCTTACACTAAGCTATACGTAATAGTAGCATTGCTTAATTTTGAGATAATTAATGAATCGCAGGACTTATTAAATACTGTGGAACATTTTTTACCTCAATTTTTGCCAATTATTTGCAGTTTACATGCAAAAATCTGCAAAACTTTAACACTAACCTCATGATACATGATAAACACGTCAGGATTCGCATCCTCCACCGTGTGTAGATTTGTCTTATCATCGCTCGCAGCTTTCACCAATTTCGCCAACTTGGTCGACCTCGCAATTAAGAAAGATTTGTAAGACTCCACCACCGTGGATTTTCCTGCTTGGCGAACCACAAACGTGAAATCGGGCGATGTCCGGGTCGCAAAAATTGACCATAATTCCTCCCAAGTTAATTTCTTACTCGATCCGGCCGACGGTGAGGTTATATTCCGACCAGAAGGCGAATGATCCATTGTTAAACGATCAATTAGAAAGCTGCAAGGAAATCAAAGGAATTTCCCATTTTAAAAATTTAACAACAATTTAATTATCAGTCATTCAAAACTCTGACCAATTAACTCACCATAAACAAATTAAACGTTATCCATCCCAGTAAGTGTCCACGTTATTAAGGGATCAATTAGATTAGAAAGCTGTAAACAAATTAATTAAATTATACATAATTAAATTAAATCCCATTCTTCAAAATCTTAACAATTTCATTATCAATTATTACACACTTAATTGTCTCCGTATTTTCTTCGCTGCTTAATAATCACAATTTTTTAATTATTGCACCACCTTATGGAGACATTGTTGCGAAGCGTATCACACAATATCAGCTGAGAAAGTGAGAAAGAACAAAAGACTTTCTATTGCTTTTCGCTCCATTGCGCATTGCTCCACAAACGAAAGATGATGCTTGCTTGCTTGCAGATGCTCAAGGTTTCCTAACACCGAGACCGACCGACCGACACAACTAAATAATCCTAAATTTGTATATGATGTATCTCGTGTTGATGAGAACTTTAGTGAATAAAATGAGTGTAAAGCAGTTTACTTGTTGTGTCTCAAGCTGCCTCAATTATTTGGAGCACATTTTATGTATGCCAAATAATTGAGACATTGATTGGTATGCGTGACACAGCAAAGCAAACCAATATTACCAATCAATCGTATTATACACGTGCATGCAAAATTCCTCACAATTTATTTGATGTGAGCATTTAATTCATATTGATATTAAAATAAAGTATGTGTAATTAAGTATTTATTCGGCTTAGCTCGTCACCTGCATGGATGGACACGCTTTATGCATATTCTTGTATGAAACCTAAATTCATGCAAAATTAATGTTTTAAACGAATAAACGTTATTGTCTTCAATGAAATCAAGTCCTTAAATCATAATAATCGTTTATTATTCATTATTATATGCCTAAATAAGTCAGTGAAAGGTTTAATTTGATGAAAATAGTTTTCCTGATTTTAGCTTAAATTCGACGCGATTATACATGCATACATAATGACAACCATCACTTACCATATTAGCACCGATGTTTAATTAGGTATGTAATTACACTGTCCATGATTTAATACTATTTATTTACAAGAATTATATTCTCTAAATCCGATCCTAATTAACCCTTCACAACTAACACACAATCAACCACAAGGGTGGAGTTTAATTACCTAGTTTTGCGAATAATTGATGGATCCGAGTTCAAGAAGTATGCAAATAAATAGTACAATTATTCTGAAATCACTCCCTCATTTTAATTGATCAGATATGCAACGACATGTATAATGGCAGGAATTCTAGCAATTTGCATATAAATTATAATAATTGGATCGATTGAAGATAATTAGTCCACCTGAAATATTTCCATGTTCCCGAAGTATCCAGTTGCATGCAAAACTCCGGAGCAAATTTTCAAGTATTCGCACCTCCTCGATAATCAACAAGAAGGATAAATATTCATATCTTTGTTGCAACAGTAAAGTGGACGTATGTATGTACGTACTTTGTTTTACTTAACCTTTCGAAATAAATGTAAGTTTATTATTACTTTACCAAATTAACTATTTACATATATTTATCGCTTTAATTATTTGTATAAAATAACTTTCGATTCAGCTATTAATATTCTAAATTAGATACATATGTTTCACATATCTCTATTTCCGTAAATATGCACAAAGGTACAGTTTGCCAAAAGTTTGAGGTATTGAAATATAGTTTCATTAAAGACGTTCATTTTCGAATTCCATCCACTCATTCCCGAGATATGCTCGTCCCTATGTTCTTCATTTATCCAAGTGAGTATAATGTTGAAAGGATATAAGTTCCCCCTGGGTAATTCCTCCACCAAGTAATTTGACTTCATGTTCACACGCTGACCAAGTATGTATGTATATATTTAGCTGTAATCGGTTATGCAGAAATGATTTGACGCCGTAATTATGCATGCATACATACATACGTTTCGAGTTTCATTTAATTGATTGATTCGGAGTAGTTGCTTACATATTCTGTAGGTACGTATATATGTTGTAGATATTTACATATGTAGATACTGCAGGCCTATAGATTTCTGTAGTCAAGTTTTTATTAACTCATCATCCTGTTATATTCGATAAATTGAGCAAATGTGGCCAATAACGTAATTTTATCTATGGAATTAAATTGAAGCAGATTTCATAAATTCGTTTTTGTATTTATAATGTACCTATGTATTTATATAGGTATGCATGTTAGCGCGATAGTAAAATACATACATACATATGTACATAAATATATAAATAGATTGTATGTATTCACGTCCTCAGCATGTACAATTTTGTACAGGCTGATATATATGTACCGTAAAACCTCTATTTATAGCCGGGGTTAAAATCGAAAACCGAGGGTCACGGACCCGGCTACAATTCGAGACCGGCTATAATTAGAGACCCGGCTAAATTTTGTTGCTCCAAAAATTGTAGATGTTGCAAAATCAAATATAATTCATGTTGACTCAATTTGAGTTTTCTAATTTAGCAAGATAAGCCATAAGTAACCCATTCACTTTTAATCTACATCTTGAAACGAAGTTTAGCAGGTTTTTTAAATTTTCTGTCATGATTATATCCATGATTAACCTGAAATTAATAGGAAAAAATTAGTAGTTCAACTTATTCGTTGATTGGCATAATGTGCAACATTTTTCTTTAATGGACTATGAACAGGGACACAGCGGACAGAACAGGCCATAATCAGAGACCCGGCCATAATTGGGGACCCGGCTATAATTAGAGACCCGGCTAAAATTTTGAAATCTTGGTCTCTAGACCCGGCTATATTTGGAGACCGGCTATAATTAGAAGAGGGCTATAATTAGAGGTTTTACGGTATTTGTTTTATAAATATGGCTATGGATATTATAAATAAGTTTATGTGTAAGTTTATGTTCTGCATAGTTTATAGCTTATGCAAATACATAAGTAACTATTTTTTAGAATGAAAGTTGGCAAAGTGTTGACTTTGACATAAACACTTATACATACATACACATGTACATATTTGCATTTGTATGTGTGTACATACAAATTTCTTGCTAATAACGTGAGTATTTACAATGCATTTATATCGATACCGCAATAACCTGTACATATGTACATAGATCAATTTAATCTTATGCGCAAAGTTACGTGAATTACCAAATTTGCTTTCGTAGTCGTAGATGATAATGTACTACGTAGTAAAACGTTGCAGAAACCTGGAGGTCTTGCAGTCCATATCTATCTATAAGCAATTAACCCTAATCAATCAATCAAAAGGTATAATTACACGGTTTACTAATCATTTCGGCGTAACCGATTATTGCACTAGTCTGCTTTAGTGGCGAACATAAATATTTGCGTAGTCGTTAGAGATGCATCATTTGTCATTTACTAATCCGAAGTCTGCATAAGGTTTCTTCAATTTCACAACATGGTGACAACCTGCTGCAACTTTATATAGTAAATACAATTCTACGTCAAATCTTACAATCGAGTTAGACCTCATGGTTGGGTAATGAGATTTTTGATTAAACATTCATCCCAATTTGAGAATGCAATAATAATCGATATTTACCTTGTTTTCAAAGCAGACAGAAATTAATATTTTCCTTCTAAATAGTCGCAAAACAAGATAAACATCTTAATTATGTATCTCCTCATGTCAACATGAATAAGTAATTAAAAATCCCGTAATCCTGCAGTCTGAATCTATTTTAAGTATGAGCTATTTATTATCACAATAATCTTGTCTATTAACTCGCCAGGAAAACAATCGTCTCGACGCCACTGTATAATCGGGCCAACCTTCCAGTGATACGCAGTTGTTCAATTTAAAACACGCTTCGATCGCGTCAACAGAATTGGGTTGAAAAACTCTACAGATTTTTTAAATTTTAAACTCACCTGTCCATAAGCTCGCAAAAGTTTTACGATTTAATGAACTTGCTTAAATTGGCGTACTGCTAGTTTATCGTACATTTTCCACACTTATATTTGGCATCCTACACTCTTAGAAATCCAGTATTGAAATAATACCAAACGGTGCTCATGTCGAAACTATCAAGTAATAGCTCAGGACTAAAGTTTTACTATATCGGTAGGAAATATTTACGGACCGGTATAATTTTATAATACTAAACTGAACCTCATTTAATACCGAGAAATCAATACTGCGTGATTTCTAACAAGATTTATAACAGTGCACATATACATATATCGCAAACTTTCCCCACAGAAAACTTTCACTCGTTACAATTTGACCCTTAAATTTAGAGGGTGTTACGGAAGTAATGCAACTTTGGTAAAATGCATATATCCAAGGGTATCAATTTGCCCCAACTTCGCAATAAGGTGGATATTGTAGTCCACACGTTTATCTAGTAGAATCCGAAAACCAGAAGTCGATATCTCTATCCGTTCCAAAATGAGGTCAAATACCACCAAGCAACTCGCAAAAATCGTCTGCCACTACATCGAAAAAGTGGTTACGCGCTCCGAGAAATTGAGCTGTGTTCACTTTAAAAAATAACAAATTCCAAAAGTGACAATTTGTGGTATTCTACTAAGGTATGAGCTGCAAAAAAACTACTAATCGCAAAAAAATATCTGGTCGGCCCATTCGTCTGGCAGCCCCGAACGTAATAAACTTCGTGTAAACAGAAATTTGTTATGTCGGAGCGAAATTCGCTGAAGTACTTGAAGTTGTCACCTAACACCATACATTATTTGAAAGCATAGAAGTTGGACATCAAATCCTAGAAGGTTCTATAAGCTTATAAATATAGTAAAGAGTAAAATAAAAGTAGCAAGCAGGAGGGCAGAAAAAATCCTTGACCTGAAGTAATCAAAATTAATCAAAATTGATCGTCCTGTACAAGACGATTTACTGCTCAGATTATCAAAATGCTTTTATTTGCACATAGTACAACTCTCCCACCTTCAAGAAAACCATTTATGCAAAACTGGAAAATAAATCTAACAAGGGAACCTTAAGAACTGTCACCTCTCGATTTCCTTCGGAATAGCCTTAATCGACAGATAATTTAGTGAAACTAAAACTTTGTCATAGAACATGAGGTGCAAAATCGCGTTTTCGCGAAATATTTGGCGAGAGCTGCACAAAAACCTGCCATTTGCCCAATGCTTTTAACATAACCACCAGCCTTTGGAATGATGAAATGAACTTTATAGAATCTTAATAAATTATATTTGTACCTGTCCGCGTAATTTCAGCCCAATCCAGAATATGCAAAAAAAGATGCAAAGATTTGCAACTTTTTTGCAAGTTGCGAAAATCTGAAAACTTTCAAAAATTTGAATTTCTTCGTTTCTTTAAACTCAACAAATTTATCAGTTTAACTGCTATGCAATATATTTTTCTTATTGCAAAAAATTTGCAAAAATTTGCAAAAACTGAACTTCGTAATTTTTCTTGAAAATAAGTTAAATAACCAATGCTAGTCTATTTTTACATATTCTTCGAAATTATTTTCGGTATTTATATTTGCAAGTTACAAAAACCTACAGTGTGTGCAATTTTTTAATTCAATATGCAGAATTTTTTGCAATGTTTCAATTGTTCAACAAATTAACGTTTCCTGTATTCGCTCATACCTACATATATCACAATTTTTAGGTTTCTAAAAAAAGCAAAACTTAAAAATTGTAATTTTTCAGATTTTCGCAACTTGCAAAAAAGTTGCAAATCTTTGCACCTTTTTTTGCATATTCTGGGATTGGCTGAAATTGCGCGGACAGGTACAAATATAATTTATTAAGATTCTATAAAGTTCATTTCATCATTCGAAAGGCTGGTGGCTATGTTAAAAGCATTGGGCAAATGGCAGGTTTTTGTGCAGCTCTCGCCAAATATTTCGCGAAAACGCGATTTTGCACCGCTTGTTCTATGACAACGATTTAGTTTCACTAAATTATCTGTCGATTAAGGCTATTCCGAAGGAAATCGAGAGGTGACAGTACTTAAGGTTCCCTTGTAAGCCAAAGTATCCCGTTCCACCTTAAAACGGATCAAATGCAATTAACATGGGAGAGGTGAACAACGTTCCCAAGTTTGCCAAATACAAGACCTATTGGACAATTTCAGTTTTTATCCAAGGAAAAATATTATAACCGAAAAATTTCAGTCAAAAATTTGAACTTATTTCAACGCATGTGGTCAAAAATCTCAAAAAAGGTAACCCAAAACAGTGGCGAAGCACTAATTGTGAGCGCCCAACAAAAGCTTCTCCAAATTTGGCGGAAGGGGTGTACGGACCATTGGAAGCATAAAATAATTAGTTTCAACCCTTGTCTCTATCTGGCCAAAATTTCGCTTCAACAAATTCATTCGTTGAGTTCATATGTGCATTTGACCAAAGTTGCATTACTTCCGGAACACCCTCTAGTCCACCAAAAAATTACAATAATGTTCACCCCTAAAATTCTCCACTTAATCCGTACCATCGTAAAAGTGCTCGAGTGCACGAAACTATTTCCGTTCTCTTGGGATGACGAAAACAACAATTTGATCGTATCAAGCTCGAAAGTGACCGCAATATGGACACAGTTTTTCTGCCTCCACTATCCGCCATACTTTCTCTTCACGGTGTACCAACTCTACAACTCGTTGAAATATGGGTGTCACGGAGTCATGGACAATTACTGGATGGTCATGATGGGCGTTGGACACATCATTTGTGGCGAAGGGGTGTGGGGTCCATACACCAAAAAGAGGGAGCAGGTCAACTTTTTCCAGCAGGTCGTCTCCTTCGATGCAAAGATGAAAGGTGATAATTATGTAAATCATTAGTGTTTTTACGGCAAAATACACGGAAAGTTAAAATTGCAAAAATTATATAATAATAATAATAATAATAATATTTATTATACTGATTTATATGACCATGAGATACAGGTAACAATGCTTAAGACTAAAGAAGGTAGCTCTAGCTTAACATTTCACTACAAATAAGCTACATGGCATGTTTCAACAGTTTACATCCTATCTAAGCCATTACTATTACCGTCTTTAATTGACGTCAAATCAATAATTTATCAAGTGAACTTTCGAAACAGTTCTCAACTGCGCAGTACAAATTCAGCGCGGAGAAAAAGTAACGTCAGTAAATTTAGGACATTAATTAACAAAATTTACTTACTTAACTTAACCAATTATTAACCAATTCGAATTTTTATCAACATACAAAACAATAATACTTAATTATAGATGTTGGGAAAAAAATTGCACAAAAAAAACCAACTAAATTTTGAATACAAACCAATTTTGATTCCCCAACCAACCGAGTGGACACTGGCAAAAGCCACGTGGTAATTCTGATCGTAAAAATACTTAAAAATAAAGGTTTGAAAATACAATTTTTGACTGACACAGTTGTTCGGTTTGATAACGAAGGAATTTCACACATTGCCAATTAAATTTGAAGCAATTACCAATTAAATTAAATTTAAATTAGAGTAAAAATAAATAAAATTAAATAAAATTAGAGGAGCTCGTGCAAGAGCAAATCCTCCTCGGTTGGCGCGCCGACGGGGAATCTGCATCAATATGGAATTTGCATCATGTAGATTATTCTTGTTAAACGAAGATTTGGCGAACCTTAATTCGCAATATTTGCAAATAATGAAGAAAAATTTAAATGTGCATAACATTTGACTTTTTCCAAACTCAAATTTATTAAATTTATGTGTTTTGCATGTGTTGAAGTTATAGAAATACACATCGTCATTGTTCTGAATGGTTAGCGGCTAGCGCCATTTTAGATTGGCAACAAATTCGCGAATTAAATATTGCCCTAAAAACATAGATACGTATAGGTTGATATTTGCCTATTTTTTAACAGATCTCGTAATCCCACAAAAATCATCCAACATAATTCGCAAATCTGAAAAATTTGCAACCTTGATTATCAAAGCAAATACGATTGCAGCCGTTACAGGACCAATTTTTATGAACTTGGTATACATCCTAAAGCCCACAGCACCGCAGTACATCTACCACGCGTATCCTGATCACAGCGCAACCTGCGCGAACTGGGCTTTCTTGGTGATGGAAATCTACATGAAATCGATCAATATCATAGGGGCCATGCTCTTTCAAGGATGGTTCCTCTGCTCGGTCCTCTTCGAGCTGACAGTTTTATCAATGCTCAAGTAAGGCATTTTTTTAAATCGAAAAGAATTCATGATTAAAAAGAATTGTGATAAAAGGTAGTCATTTCCTTGAATCTAAAAAAACTGATAGACAGACAAACTGCAAGATTAACAGAAGTTGAAAAGAGGATCCCCGAAAATCTAGGATTTAAAAAAATCCCGCTCTAGGCGGGAAAAAAACTAGAGTTCTACAGTTCGTTTAGACAAAGGGACAAAAATATCTGAGAGGTTACCTGACTGGTGACTGGTGATTGTTTATCACAAAAAAAAATTCAATTTAGAAAAATTTAAGGACTGTTGGTTGACTTGATTTCTTTGAACGAAAAAGTAGTAGCTTATGATTAGAAGAATTTGAAAACGAATTCATTGAGAATCCTAAAAGATCTAGAATGCATTTTAAAAGTACCGCCAAAAGCGCATACAATTCATTTTCTTACCCGTTTTTTTAGAAAATCTTCTTCCCCTCTCCACACAAAGATCACATACTACAAGTACCTCTCCTTCGTCAACCACCTCCACAACCAATGCTACCCTGCCGGCATGTTGCCTTTACGTGTCGGCATCTTCGGCTGTATGACGATCACCTCGTCCGTCATCCTCATCCGGATGATCGACCGCATTCACGTATTCGAACAGGTCATCATTCTCCAATTTCTGATAACCATGATCACCGTTCCATTCCTGTTCCTCTCTATTGCGGGCAAAATAGTGGAAGACAGTCTCGACTTGAAGGAATCAATGGGACAAGAGAATACTGGACGGAATTTTAAGGTCAATCGCAAAATTTTGAAATCTCTGAAACCCTTCGGTGTCAAGGTGGGTCCGATCCGTGCCGTGAATTATAATGCGTTCAACGCCTTCGTGACAAATGTTATAAGCGGGTTGACCACGGTTCTTGTGAGTTATCCGAATTTGAAGTAATAAAGGTATGTTTTTTATAATACCGATTAGCAAGTCAGCACGAATTTTAGTAACTTGGAAATGTCTTAATAAAATAAATGCATGGACCTTTTTTTAAATTTGCTCGTGTGTAGACTGAACTGTGCAAAAATTTGTAATTTAATTATGTTAAATTAATGTCGATTTAATTTAGGCGTATGCACGTCAAACTTCACATTGGAACTGATTTAGCAAAAAAACAGGAAATGCTTAAAAACATGCCCAAGCTAGTTGTAACACAAACCAAACGGCTTTAGCATAAGAAGTTGGAAAATTTCGAAAATTTCGCAAAACTTTGGAAATTACATATGTATGTTAAATTTGCGAATTATGTAGGCGAAGGTTATCGTCAGTACTACCAATGCCGTTTAACATTAATCATTAAACCTCTGGCCGTGTTATACGGTTCAAACTGTCGTTAACAACTCCCAACAAGCCAGCCAGAGAAAACGTGCAACACGGCCACCAATAATTAATTAGTTAAATTAAGTTACATAATTCATAAAGCACATTACTAACTCTGCATCTGCACAGTTCTTCAGTCCTAACATGTCTATGTACCATATGCACATTTGTTAAATACTGTCTCATTTTGTATACAATGTTAACATCTTTTTCATGCATTGAATTAATATTCGAGATTTTTGTATCGAATGATAAGTAATTCTTATGGATCCATCGATCCAAAAAGGAGTTTCCAAATGCCATAATAAGTATTCACTGCCTCCGCCGTGAGTAGACCGGATAGATATGTAAGAGAATTAAGAAACCGTTCCTAATTTAAGGATCGATTAATTAGTTAGGAGGACTCAAATATATTGCACATCTTAATTACTACAGCACGGAGCTTGTTGGGTTGGGCCAAAATTTACCAAAATCGTATCATGTTTATGACAGTGGCGCAATTAGCATATAGGCAAGGTAGGCAAGAACTAGGGTCCCGCGACATCAAGGGGCCCCCACGTCTGCTCCCCATACATAATTAACTAATTTAAAAAATTCTATTAGTTAAAGAAACTCCTGATCGACGAATTTAATTGGTCTTAAACTTTTCATTATAAGTTTTGTTACTTTTTTCAAAATTAATATGTGTATGTTTGAATTTTAATATCAAATACCTAATGCAGATTTTTGACAAATTTTATGTCAAAAAAATTTTAAACATAATTGCAAAACGTTTAATCAGCTTCTGTAGCCAAAATCTGCATATTTCGTTTCGAATTTTGGAATGTAAAAAAATATCTTAGATGATAAAACACAAAAAGACACATAAACACACAAACCTTTTTTGGTCATTTGCCTAAGGGCCCCCAAAATATAGTTGCGCCACTGGTTTATGAATTAATTTACAGATTAATTAGAAATTTTACTCTTGAGAGAGGCTTTCCTGTACTTTGGTTGCTTTTGTATTTATACATTTCATTTGTGTAAAATATACCAATTTTACACTACATCGTCTAGTCGTGTTACATGCTTCATGTTTGATTATGTAAATTAAAATTTCCGAATTCCGAATCTCTGCATAGCCAGTGTAAATACGAATGCATGTATATGTTCAGTTATGTAGATATATGTTTCAAAAAAATGTCATCCTGGTTTTCTCGAAATTAAGCAGTGACAAATTTTCGGTGATAATTTATCACTCAAAAGCTCTAGAATATTTTAATATTGTACCTCTTTGTACGGTAGAGGTTGTCTAGAAAGTTTTCCAAAATAAGGACAAGCAAAAATATACAGGTTATTTACTTAAATACGAATATAATTACATACAAGTGCAACGTGTATTTTTTTACCTTCACAAATTATCGTGTACAAATTCAAAATTTACACCAAACTAATTATGTATATGTATTTACTGCAACGTCAGAGTATATAGAAAATTTATGAATTAAAGGAGAAACAAATTGGTTAAAAATCAAATTATTTTACCCATAAATAAATTGCTCCCGTTCATTAACGCCATACTTATTTAGTTTTCAATTCATGTCTTCAATTTATTATCATTTTTAAACCACATTATTTAAATTCAGTTACAGGGTTATACATAACTCAAAAAATACATTTTGCATAACTCAACCAATTAATTAATGTTACACGGGGGTCCGTTTGGGAATCCATTATCGGAAAAAATTTGTGTTAAACAAATCGCCGACATTTTTGGCACTCTGGTCAGCGAAGGGTCCGAAAAGTTGACGTGGTGGATCCCAAATCGTTGCGTGTATCCTGCCGACCATTCCATATTGTCCATCAAGCTCCAGGCTGTGTATGCCTTGACGTCAACGCCATCCAACGTAGCTTTCATCAACTCGTTGATGTACTGCTGATAGTAATTGACTCGTCGGGGATCGTTCACCGTGGCGTTTTGCGGATCTGCAAAACCGTTCTCTGTTACGTAAATGGGTGGCTGATTGTATTCAGCGTAGATCCAGCGGACCAGTTTGTTCAATCCCCATGGGACAACCTACATATGTATATCCAACCAAAGTTTACATAATTGGTTTTATTTTTGCGAAAACATTAAATTAATCATTGCTATGTGTAGCTATTTTAAACTAACATTCCACGAATTACTTATTTTATCTGTATTTCCCCTGAATTTAAATCGCAGGAAACACTGACAAATTTTGGTGTTTCAAAATTTGAAATTGTATTTTTTTGCAAAATCAAGACATAATATTTTCTGAAGTATTTTGGGGAAAAAAATAAACCTGTTCAACCAATATTAATAGTCCTTTCAGATTTTAACCTAACCTAACATAACCAACCTTTCAGATTTTCTTATGACTACCAATATTAGTTGAACAGCAATTACATAATTAGTGAATTCAATTAGTACCTTCAACCACGATGCTGCGCTAGACTCCCAGGCAGGATCTTGTCTCCCTGCAACGTTACTATCTCCAAATAATCCAGGATTTCCGTCACCATTTACTGGTCGGACAAGTTGAGTCGTGTAAGTGTTCAATCCGATGAAATCCAGGGTCCCTGACCAAATTAGTATATTTTCTTGTCAAATACACACAGGGAAAAATCTCGAGTTCCCCTTACCATTGATAATCTCGGTCCACAGCAGGTCAAATGATGGCAATCGGGATGAATTCCGGCCTTCATTTATGCTCTTCTGGTCAACAAGTTCCCTCATGATGGGCGGGTATTCTCCGAAGTAGAGAGGGTGAGCGAACCAGCCAAACTAATTTGGATAAAATAAACAGACATGGTCAAATACCGGTGGTGATATTGGTGCCCGAAATTCAGCGTGTGACCTATAACCTCATAGGTGACATGCCTAGGTGTGACCTTTGACTACGAATGTTTCGAATGTCCGTACTTACACTGAATCGGAGTCCTCTATCGGATGCGTCACGATGTTCGGCGTCATCCACATCGGGTTCATTCCAATCCGTGTTGAGCGTAATTCCGACTTGACCTTGTTGCTGGTCCTTGAATTCGGTCTCGTAAATGCGGTACGCCAAACCATGCGCTTTGATGATCGTGTGACCACACTGGTACACCGTTTCGGCCATTTCCGTCCGTCCAGGAGCGTTCACACCAGTTCCATACCCAAGAACACAAATCACCCAGGGTTCTAACGAAAAAATAAATATTGTTAAACAGGCATAACGAAGAGGTGAAGACAAGTTTGTAGCATGCGAAAAATGGGTCGGATTTCTGAAATCGTTCCCCGGAAATAAAGTCGAAAATCGATAAGGTCCAGATCTAAATATTTAATATTTTTTACCTTTAACCTAGTCCCCAAGGTCACTAGGTCATCACAAATTAAAATTAATGAAGATTGGAATGGAACTATTTAGCAATTTTATTCCCAACTTGACATTTCTGGAATTCCCAGTATGACCTCTGACCTTAGGGTTTACTATAAAGAGTTAGCCCCATGAAATTTTCCTAAGTTCTGTCGTTTAACATTGATTAAAAAACTGAAACTAGAAATTCTAACTTTTCCAAAAACCAATGTGTGACAAGATAAACAAACGGACGGGCAGATTCGACCAATAAAGTGGTTTCATACCCATAACAACTAGGAAATTTGCATAATCTTCATATGTAATTTTGATGTTCTACCATTAAATGTGATCCAGTCCTTGACCAAGTCTCCCAACTCGGCGTATAAAACTCGCGCGTATCTCGCAAACGCTTGCGCCGTAGCTTCTGTCGGCCAACCCCCTGCATCTTCTATAGCTTGTGGTGTGTCCCTGATGATAATTTAAGATACAAAAATAAATTTCCAACATTTTCCAAGAAATTTTCAAACTCACCAATGAAACATTGTGACGAAAGGCTTAATCCCATTTCCTAGAAGGGCGTTAATAAGGTGGCGGTAGTACCGGATTCCAGCTGGATTAACGGGCTCGTCGATCCCACCGTTCGGGATTATGCGGGACCATGCAATGGAAAACCGGTAGAAATCGACCTACAAATTTAAATTTAGAATTTTAAAAAAATTTCGGACTCGAAAAATTTGCAAATTTTACATTCATCTCTTTCAAAATTGCGATGTCTTGCATAATCCTGTTGTACGAATCGCAAGCAACATCTCCATTGCTACAATCCTGGACATTACTGCAGGTGGAGTCATGTGTCCATGTGTCCCACACGTTGGGTCCCTTACCTAGATTTGCATAATTTACATATTACCTTTTTCTGCAAATATTTGCACACTTAATGAAATTATATCTAACCATCCTGGTCCCAACCCCCTTCAATCTGATAACTCGAGGTGGCCACCCCCCACAAAAATCCTGGTGGAAATGTGCCATTCAAAAAGGGCGTGTCCTGTCCATGCCCACTTGTCCAGACGGCCAAAAACAGGAGAAAGGTTGCGAATTTTTGCATTATCTCGCCGTATTAAGAGTCTTACTCTAACTGGGCCAGGAACAATTAGTCTGGGTAGATATACCCTATCGATAAGAGGGAACATTATGATTGATTGGACAATATGTATGGTTGAGGTGTGTGTTATCTTCACACATGATTGTGCAGCGTGATAGAAAACAATTTGTGATCGATAACGAAGCACAGGGTTCTAAAAGCTTACATAAATTTAGCACGGTTGAAATCTTAAAGAGCATACAATTAACTAAGGCGGGTGACGTTCTTAGAAATTCAGTATTGAAATAATACCAAGTGGTATTCCACATTAATCTAATAACTTACTAATCTGGTAGACTAAGGTGTTAGTGGTGGTAATGCTTGATAAGTAATACATAGTGTGCAGCAATAGCTCCGTCTTAAATCTTTACCATATCGGTAACAAATCTTTGCTGACCGGTATAATTTTAATGCCAAGGGGTAGCAACTTCGATACTGAGAAATCAGTATCAATCAGATTTCTAACAATGAATTGCATTGACATAAATACATACTCATTAGGTAGGTATACTCAGCAAAAACATACCATGGTTATGAATTAGTTAATTAAACACGGTAAACATATCATAATTAAATAAGTATACTTAAAAGAACATGTGGAACCTTTAGGTTTTAAGTACGTATGCACCTCATCGTGTTGCATAGTACATATGTACATAAGCGTTAGGTGAGATTGATTGATCATTGTGTTATTTTCAGTAAAGGACAATTAACGCTTCACTTATGCATACATAAATATATTCAACTCGTCATTCATCGTCACATCACTCGCCCATGTAGCATCTTTATTACTAGTTTATGTAAACTGATTTCTACGTATTAACACTTGAATAAAGGTTTAAATCAAATTAGATCAAATTAAATCAAATTCATGTTATTCAACCACCTTTGCAAAAACAAGGTACAAAATTTCTGGCAAAATTTTTAAATGATCTGACCATCAACCATCGGATTAAGTAAATGTTTAAGCATGCACATGTTATACATATGCACCTACAGACACATAAATACATACTTATGTCTGGCGTCGCAATCATTATGCAAGTATGTACTTGTATTGGTACATACGTAATAAAAGATCGTGACAAATCTATTGGACCGGCGCAATAAAATGCTCAGAACTTTTTACACACAGTGGCGGCGGAAGCAGGGGGACAGGGGGACAATGTCCCCCCAGAAAATTTGCCGGGGGACAAGTAATATTAATGTCCCCCCGAAAAAAATTGAGATTAAGATCATCTAATTTACATTATATACTTAAGAATTTAATCGTTAAGAAAGCCAAAAATATTTTTTTATTCATTGAAATAATGAAAAACTTCTTCACAAATTATTATCGATTTTAAGGAATTCGAAACTGATATGAAGCTGTGGTAAAATTCGCTTAGATTGCACGTAAATATCTCAAAAATCTTTTTCGGCTTTATTATTTTAAGTTTAAAATTTTGCCATTTATTTCCTTAATTTTGCTGACGAATTTGGTAAAGATCTTTGAACTAACAATAAGAGATACGTAACAACTTGGAATCTCCCCAGTTGCTCAACGGCTTCTATGTCAATCTGAAAACGACTCCATATATTTTGGAATCATCCTATGCCACTGGCCCTTTGCAGTTCAAAATATTTGCAAATACCCAATACCGCGAACTGACTACAACTACTTTGATCGCATGTAGTTGAATTCTAACTACATTTTCAACTACATCGTACTATTCTAACTACTAGCTACTGATCATTTTTAGGCCTTTTAAGATGGCCTTATAGACTTACCAAGATGTCTGTCTGTCCGTCCGTCTGTGCGTCCGTCTGTGCGCACGATAACTCTCTTTAAACACATGCTATCGACTTGAAATTTTGCACACTTGATCTTCGGGTTAAAAGTAATGATGAGTTCGGAGATGGGCATGATCGGCCAAGTAGTTGGCCAGTGGGGGTCTTTTCCACCCAAATGTGTTGCCATTAACTACCAAGATGGTATTAATGCCATCTTAAAAGGCCCCGCAAAGTTGCTTGGAGTAGGTTTTAGCTACATTTTAACCACTTTCAACTACTTTTTAACTACTTTCGTTTAACTACCTTTTACGGTGCACAGTTAGAAATCCGGCATAGTTACGCAGATTCATATTGATTTCTCGGTACCGAGTTGCTACCGCTTGGTATTAAAATTATACCGGTCCGTAAAATTTGATACCAATATTGTAAAACTTTAATACCGGGATATTACTACACGGTATTATTTATCAATACCACGATGGTAGAGTCATATATGAATACCTCCTGGCATTATTTTAATACTGGATTTGAAAGATAGATAGATAGATACATAAGTGTATTTGTGTATTACCTCTTCCAGGGAATACCCAGAGAGCACAATTTTTGTTTGATTTTACAAATAAAATGAGTTCAAATTAACTGGATTTTAAAGAGTGTTTAGTTGAAGGAAAATAAACTTTTACTTTATTTCCTTAACCGCTTGTTAACCTCACTGAAATGTAACAATTATTTAAAACAGATTAATTGTGTTTCCTCTAAAAAACATAATTACGTTGAGATTTTTACTGGATTTGAGCTTGCATTTTATCACTTTCTGGGAATAATTAAGGCGGACTACTTCAACTTGAACACCATCAATTTAAGAAGATTTTAGAAACCCAATTTCTTCATTAAAAAGATATTTGAGATTAGATGGCATGCAGTTAAAAGTAGTTGAAAAGTAGTTATAATGTAGTTGTTCAACTATGTATACCATCGTAGAAAGTTGTTTAACTACTTTAGAAAAGTAGCTAAATCTTAACTATAACTACTTTTAGGAAAAAAATTGTAGTTAACTACAAGTTAACTACGGTCAATAAAAATCTGAGCTGAGCGCAAGCTGGTCGACCGTACCGCAAAATGATCCATTGACCCTAGCGGTGAAAAAGTTCATGAAAAATTATCAAGGCGCGGAAAACCGTAATTTGGCTGAACCCATTCCGGGCCCAAAAAAAATGCTCTCACAAATGAACGGATCAAGTAATATTATGTCCGAGCCCTTAAATTGAATCTTGGACTAATGTCTTTAAGATGTGAGGAAAAATACTTGTTAAATGCACACCAAGTGAAAATAGACCCATAAGAAGCTGGGCGCTAATCTTGCGGTACGAACTTGAACAATGAAACCCGGAAACTTTGCACAACTGAGCTAAATTTGGTGATTGAGGGTAAATAAAATAGCTGAGGGACCGTGTTCACAGCCCACAAGTCCATTCTATTCGCAAAAATTTCAAAAACGTTAACAGGACCCACCATTCTACTTCTATGATCTTCTGATTGGGCGTAAGTGCGATTATTGATCTACCCAGTAATATTACGCAAATTTTAAGCCATTAAACTCTAAAATCCAAGGGAGCCGAAAAAACACGACATCTTTATTCAAATCTATCTTAACTAACACGGAAAATGCAATTATTTTGCGACATTCAACAATTGAGGTCAGATATTAAGCCAGCTGCCAAATTCTAGTTCAAAACATTTTTCTTAAATTCTTTCGAGACATACTGAACCAAATTAGGACGATTTTGAGACAATACTCAAAATTTCAAAGAAAAATCGCACATTTTGCCTCAGATCTCGGAATCTGTTCGTGGCCCACCCAAATATTATTTCAAATTCTTTATGTACCCACAAGTAAGCTCTTGAACCCAACTAGTAATTTGTTGGGAAGTTAGTGCTTCGTCAAATGTCACCTAAAACTCACTCTTATGTCTTAACAGGTAATTTGAATAGAATCTTTCGAAAACTCGCGAGTTTTTTATTTGTTTTTGATCGCTAATACTCACGAATTTTCCGACGACGTCGTTTCTTAAAATATTAATTTCTCTTTACACTGAACGCTTAGACACCCAAACCATCCGGGAAACGTCCTTAACAACGCTAAAAAATTCCCTACCAACGGTAAAAAAAACTTTCTAAGGAACGTTAAAAAAAATCCTTAGCAACGTTGAAAAAGTCCTTAGCAACGTTATAAAATCCTTAGATGCGTTAAAAAATCCCTTAGAAACGTTAAAAAATAGCTTAGCAACTTTTTAAGAACTAATTCGATTAAAATATTCGTTGACAACATTATGAAATTCTTAACAAACGTATATGTAAAAAGCCCTTAATAAATTAGGAATATGATAAACAATTTCCAAAGTTGGCTAAGCCTGTTATGATACCGTTTCTGAACTATATTTGCCGTTGATTTATTCTGGAATTATAATTTAGATGGATGTTTGTATATTGCTCCGTTATGTTCTGCCTTTCTCTAATTCGTTTAATATATTTATTACAAACTGTAAATGTGGCCAGTCGATAAGGCGGGCTTATTAGCTAGTAAATATATAGATAACAGCATGATACTAATAGAGAAAAGGCTTTCAAATTGTTTTTAATCGTAAGTAAATTCCTAAGAGGTGCGTGAGTTGTAAATTCACGTTAGTTAATTATGAGTGTGTGTTTGTTGAGTGTAGCGCAACTTGAATTACTGTGCACCAAATTCTAGCATAAAGCTCTATGGCTGTGTAAATGATTCGTAGACAACTTCAATTGGTTAATTTTATATTAATAGTAACTGGTTTATTTCTGGTTTAATTCATAAGTACATACAGACTTGCATGATACTATTTCTATTATTAATGGTTAATATGGGGTAATGTGATACGTTAATTTCTTATGGGTAAACTGATACAATTCCTATGGGTAATTTGATACTAATAATTTTGCAATCTCAATTCCTCATTTGAGGCAATGTGAGACTTGCGATTCACTCTTGTGCAGAACAACCCTGTTACAAAAATATTAAATGGGCGTTACGCGGGCTCTGGTGCGTGGCTAGCTTTATACTGCAGAGCGAACGGAAAAGCACCCGTGTATGCTAACTAATACATTCCATTTTCCAACTAAAAATAAATCTATTTGCAAGTTATGCAAGTTATGTAAGTTACATAAATCATTGTTTGTTCAACATTGTAACAAATACATGCATACATAAATTACTACCATTTTACCTGTTTAGCAAACTGCAAAACTGGACAAAACTGGACAACTCAATCTACATAAGATGAGTTTGGAAGATGTGAAAGTGATGCAGCGTAACATACCTGCCATCACTTCCGCATATACATTGATTTGCATGTTTCTACCGCAATACCTATGTAAATTGCGCTCAATCTGCATCTTTAAATGCAGACTGACAAAAATGCAATCTACAAATTCCGACTCGAAAATACAAACATATTCCTACATATTAGGAATCTGAACATTCCGACCCCCTTGGACTAACTAGTTCAAAAATAATATTACTTAATATTAACTAAATTAATCCTCCTTCTTCAATTCCGTGGGTTCAGTTTCAATAGGTAGTAGGCACAGCTTCACGATTGGTCGCTCGTACTCTCCAGTAGCTGTCCTCACCAATACCTTCCTGACCTTCTGATCTGTTCCTGGTTTGACTTCCATAACTCGTCCAAGTTTCCAATGTAATGGTGCCAGGTTGTCTTCCTTGATTATTACCAGTGAACCTTCCTTAATTGATTCCACTGGTTGCATCCATTTTGGTCTTTGTTGTAATCTGACTATATATTCGGACGACCATCTTTTCCAAAACTGTTGTAGCATCTGTTGAATTAGCTGCCATCTCACGAGTCTGGTCGTTGGGATTTCTGTTAAATCCGGATCAGGAATCGACGTCAATGGTTGACCAATGATAAAATGTCCAGGTGTCAGTGCTCTTAAATCCGATGGATCAGTTGACTCAGGCGTTAATGGTCTTGAGTTTAGCACTGCTTCAATCTGGCTTGTAAGAGTTGTCAATTCTTCGAATGTTAATCGATTTAATCCCATTATTCTTCTAAGATGGTATTTGGTCGATTTCACCCCTGCCTCCCAGAGTCCTCCAAAATGTGGCGCTGAAGGTGGGTTGAAATGCCAAGATATTCCTTCCTTAGACATTGTCAATGAGATATGATTATTGTGGTTTACACTGTGGGTAAGTTTCTGTAACTCCTTTAGCTCCTTGTCAGCTCCATTCCAAAATTGGTTCCATTATCGCTGTATATATCCGATGGTTTTCCACGTCTAGCAATAAATCTTCTTAAGACAGCAATAAATGCTTCAGTGCTGGCCGAACTAACTACTTCCAAATGTATGGCTCGAGTCGCACAGCAAATGAATATCGCTAAATATGCCTTTAATGTCACCTTACTTCTGGGTTGAATGGGTCGAATCAAAATTGGTCCAGCACAATCTATTCCACATTTCTGGAACGTATGTGATGGAGTTATTCGAAATGAGGGTAGATCTGCCATCATCTGTTGCATAGTTTCTGCTCGATTTCTTGTACAAATGATACATTTTCGAATGATCCTTTTCACCGCATCCTTTCCTCGAACAATCCAATATTTTTGTTGTAGATAAGATAATAAAGTTTGTGTTCCAGCATGTAAGTTCAATAAATGCGCATTCTCAATTATCATCTCAATTTTTCATAATTATTATCCTATGATGCGGTGGCAGCAGAATTGGATGTTTCTGATGCACAGGAATGCTTGCATGACGAAGCCTTCCCCCCACTCGCAAAATGTTGTCTTTGTCGAGGAATGGGTTTAATGATAATAAACTGCTTTTATTGGGTAATTTTCCTTTGGTTCTAAGCTGCAACAGATCTGAAGCGAACTCTTCCTCTTGAGCGATTGAAATCCAATGCCTAAGAGAGACATCAAGTTCCACTGTTGACAGCCATGGGTTACTAATTGATTCAGCTGCAAATCCACGTTTCTTTTGGACTGCTGCTCTTGCATTATGTATAAATCTTAACAATCTTGCTGTGATTCGTTGCAATCTGGTTAGAGTTGAGCACCTTAGAATCAAGTCTATTGGTATTCTAACATTTGTTAAATGACACACTAAAGTATCACGTCTTTCTTCACTTGGTTCAGGTTTATTTACGATTTCACTTGTTAAATTTGGTACCGGTGGTTTCTCATTTAACCAAGACGGTCCGTTCCACCATAATGGATGGTTAATAAATTCTTGGACACTTATTCCACGCGATGCACAATCAGCTGGGTTATCAATTCCACGAACGAATCCCCATTTATCTTCTGGAATCAGTTCTTGAATTTTGGTAATTCTGTTTGCTACAAAAGTGTGATACTTATAAGGTTCAGACCTAATCCAACCAAGAGTTAGTGTTGAATCTGTATAGGCCACCATATCAGTAAACTTCATCTTCAAAGCTTTTGCAACTAACGGCATAAATTCTGCTAGAAGTAGTGCGCCAAAAAGTTCTAACCTTGGTAAGGATTGTTGCTTCACAGGCGCTACTCTAGTTTTTGAGGATACCAGATACGATAATCCATTTCCTTGTTCATCATAATACACTAAATACACTACAGCTGAATACGCTTGTTCTGACGCATCACTGAATCCTACACAGATATGTCTGTTGATTTTTTCCTGAGTGACCAACTTGAGCTCTAGGAATTTTTAACATTTGTAAATTTTTCAGTTCAATCTTAAAATTAGCCCACTTTTGTTGAATTGTTATTGGCACTAAATTATCCCAGTTCAAATTTTCTTTCCAAATTGATTGCATTAAAATCTTTGCATTAATTATTATAGGTGTACACCAACCAATGGGATCAAACAACTTCGATATTTCCGAAAGAATCACCCGTTTTGTTAGTGAACCTAACTTCTTGTTGCCAAATATATCTGCTCTAAATCCAAAACAATCTTGAGCAGGGTTCCAATAAATTCCTAATGTTTTCACAGTCGCGTCTTTATCAAATGACAGCGATTTCGTTTCTCTCAAATCTTCTGGAATAGATTGAAGAGCTTTTTCTGAATTTGAAGTAAATTTTCTTATTGACATTCCGCCACGTTTCAATAGTTCAATCATTTCATACTGAAGTTTCACAGCATTTTCTTCCGTATCAGCTCCAGATAACAAATCATCCATGTAAAAATCTTCTTGTAATACTATCGATGCAATTGGAAAATCAGGTTCTTTTGCTACCTCGCTTAGCACACGAGTAGCTAAATATGGACCAGCAGCGGTTCCATACGTAATGGTTAATAATTTATAATGTTTCAATGGTTTATCAGGAGATTCTCTCCACACAATATGTTGCAATTCTTGATCCTCATTGGATATCTTCACTTGTCGATACATTTTTTCAATGTCTGCTGTAACAGCAATTTTATGTTTTCGAAATCTCATGATCAAATTGGCCAACGAATCCTGAGTACTTGGTCCAATCATCATGGTTTCATTCAGCGTGACTCCATTTGACGTCTTCGCTGATGCATTAAAGACAACACGAAACTTTGTCGTAGTTGACGATTCTTTCACAACAAAATGATGTGGCAGATAGCATCTAAATTTGCTAGTCGCCGTTGGTTGTGACACTTCAACCATGTGTCCCAATGATTCATATTCATTCATAAATTTCTTGTATTCTGTTAAATAATGTTCTTTTTGATGCAAACGTTTTTCAACTTGTTTAAATTGTCGTATCGCAATTGATAACGAACTTCCTAATTCAATTCTTGGTTCTTTAAATGGATATTGCACAATGAATGATCCATCACAATCTCTTTTCACAGTTTTGTTAAACAGCACTTCACACAATTTCTCTTCATTACTAAGAATTAGTAAGGCTGGCAATGTTTCAATTTCCCAAAAACTTTTCCTTGATGTTTCTAATTTCAACACATTTTCACTATGGTTCAATTTTTCCAATTCATTGGTTTGAGTATGACACACTGTCAACTCCCTCTTTAAGGCATCACAACTAGCATAGAGAAAGCCTTTTGTACACACTGTATTTAAGTGCCTAATTAAAATTATAATTTGCCCGTATTTTTGCCAGGGAAATTTCGCGAGCGCCGAAGGCGCGAGCGGTTTGGGAAACTTTTGATGTTGTCCCCCCAGCAAAAATCATCTTCCGCCGCGCCTGTTTACACAGTTAATGTAATTTCAAAAAAGTTGCATAGGTTTACTACCAAAGGGTCTGGATTGCCATACAGTTCAAATTTTAATGATTCAATTCCGCTATCTGCTACAGATTGCATTTTCTTCTTCAGATTTTGCATCAAATTCCGCCCATCGACTGCACCTACTTTCAAGCTGATTTTCTTCCATCTGTTCTTAAATTTTAGTAAGGTGTCTAGCGTTTCTGAAAGCTTAGAATATTTGGACTTAGTCAGCGCTCAGAATTTCTCAATTGGTCGCAGTTGAGGAAAATTTGGTGGATTTCCATTCTTTGGGACAAATTCAATTTTTTTCAGATGTCGGTACTGAGTGACCTTTTTGGCGTCATCGGACCTTGCGAGGTCAGACCAAAACAAAACTTTATTTTTTTATAATCTTTGGTAATAAACGATTCCAATCCCCCTTTAATGCATGATTTAAGATAAACCTCCAAGGTTAACAGTGCCCTCCAAAATAACGGGATCGGAAATATGACCAACGCCAGACATGCGTTGCCAAATTCTTCATTGTTTTGTGAATTGGTCTTTCTTTTGGACTTTGTCTTCATATTTTACTTCACAGGGGTTGAAACTATGGAAAAAATGCCTTCCTTGAAGATTTGAAGGGTCAGCTGTGACATGGGGCTCATCGTCCATGATGACCACGTTTCCCCGAATTTTCTTCAACAATTTCTTGTAGCACATATGAATCCTTTCCTTTTGTATTTGTTTGTAATTTGGTACGGGTTTTTTTGCCCTGGCTACAATCCCCAGTTTATTGACTTTGATTTTGCTCAGATAGCTTTTTGAAATCTTGACCATACTTCCCGCTACAGCCGTTGTTGTTGATTGATGATTTTTGAAAATTTTTTTTATCCGATTTTTGACTTTTGTCGTCGCCAGCTTTGCAGGTCGACCAGTGGGGACTTTGAATTTGACGTCATTGGATTCCCCGTACTTTTTTATGTATTTATAGACGTTGGATTCAGAAATACATTCTTGTTTAAAAAAATGCCACGTAGTTTTGGAATCACTGTTTGCTTCATTTTCATGAAACTCAATCACTCTTTTTTCCAACTCTCGCCTTTCAACCCAAGTTTTTCGAGTGTCAGCCATGACTGGATAATTGGTGACATATATCAATGGAAAGCTTATAACTTGGTCTATTCAAAAATATTTTTTTCGAAATTTAATTTTGCTGTGTTCCCGCCCAGCGCGCGTCGTAAGGGGCTGTCCAATACATTCGTCATGATCTTTTATAGTCTTATCAATGAAATTATGCAAGTGTTTTTAGGTTACAAGAAAATAAATAAAACTTGTCTGCTATAAATATTGATCCCAAATCGATGCAAATAGACAAGTTGCAAATATTCTTCAAAAATCAGTTGTTTCAAGTAGAAACATGTATCGTTTTCTTAATGATTTCAAGCTCCATAAATTGTGGCTCTTCATAAAGCATATTCTGATGAGAAGTGTGACCCGTATAGTAAATACTTACTCCTTCTGCCCTAAAAGATGTCAAGATGTATATATACAATTACATAGAACTTAAAATACCATATTTGCGATTTAGAATGCAACTTACTCGACCTAAATGTTTTTCACAAAAGAGCGATTTGCATTCATGAAGATGCCAATTATAAACTAAATTTAATCCTGAACTCAATCATGACTTTCATGTTAAGAGTTGACAATATTTTATGTTATTCTAATCCTCATAAATCACATAGTGGCGAAACTGACGAACTCGGTGGGGTATAAAGTTCACAAGTTTCGGTGGAAATTTTGAATTTTTTGCAAAAAACTGCAAATATCATCTGGCATTGTTTATGTTTTTAGTGGTTTCCAGTGGGAAGAGTATGTGTGGTGGTGGCTTCCCACCACGCATACTCTATGACAAATTGAGACGAATCAGGAAAAAATGCAATGTCTTGACCTGGTCATTCTTATACCGAAATTAAATGTGCACTCAAAAATGTGAAATTTGTTGAATTATAACTATTGATAGTTGGGCAACAAGGGAGCAGGCCCTTTAAGGAATTGATATGCTACTTTTATTTATATTAAATGACGAACTCGAGAGGAAACAAAATTTTGATGGAAATTGATATTCGGCATTTAATATAAATAAAAGTAGCATATCAATTCCTTAAAGGGCCTGCTCCCTTGTTGCCCAACTATCAATAGTTATAATCCAACAAATTTCACATTTTTGAGTGCACATTTAATCTCGGTATAAGATTGAGAAGCTCAAAAATCTGTGCAAAAAATTATGCATGTTGTAAACATACGGAGAAATATTGAGCGAGAGACTGTATTGGCTGATAGAGCGGCCAGAGCAAACTATCACGCCCCGTTTACCTCGATAGTCACGAAATTTTTCATTAACCGGACTTTGTTTGGCACCTATCTATCTACCCACTGACCCCTCTTTGCATTGCAAAGTTTACGAACGCCCCCTGGTCATGGGGACGCCCAAGTTCGCGAATAAATTTGAAAGCCAAAATTTTTTCTGAACTTACGAAAATTGTTTTTTTTGCGAACGCTACTCCCATTCCCTTGAATACCCTCATTATTTTCATTTTATCCCCACATCATTCATAACTGCCAAGCAATCTTTAACGCATTGAAAATAACATGCATAGTATTTAACAAAACTTAACCTAACGCCGAGTTAGGTTAGTAACGCGTATTAAAAAAAACTTTCGGGAAGATACAGCTGCAGCAGTCTGCTGCAGCTGTATATTGTACAAAATTTAAAATTGTATTTCAAACATAATTTGTCAAAAACAAAGTAATCTCACAACATTTTTGTATAAATTAAATTAATTTATTCTAGGAATATCAAGCCAATGCATGGTTTCTTGACACGGAGGGCAGATTAACACTTATTGAAAATCTGGCTTCTCAATTTCGCATGTCCGCGAAATTTGTTTATCGTCTCTGTTTCTACATAAAAGACGTATGCAAATAAATATCAAATATTTGACGTAAAAATAAATATTAAATATTTTCTGATGTGCTTATTAAGTACAATCCACAAATAAAGCGTAAGCAATATTTTGTGTTTTTCTAAGGTGAGGTAAAAAAAACTATAGTTACAGTTACACCTTATTCTAAGTAATTAACGGTTAATTACTTAACGTTGCCCCTGTTAAAGAAATTATTCAAAACGAAACGTTCTTTAAAATGGTAATACCTTGTGCTGAATTTTACAGAACAGCGACATGGAGCCAGGTCATGCGAACGAGTTATCCGCGGAGATCGAATTCCTGAAACAATCCATATCTCGGAGTGAACAAAGAATTCGCCAAATTGTTAACAGGGCTGGGGTAATTCTTGATCAAGACGAATTTGGTAATTGAATTACATAATTTCAGCAGAGAATATTTTACTTGAACAAACAATACTTTAAATATTTACAGATGATAATCCCACTAATGTTACCAGGCTGTTGAATTTGCTTGACGAAATTTTGTCCTTGAACTTTACCGATTTTGTGACCCTGTCCACATCAGAGCCTTTATCTCAAACTAACCTTGTGCTAAGCACTGCGACTGACATCGAGGACGTTGACGTCAATCTTTGCGACCCTAGCCCTATCGGCGACGGTGACGTTGACATAATTTATGACGAAATCGAGGTGAAAGATGAGTTTATATCGGAACCTTTATCCCAAACTAATCTTGTGCTGAGCCCTGCGACCTACATCGAGGACGGTGGCGCCGTATCGGACCCATTATCCGAAACTAACCTTTGCGACCCTGCTCCGAGCCCTCACGACAACGGTGACGTTGACCTAATTGATGACGAAGTCGAGGTGAAAGACAAATTTTCAAGTCAAGAATACCAACTCGTCGCGGCCACAACCGAAAAGGATGTCGCGATTACTGAACAACCCGATGAATTGGAGCCTGCTGATAACCAGGATCATAATTTGGGTACTAAATAATCTACGATAACTTAAGTCCTCGCTTTTTACAAATTTTTCTCCCAGATTTCGAGTTCGTTGCTCCCCACGTGGCGGTGGCCCCCCGTCAAAGGAGGACGACGCTTCGCCGAAAACCCACAAACCGAAAGGATGTACTTCTTCCCAGCATAAGAAGTAAATTGCGCCCAGGTCGCAGCAACATAAAAACCACGTAAGACTTCAAAATATGTAATTAAGCGAAAGTCCGTCTTTCCGGTGTAGCAAGATGTTATAATAACATTGTTATTAAAGTTGGATGAAATTTGTAGATATCTTACTGGCAGTAAAAATACGAATGCTGTGTCCCGATCACGTAACGTCACGAAGACGGCGGCCGGTAAACGTGACGTTATGGACAGCCCGAGTAAAATCGATTTCGTCACCAAGAAACTCCACGTGGTAAGAAATCCTGAATCAGTAAAACGCATTCGATTCGTTTAAAATAGTCAAGATACTTAATACGTATCATTGAAAATAAAACTTGCCCTCACTCACAGGAACCCTCGCCTAGTGACGCCTCTAACCTTGACGATGACCACGATGATGAGGTTAACTCGGTTGAAAAGTATTGGTTAAAAATATCCGTGCATGCAAACTTGAAAATGAAATTTACACGATATTACAGGAACCCTATCTCAACGACGCCTTCGACTGTGACGATGACGACTACATCCCAACTTCAATCTCTTCCTCAGACGAAGAACATACCCTTGATGCTGAATTTGCCCCCTCTCGCAGGCAAAAACCTGTCTCTAAAAAACGGAAAAGACGTAAATTATTCCCACTAAAAAATCGAACACATATTCACTAATTTCTCTCCTTATCTTCCAGCCATCAATAAAAACCCCACTGAAATCCCCTCCACCACTGGCTCGACAAAGCTGGTCCTTAAAAAACGGAAACAATGTAAACTAATCCATGCTCAAAAAGTGGGGATATTTTTTACTAATTTCTCTCCTTATCTTCCAGCCGTCAAGGATAAAAACCCCAGTCAAGTCTCCTCAACGACTCACCCGACCGGATTTGTCCCAATCATCGACCCGGCCACCGGTACACAAAAATTTCATTGTCTCGACTGTTCCAAGATAATTGGCTCCGGAGGTTTGCTTTATCATCGAAGAATCCACACGGGCGAGAAGCCTTATCCATGCCCGACCTGTGGGATCGCGTTCCGTGCACCAAACACACTCTCATCACACTGTCGACGTCACCATCCGACAGAGAAAACTGAATATTTCTGCGACCAATGTCCCAAATCGTTCCGGATAAAGGAGGATGTGCTCATTCATCAAAAGTTTTGGCATCCGAAAGCAGGGGCAGTGATGCTTTTGTGCTCCAAGTGTCCAAAACAGTTTCATGTGAAGGGCCTCTTGGACAGGCACATGAGAATGGTTCACATTCAGGTCTTTGATTTGCATAGTTTTGGTGCATCGGCCGAGCGTAAAGAATGGGATCGATTTTGGAGGGGGGCGTAGCTTGACCTGACTTAATCTGTAGGGGGGAAAATTCGATCGCATTTTTTATGCAAGGTCGCACTTAATTTTTGCGAGTAATGAAATCTATATAGATATTTACATACGCTAAATAAGGTTGTGTAAAATTTGCTAAGGTTAAGAAAAAAATAGAATGACAGAACAATTGAGTAGAATTTATCCAATGTTACCCAATTGTTGGATAAGCTTTTTCTAAATGTTGTGCACATTTCAGGTGAGGAGGTTCAAGTGTGGACTATGTGAAAAGGCGTTCAAGCTCAAGTGTCATTTACAGCATCATCAGGAAGTTCATCAGAGGGGAAACAAAAACACGAAGAACAAGAAGACGAAGAGGAAGAACAAGACGATTGAATCGGAGTGAAATCACTTAATGTCAAAGTTATATGTTCAGTACTTTTATTTAGTTACTGAAGTAGAATGTATTTAATTTCAGATTGCAATTTTGTATAACGTAAATTAAATTTAGCTTGAACTACAGCCCTTCACGCGGATGTTTGTATTTATATAAGGCAATAAAATGTGTGAATTGCATGTTTATTTAAGCCGAATCTCGTAATTTAGATTAATCTGTGTAAAACAATCTACGTATTTGAGTTAATCAGGTGGACATAACAACTATCAAAATGAATTTTAATCAAAAAATCACATTTTAAATTCGATCAATTGGAAATTCTTACCAGAGCAACATTTTACCGAATTCTTACGACGGATTGTAACTTGCCAACTAAAATTCTTTTGATGGATTAATATTCACAAATTTATTCCGAAATTTATCCTGAAAGCTTATTTATTAAATACGCACATGATCGGCGTATGTAAATCCACCTCAAAGAAACTATAAATATGTCCCTACTTCTAACATTGGACGATGACCAAAGGTTGAAATATGACGCAGTCATACTTATTTAAGTACGTAAATAAATTACTTACGTATTTACGTATGCTCAGTAATACATAAACAATAGGATAAAATTACATATTAAATTACACGAATGTGCATGAATGTTGCATATAAAATATTGCCCAACGAGACCTTTTGATGCTCTAAATATGAACGTAGTAGAAATTAAATTGGAAAAGGGTAGAGCAAAATTGGTTGTAAGTTGCGTATTAATTTTAATTGTTTAGTACTCACTATAATGTTGAGAGGTGCTAATTTTAGTAATATTTGGTAGTATTTTAATGTCAATAACATTATTAATTTCTAGATATGGTCTGTTGTTTTTATTAACCAATAAATTGGACAAATTGAATATATTTATGTCGATAAATGGAAAGAATTAGCTTTACTTAAAGCTGAACGATATCAATCGTTGTTTATGATCACAAATTTAATAAATATTAATTTTTTAAACGATACGCTGCTATCCAAATCAGCAGGTTTGATGCAGATATTTACATCCCGAGAGGAGAAAACGCGCAGTAAATTTGGACAGTGTAAAGTTTGTCAATTTTTCGGGCGCGTTTTACCCACTTTGTGTGCAAATATCTACATATATTAATCTCCGTACAACCTTCGCATTGGGAGATCGTGTCTTTCACAAATTTCATACCGATTACATAAACTGTGATCGATTGATGCTACATACATACATTGATCAAAATCCAGTGGTGGCGGAAGCAGGGGGACGGTGGACATTGCCCCCTCAGAAATTCAGAAAAATTCTATCCTTCCCGACTTCCCGTGTTAATAAGCCCCTTTTCCTCCTCTTATGCTAATGTTCCCATATGTCCCCCAAACTTCCGCCGCAAATGTCAAAATCTGCTAGCATACATATGTAGATTTCCTCGTTCTGGAGCCAGGCCTCGCCGCCGAAAAATTATTCATGATTGACGTCGCCGTCGCAGCCACCAAATTCGTTCTCGCTGACCTCTGGTATAAATCATTTGTAAACTTTAAGTACATATATAGCTAAGCTATAAACTTCAGTTTAGAGTACATAACTTCATGTAACACATATCTTCCATTTATGTAAAATGTATGTATTTAGGCACGTAGCGCATATCTAATCGACATTTACTTAAGTAATATGTATTACATCATATTTTATTTATGTATGAAGTTAAAATATATTAAAATTGGTAATATTGGGTTAATATTTCCTATCTTTAATGCTCTTATTACGAGCACGTGCGGGAAGTGAGACACAGTATCCAATAGGCTGCACGTACGAAAGTGCTACCTTTGTCTTCTATTACCCACAATTTACCTAATTAACTTTGCCAGGAATAAAATCCCATATATAAATCTCGACCTACTTCGGGAAGCCATTTCAATCCCACAAAACGAGGCGTATTACCATGTAAAGCAGCAGAGGTTAAAATTAAGGTAACTGAGTTATTATAAAACGTATTCTACAAATATGTAAAAAAATCCACTTATTTATTAATAATATTTTATAAAAAATACAATATCCCGAGCTCCGTACTTCCCAGGTTTTTAATTTCCAGGGCTGTTACACCCACCGACAGACGATAATCTGCACCAAGACTACAACAGACTTATCAAAATATACGTTTTATGAAGAAATTAAAGTTTTGCTTTGAAATTATAGTTTTGGTAAAACATTGCATTTTTTTATCGTGAAAACAATGTGCATATTTAATTTGATATGTAGCGACGAAATCTCAACTTATTAACAAAACACGTTTTACGCTTGACTTTTGCATGCTCCATGCAGATTCTCGTCATTTTTGCTATGTAACAGCTTTAGAACCCCTGAGAAGAAAGGAGCTGAATGTACTGACCAGCTTATAAGACTAAACAATTCCAAATAAATTTATTCAATATTTTTCACTGCTTGAACATCCATATTTTTCTGTTTTCCATAGATCCTCACAAAATGTCCACCTACTCAAACTACAAACCTGTCTACGACATCATAATGAAACGGCTCGAAAATCCATCCCCCGCCGTTCGCGGAGTCGCCGCCCCGAAGAACTCCGACGTGGAGCAGGACGGCGCCTGGGCATTTTCCTCCATCAGCGAGGGCATTGCTGAAGTCGACCGAGAACTCCGCTCCATAAAGTTGCACCCTGACCCCATCCTGGCGTTCGGACCGGCCCCCTACATCCCGTACGGCGAGGCGCACATATCCCGAACCCCGGAAGACATGGCCGCTGCGGGCGCCTTGCTTCAAGCCTGTTTCGACCGGAGAAACTTCTTCGACGGGACACGAATGGAAGATTCCATGCGACGCATCATAAAAGATTACGTTGACGAAAGGAGCGGCAACTTCCCCGCGAAATTCAAAATTTACCAGTATCCACTCCTCCTCCCCAAAGGATCCGAAGGTGTCGAGGTCGCTGCCTACTACAAAAAAGCAGGAATCGCGGAAGGCGCAGATTTCAACGCGCGCGCTGTTCGCGACTTTTACTTCTCCATCCACGCTTTCATGATGCTTCGCAACTTCAGCCTTGTCAGCCTCTCCATCGCCGCGGGGACGCTGTGTCTCACGACCGGGGCGGATTACGTGGGGTCCATCGATGACCCCTGTACAGGAGGGAAGGAGGCCTACACAGCGGGAGTAATCGACACCACGAAAGTTATGGGGTCTCGTTTTGCCCCAGAAATCAATGAAATCATCACCCTGACAGGATTTATTTACCATAAGGCCGACCTGCTAGCGAGATGTGAAGCAGGCACGATGGAGGTTCCCGCCCCGCTCGGTAGAAATCCTACCCCACTGGAATTCTATGAATGCCGATGGTGGGACGCCGCTTTGCCCGTCTACTTTAAGCTGTCCCTCGTCCTCAATGATGGCGCTGGTGTTCCCGTCGACGAAAAATGGGCCCCGCTTGGTACCCGGATTTGTGGCTCGATCCGAAAAGCGGTCGACATTATTATCCGCTACGACGAACTTGTCGACGTTTTCCATGATGCTAAATCTAACGAACCCATGAATGAGGTTCACGTTGCGGGGAGATACGGTGGCATTACTGCCGTGCAAGATTATGCCGCAGCATTAGCCGCATGTGTCGATGAGGTTGCGACCTGCCCCTGTACCGCGGGAGATGTCAGTCACGACTACGCGTTAGATATTGCCATAGGATCCAGCGCATGGTACGCCCACGTCCCGCATTATCGGGGATACACTCAGCTGGCGGAGACGAGACATTTGACTAGTGAGAAGTACGCCGCATTGGCGGCAAAGGCGAATCATGGCGCGTTCATAACTAGCGGGATGGCGCATTCGGGAGAGGGGAACGCGTTGCAAGATCAGCAGTGGAATTCCTTAACGACGTATGAGTCCCTTGATCCGTACGTATCCGGACAATGTAGGCACTGTGCCGTGATTTGCAGCTGGGTCGTTAACCGCTGTCTGTACCGAGACGATCGGAGAGGGAAGGAAGCTGCGCTTAGGAAATTTGTCAGGGAGGCCGTACATTTGAACGGTGAGAAAGCAATGGATGGGTTTTTTGGAGAGATTGTGACCATCTGCGCAGGTCACAAGGTGCCCGAGTACTTGGTCAAACAGTGTGTCACAGCTGTGGAGGCTGCGTGGAAAACACTTCGTGCCGCGGGAGCGGACATGGCGCTAGAAACGGTGGCGGCACAGGTGGTGGAAAATCATGTCCGGTTGGATAAGGCGTTCATTGCGACGCATTATCATCCAGAAGCGTACGCGCTGCGACGCGGAATTAGTGGCGCGTTGAGTTTGATGTTCGACCGGACAGATATGGCGCCGTATCCGCGCATTATCGATGCTGCGGTTATCCATTCAGTTAAGATGGCAAAAGAGTGCGGAGCTGGTAAACGTAAGCAATAGATAAAAAACATATCCGTGTTTTTAGCTTACTTTAAAATCGTAGAGCTTGGATTGTTCATTTTCCAATTTTAAACCTAATAAAAACCATTATGGAAATTTTGAGCGAATTTGTTCTTTATCTATCTGGTTGAAATTGACTATATTAAAATTCACTTTTCTGCATAATCTCTCGAATATTTAGGAATAAACTAAATACTCTAAACAAGGGATTCTTATATATACTTATCTTGCCCACCCCGGATAATAATTGTGTTCGAGCTTGATCCTTGTTTTTGTATGAGAACTATTCATGCATATTCCAAATTTCAAGTCATTATGTTTAAACTTTAGTTATAACATGGACGCACGGACAGACGGACATATCCATCTTATAAAGACGTTTTACCCCAACAGTAAGAATATAATATTTACGAACATGCGTCTTGACAAATTGCTTTTTGATCAGAATCAGATCAACGGATTTGGTTGGGGTTGAAATTTACAACGACAACCAAACTCATTAACGAACTTTCTATTTACTTTTTTCTGATTTCATAATAAACATTTCGTCAGATGACAAACATTTCCAAGCTTAAAGTATACAGCGATTATTAGAACTTTAATGATTCATTCTAATTTAATTTGCATGCACTTGGGTGCCATTATCCATACATGTATCATGCATGCAATTTGTTTTTAACAGTAGATAAATGTACTTCTAAATATCCCATGCATTTTCACCCAAAAGTTTTACCAAATGCAACAAATTTAGTAAACAAATATCACAAATAATTTATATCCTCATTAAACTCATTACTTCCTTATACACAAGTTAATGATTTCACATATAATGCATTTGAAACAGCGTAAATACTCGAGAGTATTTCTTTTCCCTGCAATTTTTTGACACTGGTACCAGGATAAAATTTCAAAATCCATCGAATCGACAAAAATTTTATGCCTCGCTGTGCATATGTTTTTGCTGCGAGATTTTTTGAGACAGTGAGTCATCCAGAGTCACCTTAAAGCAGTACGGTGTGCGGAAGACTCCAGCCCACGGACCCACACTGCGGCCGCCTTATGGTATGAAAAATCAGAAATTATTTTATGGCTTTTTTTTGAGCTATTTATGCATATGAGGTAGATTGAGGACGGATGACACAAATTATATGACTGTAGTGCGACCACACCCCCTGGGGCAGGAGTTATCTCCATTTGAGGGGGCGAGGCCTTGAAAACTATTGCATTCGATAGATCTTTGAAAGCTACCCCAAATTCATATAAGTTACACCAACGTCCGACGCTCCAGAGCAAAGTTATCGGCCCCTAAACATCGAAATTTTGCATTCTGCGCCCACTTTGCGACCGTATGGCGCCGTGCGCGACCTGATTTATGGGTTCCTAGATATCTCAAACG